AATCATGTTGTTGCTTTTAACCCACTTGAGGACCTCGGCCAAATCATCTTTTAATACATTTGATATTTCATTCACATTTGAATTGGAATAATACATGGTCGAGTCGTCAGCATACATGACAACTTCAGTTTTGTTTAGTACATAAGGTAAATCATTAGTGTAAACAGAAAAGAGGAGTGGGCCGAGGCAGCTGCCTTGAGGTAAGCCACAGTGAATATCAGATTCTTTGGACAAGGAACCATTATAATAGACCTGCTGACTCCGGTCTGTTAGATAATCCTTTATAAGGAACAACAATCTTGTTGAAAATCCATAGCACCTTAACTTGGCAATTAGAAGGTCATGATTGATAAGATCAAAGTGTTACGCTGTTTGTGAGGGTGCGCCATTTTACGCTCTCACGTTTATACTTTGTCACCTGGGCAAAACAATCTTCTACGAAAGGCTGTCTACCACGAGATGGTCCTGCCTGTTCAATAGCAGCCTTTTCTCCCAGCTGTGCATACACACTTGGGTGGTTATGCTTCAGATGCGCTTTGAGGTTTGTGGTGTTTCCAGTCTTTGTTGCGACAACTTTTTTGCAAAGACGACATACCGGCTGATTCAGATTGCTGGGCTCCCCACGTGCGTTCGGTTTGTAGCCGAAATGTTCGGCTTTCGGCTTGGGCGATGACGTAAGGCGTATAGCTGGCGCGCAAATTTATCGAGTCTCAAAACGATATTGTGAATGTTTATATTTATCGAACGATGAATCGAAATAGTAATTATCGTGACAGGCCTACGTTGGACGGACGCATGCGGAGGCAGTGGAGCCACTTCCATTCACCCTCATGGAGATACGGACGACGGATCCGTCCAAACATGTCCGTTTCATCTCCGTCTCCGTTATTTCCATGAGGGTGAATGGAAGTGGCTCCACTGCCTCCAACATCCGGATTCCATCAACGGAGGGTGCAACGGACGCGGACGGACGAAATAGAAACAATCCTATTTGTTCCGTCGACGCGTGTTGGGTCCGTTTTCCATTGGAAATACAATGAATAATATATATATTAATATATTTACAACATTATTAAACATGTATTGATATATGCTGTAGTCCTGGTTATAAGTGTTTGTTAATGACAATGATTATTAACAAACATGTGTAATTTTTTTATGTATTAATTTAAATAATTGTTTCCTGATCGTACATCTACCATTTATCTTTCGCGTAATGTTAATCTTTACATACACCTCGCTCTTTTTTCTCTTGCTCTGTCCCCTTGGACACTTGCTGTGTCCCCTTGGACACTTGCTCTGTCCCCTTGGACACTTGCTGTGTCCCCTTGCTCTCTCCTCACCGCCGTGCGCTCCCATCCACACACACACACACACATTACCCACAGAGCTGCACTTATGAGAGACAGATCTCACAACACTGGATATGTTGGAGTTCTTTTCTCTCTCCCATTTTTCCAATTGCTTTCAATAAGTTTAGACCACTAGTCCGTTTTACGGACGTCCGACGGACAGCAGCCAACGCGCGTCAACGGAGACGCGCCCGGTGGAGTCCAGACCTCACCGTGGCCATACCTCCAAAAGCACGTCACTTTAGTGGAGACGAGCGAACAGAAATGTTTTCAGATCCTACTCTGTAATCCCAGAGAAAGCTCCTCTGACTGATAATAAGGCTGTAGGATGTTACCATTGTTTTCATAAACTGGTCAGACATAGTTCTAGCACAGTTCATTTGTAAACTTATGTGTTTTCTTTTCAGTTTCAGAGGGTATTCTTGCTTAAATAGAGCCATTAATTGGCTCGGATTCACATTTGTTTCGTGTTTATTGGGCTATTGTTATAAACAACAGTTAAAAAACATTTCTAATGAAGTACATGTTAATTTGTAATGGCTTATTGCTATAATTTCTCAATTTATTTTATTTACAATTGCAAAGGGCCTTCTTGTCTTTTGTTGTTGGTGTTTTGGGCTATTCTATAAATATCTAAATTTTAACCTTTTTCTGACTGACAGTTTAGTATTTATCACTAAAATTGCATAGACTGCAGTTTGTTTACTTGAAAGTAGCTTCTATATAGCAAACTACTTTTGACAGAATTTTGTAACTTAGCTTGCTGCATTTTTATGGGTGGTAGCTTCTGTAAAGTGAAGCTGAATTTATTGTAGAGTAGCTTAGCTAACTGCATAAATCAAGTAGCTTGCCCATCACTGGTAGTTTATGTAGTCACATGTGAGAGCTAGCTGCTAACAGGGGACTGCGAGCGTGTGATATGGAGAGACCATGAGGATTTGTGTTTTCTTTTCTTTTATACAGGTATGTGCAACGCAATATTGTTATTATTAGCGGTAATTATGGTATTTTTTGTATTCTTGTGTTCTTTTGGTCTGTACTGTATATGCACTGTGTTAGCTGTGTTCAGTCTGCGCCTAGCGTCTGAGGAGGGGACTGCGAGCGTGTGATATGGAGAGACCATGAGGATTTGTGTTTTATTTTTTTTTATACAGAACTGCAGATAAAGTCAACCAGTGATCCTACATGTGTCGTCGTGGTCCTTAATCAGCCAGCGCACCCCTATGTCAGACTGTACATTTCCCTATTTCTGTTTCTAAAGCTCATTGTATGACGTCATAGTTTATATCTGTTCATAGCCACACGGACAGACCCAGGACTGAGGCTGCAGACCCAGGACTGAGGTTGTAGACCCAGGACTGAGGCTGCAGACCCAGGACTGAGGCTGTAGACCCAGGACTGAGGCTGCAGACCCAGGACTGAGGCTGTAGACCCAGGACTGAGGTTGTAGAAGTGGCTCCTATACAGGGTGGGGGTGTAGCCCATGGGTTGTTAGCAACCAGCTTTAATTGCAGAACCCGATGTTTGATGTTGAAAGAGAACAATATCATTTCTCACTTCTACCACCATCAAACATATTAGAATTATCTGACGTTGTTGTGTTTGTTGCAGATCTACAAAGTCCATCTACAGAATGGGGTTCACCTGTGATCAGTGTGGAAAGACCTGCAGCTCTGCTTCTCATCTAAAGAGACACCACAGAACTCACACTGGAGGAAAACCATACGAGTGTGATCTGTGTGGAACATGTTTTACTACAAAAGAAGGTCTCAAGGTCCACAACAGAATCCACACTGGAGAAAAACCCTTCAGCTGCGACGATTGTGATCAGAGTTTTAGACAAGAGGGTCATCTCAAAGCTCATCAGAGGATCCACACAGGAGAGAAACCATTTGAGTGTGACCAGTGTGAAAAAACATTTAGGACCAAACGTCAGCTCTCACTACATCAGCATGTCCACACAGGAGAGAGACCTCACCAATGTGACCAGTGTGAAAAGACTTTTACACGTTTATCTGACCTCACTCGTCACTACAGAATCCACACTGGAGATAAACCATTCGTCTGTGGAGACTGTGGGAAGACGTTTACTCAGTCTTCCAGCTACAAAGCACATGAGAGAATCCACACTGGAGAGAAACCCTTCAGCTGCGACGATTGTGGTCAGAGTTTTTCTCTGAGTGGTTCTCTCAAAGTGCATCAGAGGATCCACACTGGAGAGAAACCCTTCAGCTGCGACGATTGTGGTCAGAGTTTTTCTCAGAGTGGTTATCTCAAAGTGCATCAGAGGATCCACACTGGAGAGAAACCATTCAGCTGCGACGATTGTGGTCAGAGTTTTTCTCAGAGTAGTCATCTCAAAGTGCATCAGAGGATCCACACTGGAGAGAAACCCTTCAGCTGCGACGATTGTGGTCAGAGTTTTTCTCGGAGTGGTCATCTCAAAGAACATGAGAGAATCCACACTGGAGAAAAGCCCTTTGCATGTGACTTCTGCAGTAAAATCTTTAAAACAGCAGCACATCGCACACGTCACCATCGGAGCCACACTGGAGAGAAGCCGTACGAGTGTGACCAGTGTGGAACATGTTTTTCCCAAAGAGGAAATCTTGACAAGCACAAAAGAATCCACACCGGAGAGAAACCCTTCAGCTGCGACGATTGTGGTCAGAGTTTTTCTCAGAGTGGTCATCTCAAAGCGCATCAGTGGATCCACACTGGAGAGAAACCCTTCAGCTGTGACGACTGTGGTCAGAGTTTTTCTCGGAGTAGTAATCTCAAAGTGCATCAGAGGATCCACACTGGAGAGAAACCATTTGTCTGTGAAAAGTGCGAAAAGTCTTTTATTAAAAGTTTCCTCAAATACACAACAGTACATATTCAAAGTCTCAAAGAGAGAGAGAGAGAGAGACCAGAGAGAGAGACCAGAGAGAGAGACCAGAGAGAGAGAGAGACCAGAGAGAGAGAGACCAGAGAGAGACCAGAGAGAGGGCAGAGAGAGGGCAGAGAGAGAGACCAGAGAGAGACCAGAGAGAGACCAGAGAGAGACTAGAGACAGAGACCAGAGACAGAGACCAGAGACAGAGACCAGAGACAGAGACCAGAGACAGAGACCAGAGAGAGAGACCAGAGAGAGAGACCAGAGAGAGAGACCAGAGAGAGAGACCAGAGAGAGAGACCAGAGACCAGAGACCAGAGAGAGATGTATGTAACATCCTATGATGTTAATGCTTTACCTTTTGTATGAGCTGTGCTAGACAAATAATTATTATTTCCAACCACTTACACTCTCTCTCTATCTCTCTCTCTCTCCCCCCCCCTCTCGCCCTCCCTCTCTCTCTCTCTCTCTCCTCTCCCCCCCCCCCTCTCTCTTCTCTCCCTCTCTCCCCTCTCCCTCTCTCCCCCTCTCTCTTTCTCCCTCTCTCCTCCTCTCCCTCTCTCTCTCTCTCTCTCTCTCTCTCTCTCTCTCTCCCCCTCTCTCTCTCTCTCTCTCCTCCTCTCCCCCCCCCCTCTCTCTCTCTCTCTCTCTCTCTCAGAAAACGCGCCGCCTCCAAGTCCTCCAATGGTTCGCACAAGTACAAGGGTAACTCCAAAGACCTGAAGCCTCCAGACCTGTGGATCCATCACGAGAGGCTGGAGCTGAAGCCCATGGACAAGTCCCCGGACCCCAACCCCGTGATGACGGAGACCCCCATCCCCCGCTCGTCCCAGGACATCACCCCCGCGGACAGCGTGATCGAGGCCAGCCACCTGCAGCAGCGACGCAACTCCTACAGAGGTCGGTTCATTCATGTAGTATCCACAAGTACCCTGGTCTGACCACACCACTGTACTGGTCTGACCACACCACTGTACTGGTCTGACCACACCACTGTACTGGTCTGACCACACACTGTACTGGTCACACACACACACACAGAGACACACAGACATAGAGACACACACACACACACACACACACACACACACAGACATAGAGACACACACACACAGACACTTACTGGGCAAAGGCAAACTTCCTGAAGTAAATTAGATGCAATACTTTTATTTTAAAAGACAGAATTCTTTCCATAACATCACAGACTTCACAGAGGATGGAGCTAAAAACAACCTCAGGTCTGTTTCTGACGATGAGAGAAACTTGTACCAAAGACAGAGCCCGTTTTCCTCTATCGTTGCCTTGGTAACTTCACACACTCTACTTCCTCTATCGTTGCCGTGGTAACTTCAAACACATCTACAGATAGATAGATAGATAAGATAGATAAATGCTTTATTGTCAGATACAAGGATCCGAAATTTGTTTTGCAGTTCAGCAGCTCCGTAAAAATACAAACAAGACATACAGGTATAAGACAATTCACAAAGACATTATAAACAATTGTCCGCTCGCCATAACACACTTTGATTTTATGACTTAAGATCCTCGTTTAGCTTCAGGATGGACTGATGGACAAAGGAGTTCCTCAACCTGACTTTATTAAAATGTGGCACACGGTACCGCCGCCCTGATGGTAACAGCGCATATTCGAGGTTCAGAACATGGCCGGGGTCTGAAGTGATGTTCTTAGCCAGTCGCAGTGTGTTGCTATGGTATGCAGCCTCGTACAGTCCATCCAGGGGCTGTCCTACAATCTTTGAGCAGATTTTAATCAAGTGTCTCAGTCCAGATTTAGCAGTGACAGAGAGACAGCTGTACCACACAGCGTTACAGTACTGCAGGACACTGAGAATCACAGAAGTGAAGAACAGAAGCAACACCTGACGAGACGCTCCAAAAGACCGCAGGCGACGGAGGAAATATATTCTTTGTTTAGTCTTTTTACAGATGAATGTGGTGTTTCCAAGACAAGGAACAGTCTAAGACCACACCCAGATATTTGAATGACTCCACCTGTTTGATTGGCTCGTTGTTGATGATAGTGGGAGCTGTGGTTACTGGGTTTAAACTAAATACCACCTCCTCTGTTTTTTTGGTGTTTATTTCCAGAGCGTTGTTTTTGCTCCAAATCACAACCTTGTCTATGCCCTGCTGGTGCAGCCCAGGACTGTCAGTATTTGACAGAAGGGTCACCAGGACCGTGTCATCCAAATATTTGAAGATGTGTTGATAGTTTGAAGTAGTTGGACAATCGTCGGTGTATATGGTGAACAACAGAGCTGAGCTTACACAGCCCTGGGGGGCTCCAACAGAGGTTGTGATGGCAGAGGAGAGTGTATCATTTACTTTGACCAGCTGGACTCTGTTGATGAGGAAAGATGCATACCAGTGAATCAGATAGGGATTAACTTCATGATGGGAGAGTTTCGAAATCAAAATGTCCGGTTTTATTGTATTGAAGGCAGATGAATAGTCCAGAAAGAGAGCTCTTGCGTAGTTGTTGGATTTGTCGAGGTGTTTGGTGATAGTGTGGATGAGGGAAGCAACAGCATCCTCGGTGCCACAACCTGACAGTCTTTGAATCAATAATCAAAACACTGGAGACACTTTATTACAAACACGTTTCCTCCAAATAGCTACAGAGAGAGTTCAGAGCAAAGTCTGCCTCCTGCAGAGAGCGCCCCCCTGTGGAGAACCTCTGAGCAGCTTCAAAGACCCGCTCTCTCACCTGCTCCACACTCTCTGACTCAGACTCAGAGGCTCAGACTCAGGCTCAGACTCAGGCTCAGGCTCAGGCTCAGGCTCAGGCTCAGGCTCAGGCTCAGACTCAGACTCAGACTGCCCCCGATGCGAGAGTAGAGAGGACAGAAACCATTGCAGCTCCAGAGACTCGGGAAATGTCCAAAATGTTGCTGAGAAAATGCACTTTCATGTTTTTGGAGTCAAATTTACATGAAGATGAAGAGATCCTTTGTGCGTCCCACTGTGAGGAAATGTCAGTGACTAATCTCAGTCTTTGCACAAGCTGCTTTAGTTTGTTATTGTGGTGGTAATTCCCTCTGCAGCCAGGAGAGGGCGGCATAACACTGTGTCCGTGTGTCTGCTGTTTACAGTCTGCATCAGGGGTCTCCAACCTCCTCCTCCAGAGAACTGCTGTATCAGAACAAAATGATGAATGAGAGAGAAATCCACACACAGGCCTTAAAACTAAATGTTTGATATTGGACAAACAGTTTTAGTCTGTATTCCATTACTTCCATAAGATAAGATCGAGATTATTGATCTCTGATTGAGAAATGTACAGGTCACATTTGGCACAGACAGAATCAGGCAGAAGTGTGAAACGTGTTTAAGGTTAGAAATATAGTCTGTGCAGGATATAAATATGTACGATAAAAATGTGGCAATAAAAGTAGAGTGGCAATAGCAGTGCAGGTTTTATTTTCTTTCAGTCCTAGTGCATTAGTGACTCATTGTACAGTCTGACAGCGGTGGGGTAAGGGCCCTGCTCCTTCTTCCACATGTGTCTTAATTCAGATTTGAGCCATGTCTGATTTCAATGTGCGGGTTTTTTCTGCAGTCTCTCCTCACGCACACACACACACGCACGCACACACGCACACACACACACAACGCGTTTGCATGACAAATGAGGACCTATGTCTGCACTGTGACATATCAGGACGTGCCTTTCTGAAGGTCCCAGAGACCTGAGGATCACATAGGGGGGAGCAGGGTGTGATCAGTAACACAGCTAGCTGTTGATATTTTGGTTAAAAGAAACTTTTTTCCCGCATGATTTTATTGCCACATATGAGGACTTTGACAGGTCTGAGTGACATATTAGGACCTACAACAAACACATCCGGTCTGAGTGACATATTAGGACCTACAACACACACATCAGGTCTTAGTTAGATATTAGGACCTACAACACACACATCAGGTCTTAGTTAGATATTAGGACCTACAACACACACATCAGGTCTGAGTGAGATATTAGGACCTATAACACACACATCAGGTCAGAGTGAGATATTAGGACCTACAACACACACATCCGGTCTGAGTGACATATTAGGACCTACAACACACACATCAGGTCTGAGTGACATATAAGGACCTACAACACACACATCAGGTCTTAGTTAGATATTAGGACCTACAACACACACATCAGGTCTGAGTGAGATATTAGGACCTATAACACACACATCAGGTCTGAGTGAGATATTAGGACCTATAACACACACATCAGGTCTGAGTGAGATATTAGGACCTACAACACACACATCAGGTCTGAGTGAGATATTAGGACCTATAACACACACATCAGGTCAGAGTGAGATATTAGGACCTATAACACACACATCAGGTCAGAGTGAGATATTAGGACCTATAACACACACATCAGGTCTGAGTGAGATATTAGGACCTATAACACACACATCAGGTCTGAGTGAGATATTAGGACCTATAACACACACATCAGGTCTGAGTGAGATATTAGGACCTATAACACACACATCAGGTCTGAGTGACATATTAGGACCTATAACACACACATCAGGTCAGAGTGAGATATCAGGACCTGCAACACACACATCAGGTCTGAGTGAGATATCAGGACCTACAACACACACATCAGTTCTGAGTGAGATATTAGGACCTACAACACACACATCAGGTCTGAGTGAGATATTGAGTGAGATATCTGAGTGAGATACATCAGTTCTGAGTGAGATATTAGGACCTACAACACACACATCAGGTCTGAGTGAGATATTGAGTGAGATATCTGAGTGAGATATGTGAGTGAGATATTAGGACATACAACACACACATCAGGTCTGAGTGAGATATTAGGACCTACAACACACACATCAGGTCTGAGTGACATATTAGGACCTACAGTATAACAAGCACTTCAGGTCTGAGTGAAATATTTATCAATCGTTACTCCTTTCACGGAGAGTAACTCTGTAGGTGGACAAATACATTATAACTTTAATGTAGAATTATTTATTTTTATACATGTTTGTAATTTTTGACACCTCACTTTTATATTTGTTTTTGATGTTTTAAATTCTAATTTAAACATGATTTTCCAACTGGAGTTAAGACAATTTTTCAGGGAGATAATCTACTGACACAAGGAGAACATGCAAGCTCCACTCCAAAAGGTTTTTTGTTTTTGTTTTTTTTTTACAAACACACACTCACTACTCAAGTATCTTTTTAAATTACCATGAGTCAATATTTTGGCTATTCTACCCACCTCTGGGAATGTATTTAAGTTTGTGACAAAATAGGTGACATATGAGGACAAGTGTGTGTGTGTTAAAAGTGTGTTAAGGTAGTACCGTGCACGACCAGAGAGGCGGTTCAAACTTTTTGGGACGGAGTGTTTCGGCCCCGACACACATTTTCACTATTTGTAGACATTTTGGGACATGCTTGATTTTTGGTGTGGAGCTTGTTCTGGGCCTCTACAACACTGTAGTATGCATGGAAAAATGGGGACCTGAAAAAAGTCCCCACATTTCCTCAGGTCCTGATATTGAAGGTGTGTTATCATACAAAAGTCCTCATATGTCCACAAAACAAACGCACACACACACACACACACAAAACAGGGCATTGCTATAGCTGTGTAATGTCAATTCTAAATCCTTTGGGAGCTACAGGGAGAGCTAATGCTACTGGTGTCTCCCGAGCTGCAGGAGGCTAATGTGTGTCTTAAATGAACGTCCAAACGTCGTTTGTTTGAGTGTTGCTTCTTCATGCCTCTCATCGTCTGCTTCACTCACTCTCCTTAAACTATTGAATAAAAAGTCCTTTTCCAAAACATTTAAAATCGGCTGAATTTGAATTAAAGCTGAGCCTGCGTTTTAGGGCTCGAGTCTGAGGACGGCATGTCGACTCTGGGAGGCCGCCGCGGGATGAGGCCTAAAATGATGATGCCGTTTGATGCCCAGCCGCCTCAGCGTAAGTGTGTGTGGGAGGGAGGGGGAGAGAGGGGGAGGGAGGGGGAGACCAGGGCAGCTCCTGTGCAGAGGGTGAGGAGTGGGACGAGGGTCTTATACGAGAGGAAAGTGTCATCTGTGGACATCCCATGCTTGTGCATCTCCTCTCTTCCTCTCTCTCTCCTCCCTCTCCTCTGTCTCCCCCCTCCCTCTCCTCTCTTTCCCCTCTCTCCCCTCTCTCCTCCTTCTCTTCTCTCTCTCTCTCTCCTCTCTCTCCTCCCTCTCCTCTCTCTCTCCTCTCTCTCCTCTCTCTCTCCCCTATCTCCCCTCTCTTCTCTCTCTCTCCTCTCTCTCCTCTCTCTCTCCTCTCTACTCTCTCTCCCCTCTCTCCTCCCTCTCCTCTCTCTCTCCCCTCTCTCTTCTCTCTCTCCTCCCTCTCCTCTCTCTCCTCTCTCTCTCCTCTCTCTCCTCTCTCTCCTCTCTCTCCTCCTCTCTCCTCCCTCTCCTCTCTCTCTCATTGCGTGTCATTGTGTCTCATTGTATGTCATTGTGTCTCATTGTGTGTCATTGTGTGTCATTGTGTGTCATTGCTTCATGTGTCGTACGCAGCGGTCATCTCAGCTCACCCCATCCACTCCCTGGACTCGCTCCAGCCTCAGCACTACCACAGCCTGGCCTCGCCCACGCGCACCTACCTGTACCACCCCCAGGCCAGTGGAGGGCGCTACCACCCCTGTGCCTCCCCCATCGCTCACCTGTCCCGGGGCGAGTCTATAGGTGAGGCCTTCCATCTCACTCACTGTTTAAAGCCGGATTTGGATACAAAAAGATTTCCCAAGTTTTAAACATCTCAAGGAGCACTGTGCAAGCAATTATATTGAAATGGAAGGAGTATCAGACCACTGCAAATCTACCAAGACCCGGCCGTCCCTCCAAACTTTCATCTCAAACAAGGAGAAGACTGATCAGAGATGCAGCCAAGAGGCCCATGATCACTCTGGATGAACTGCAGATAACTACAGTTGAGGTGGGAGAGTCTGTCCATAGGACAACAATCAGTCGTGCACTGCACAAATCTGGCCTTTATGGAAGAGTGGCAAGAAGAAAGCCATTTCTCAAAGATATCCATAAAAAGTCTCTTAAAGTTCGCCACAAGCCACCTGGGAGACACACCAAACATGTGGAAGAAGGTGCTCTGGTCAGATGAAACCAAAATCAAACTTTTTGGCCACAATTCAAAACGATATGTTTGGCGTAAAAGCAACACAGCTCATCACCCTGAACACACCATCCCCACCTCAGCTGTAGTTATCTGCAGTTCATCCAGAGTGATCATGGGCCTCTTGGCTGCATCTCTGATCAGTCTTCTCCTTGTTTGAGATGAAAGTTTGGAGGGACGGCCGGGTCTTGGTAGATTTGCAGTGGTCTGATACTCCTTCCATTTCAATATAATTGCTTGCATAGTGCTCCTTGAGATGTTTAAAGCTTGGGAAATCTTTTTGTATCCAAATCCGGCTTTAAACTTCTCCACAACAGTATCTCGGACCTGCCTGGTGTGTTCCTTTGTCTTCATGGTTCTCTCTGTGCTTTAAACAGAACCCTGAGACTATCAAAGAGCAGGTGCATTTATACGGAGACTTGATTACACACAGGAGCATTCTATTTATCATCATCAGTCATTTAGGCCAACATTGGATCATTCAAAGACCCTCACTGAACTTCTGGACTGAGTTTGCTGCACTGAAAGTAAAGGGGCCGAATAATATTGCACGCCCCACTTTTCAGTTTTTTATTTGTTAAAAAAGTTTAAATTATCTAATAACTTTCGTTCCACTTCATGATTGTGTCCCACTTGTTGTTGATTCATGACAAAAAAATAAAATTTTATATCTTTATGTTTGAAGCCTGAAATGTGGTGAAAGGTTCAAGGGGGCCGAATACTTTCGCAGTATAGTGCCACATGGTTCTCGTCTCCCTTCCTTCCTTAGTGTGGTGGCATCTATAGTGCCACATGGTTCTCGTCTCCCTTCCTTCCTTAGTGTGGTGGCATCTATAGTGCCACATGGTTCTCGTCTCCCTTCCTTAGTGTGGTGGCATCTATAGTGCCACATGGTTCTCGTCTCCCTTCCCCCCTCCTTCTTGCAGACCTGGTTCCATAGTAGTGTTGTGGCATCTATAACGTGACCCTCTTGTCTCCCTCAGAGTCGGTGAGGAACACGCCGTGCTCGGACGCCCCTCCCCCGGCCTCCTCGCAGCTCTCCTCGCAGCTCTCCTCGCAGCTCTCCTCGCAGCTCTCCTGTCCCTCGGAGATCACGGTGGACCCGGAGGGGAGCTACCACGGCAGCACCACGGAGGAGGAGGGCAGCTATAGCGGCAGCCTGGCCCCTCTGTGCCCGGTGCACGCACACGCACACCCGCTGAAGAGCTTCGCAGTCCCCGCCATCCCCCCGGGAGCCCACCCCTCCTACGAGAACCCCGCCCTGCCCTGCACGCCCCTGCTCACACAGAGCGGTACGAGACCGAGACAGAGACCGAGACTTAGACTCACTGGGGTCTCATGAAGAAGGAGACTAGGGGAAGATAGACACATGTAAAGTTATGGTCCTGAGTTAGCCCACAATAGATCCAGGACTGAGGCTGTAGACCCAGGACTGAGGCTGTAGACCCAGGACTGAGGCTGTAGACCCAGGACTGAGACTGTATAGACCCAGGACTGAGACTGTATAGACCCAGGACTGAGACTGTACACCCAGGACTGAGGCTGTAGACCCAGGACTGAGGCTGTAGACCCAGGACTGAGACTGTAGACCCAGGACTGGGGCTGTAGACCCAGGACTGGGGCTGTAGACCCAGGACTGGGGCTGTAGACCCAGGACCGGGGCTGTAGACCCAGGACTGAGGCTGTAGACCCAAGGCAAGGCAAGGCAAGTTTATTTGTATAGCACAATTCATACACAAGGCAACTCAAAGTGCTGAACAAGATAGCATTAAAATCATAAATAATTACATTTTTACATTACATATTGATTATAAGAAATCTAGTAAGCTGTAGGTAGACAACTTTTTCAAGGACTGTCCCCATAAATGGCAGATTTGAGATGGGACGGTAGTTGTTAAGTACCGTAGCATCGAGACTGCTCTTTTTTAGCAGGGGCCTGATGACTGCAGTTTTCAGGGCCTTTGGGAATATTCCAGAATCAAGGGACATGTTTACTATCTGTGTGAGTGAAGGTAACAGAGTGCTCAGAACAGACTTTAGAAATCTAGTGGGTAGTACATCCAGGCTACATGTGGAGGAGCTCAAACTGGAGATTATCTCTTGGACAGTTTGATCATTTACAGGTGCAAAGTAAGTTAGCTCAAAGAGCCTTTCTGGCTGTTGGATGGTTATCTGTGGATTGGAGAAAATGGCGTTTTTGATGCCTTGAACCTTGTCATTGAAAAAATGTGCAAACTCATTACATTTACGTTTGGAAGTAAGCTCTAATGGCATTTGAACAGGGGGGTTTGTTAATCTATTAACTGTTGAAAACAGAACACGCAGATTGTTGCTGCAGCCTTCAATCATTTCAGAAAAATACCTTTCTCTCGTACTACGTAGCACCTGGTTAAACTTGCACAACTTATCTTTGAAGATCTTGTAATCAACCTGGAGGTTGGACTTGCGCCACTTCCGCTCGGCCCTCCGGCACTCTCTCTTTTGTGCCCTGACCGAGTCTGCTTTAGCCCACGGCGCCTTCTGCTTATTTTTCACTATTTTAACCTTCACAGGAGCGATGGTGTCCAGAACTTTCAAAACACTAGAGGTGACAGAGTTAAACAGTTCATCTACAGTAGAATACGATGCATTCTCAAAGTTTATCATTCCCATAAATAGTTCACCCGTATTTTCATTTATGTGTCTTCTTCGTACAGTTACAGAGTCCACTGGTGGTTTGTTAGTGAAACACATGTCAAAAAATATACAAAAATGATCCGAAAGCGCAACATCGACCACGTTTACATTATAAATGTTCGCCCCCTTTGTAACTAACAGGTCTAGAGTGTGCCCTCTGCTGTGGGTGGGGCCACTCACATGCTGAGTGAGACCAAAAGATTCAAGAACAGAACTCAGCTCATTTGCATTTCTGTCATCAACATTATCCACATGAATATTAAAATCACCTGTAATAACCAAACTATCAAAATCTGTGCATACAACTGAAAGCAACTCTGTAAAATTATCAATAAAACTGTGACATGACAACCCAGGACTGGGGCTGTAGACCCAGGACTGAGGCTGTAGACCCAGGACTGAGGCTGTAGACCCAGGACTGGGGCTGTAGACCCAGGACTGAGGCTGTAGACCCAGGACTGAGACTGTATAGACCCAGGACTGAGACTGTATAGACCCAGGACTGAGACTGTATAGACCCAGGATTGAGACTGTATAGACCCAGGACTGAGGCTGTAGACCCAGGACTGAGGCTGTAGACCCAGGACTGAGGCTGTAGACCCAGGACACACACTTAAAAACTTGACCTAAAATGACTTTAATGAAAGTGCACCTTTTCGTTTACACTTCTCCTGACGGCCTCCCCCTGCCCCCCCAGGCGCTCCCAGCCACCCCCACGTGGTGAAGACGGCCTCCATCGGGACCCTGGGCCGGACGCGGACCCCGATGATCGTGACGGTGCCCAACGCCCCGGACGTCCCGGAGACCAGCCGGATGTTGGAGGACGTGGACAGTGTGAGTCTCGGACACGTCTTCCTGAACATCGACGTGCTCCTCTGACCTCACGCTCACAGGAACCGTCCGGACGCCGCCGTTAACTCTGTCTCTCTGTTTCTCCTCTTTTCCGTCTGCTTCTGTCGCTTCTGTCGGCGCATGTTTGTCTTTTAATCAATAACTTTTCAAAAACACCTGGAATGATTTTGTTGCTTTTTTGTTTCGTTTATTTGGAATGCTTTTCTGGATGTTTTTCCGGCTGCTTTTTTCTTTTGGCTTCAGTTTCTTTGACCCATTCACATTTCATTCATACAGTAAGGGGCTGTTCCTGCTGCAAAGACGTGGACTTTCAATGGGAAGCGTTTTATTTCTAGGGTGACAAGGGCAGTGCTAGCAAACGAGCTAAATGTATGAGCTAGAATTAGGTTATAAAACACATAGGTCGGGACTAAGTCGGGGCTAAATCGGGGCTAAGTCGGGGCTAAGTCGGGGCCAAGTCGGGGCCACTGTCTGACCATGTGATCATAATTCTGGACCATGTATAAAATAGGTCTTAAACCTGGCCTGGTCTGGTCTCCAAAGCTTAGCAGGTCTTTAGTTCGGAAGCTGTAAAGTGCAAGGGAAATGTCAGTGTTGTATTACCAGTTAAAGAACAGAAGAATGAGGTTAATATAAAGTATAGAACAACTCTATACTTCTCTATATTTTTTGGTTAATAAAAAAGCAAGACCCGGTCCAGAACCAGATGTTTTTTATTGCCATCGTAGGTCACAGGAGGTCACAGGAGGTCACAGGAGGTCACAGGAGGTCACAGGAGGTCACAGGAAGTCACAAACTAGGAATCTCTTTGGCTCCAGGTGCAGAGAAGTCGTTAGAGTAAAAAGGTAAAGGCAGCATAAAGAGGCGTCGATAAACCAGATTATTAACGCCATAATCCAGCCTCAGGTCTACCCCAGACTTACCCCAGGTCCAGGTATCACAGGTACAGGACATCAGCTGCAGTCTTTGCCTCAGCATCAGCCCCTCCCCCTGCCCTCCTAACCTGACTGACCTGGGCTTGCTCTCCCCCCTCTCCCCCTCTCCCCCTCTCCCCCCTCTTCCCCCCTGGCTCTCCTGCAGGTCCTGGCCTCCCTGACGCCCTCCTCCGCCTCGCGCAGTAACGCCCCCCCTCCTGTGCCTCTCCCGCAGAGCTACGAACCCGACGAGCTGACGGAGGAGATGGCCCACCTGGAGGGCCTCATGAAAGACCTGAACGCAATCACCACCGCGCCCTAGGGACCCCGCCCCACCCCAACTCAGCACCCTAAGGACCCTACCCCGCCCTCGCCACAGCACCCAAAGGACCCCACCCCGCCCTCGCCACAGCACCCTAGGGACACAACTGATTGTTCCGGCTGTTTTACACTTTCACCAGATTAGAAACACAAGATCTGCTACTAGCTTCTCAACCTGCCCTGGTCCTGTCTCCCCTGGTCCTGTCTCCCCTGGTCCTGGTCCTCTCCCCCTGGTCCCCTGGTCTCTCCCCTGATCCTGGGTTCCCTGGTCCCTACCCTGGTCCTGGGTTCCTTGGTCTCTACCCTTGTCCTAGCACCCCTTGTCCTAGCTCCACTGGTCCTGGTCTCTCCCCTGGTCTCGCCTGGTCTCTCCCCTGGGTCTCTCCCCTGGTCTCTCCCCTGGTCTCTCCCCTGGTCTCTCCCCTGGTCTCTCACCTGGTCTCTCACCTGGTCTCTCCCCTGGTCTCTCCCCTGGTCTCTCCCCTGGTCTCTCCCCTGGTCTCTCCCCTGGTCTCTCCCCTGGTCTCTCCCCTGGTCTCTCCCCTGATCTCTCCCCTGATCTCTCCCCTGATCTCTCCCCTGGTCTCTCCCCTGGTCTCTCCCCTGGTCTCTCCCCTGGTCTCTCCCCTGGTCTCTCACCTGGTCTCTCCCCTGGTCTCTCACCTGGTCTCTCCCCTGGTCTCTCACCTGGTCTCTCACCTGGTCTCTCACCTGGTCTCTCCCCTGGTCTCTCACCTGGTCTCTCCCCTGGTCTCTCCCCTGGTCTCTCCCCTGGTCTATACCATTCAATCCAAACGGGGGGAAAACAAAAAGATGCAACTGTGATTTCCGTGGACACAAAATGGCGTCTTGTGCCCGAGAAGCATTCTGTATCTACCTCTGTCTTTATGGTTTTATTTCATTATTTTATAAGTCATTTCAACTGTGATGCTGTGAATAAAAGACACAAGTTCTGTTGGTAAACATTAGTTATTATTAAATGTTTTTTCAGCACAAACAGCAAAACAATTATATGAGGTAAATATCTGAGACCAAACATGAACGATTTACGAGTGTATATATGTTAGATATAAGTTATATATAAATGTTAGATAGTCCACAGTCTCCTCTATATCAGGCTCTGAGCCCAAACTGCTTTTCCTTCGAAGCACAAAGCTCTCTTGCTCCATAGATGCCTCGTCCATTGCTCCTGCTGCAGCCGCTCCGTGCTTCCTTCCAATACACACACACGGACCATTCACAGCGGGAGCTTCCTTGCGGCGACCCTTAAAGGAGCAATATGTAAAAATCTGGCCAAAGGTGGTACTGCAGTCCACAGTCCAGTATTGTGTAGTCCTCTCTCACTCTCCCTGACTCAGGTTGCCAGATTCACACCAAATCCAGCAGCAAACACAGGGAATTTTATTTTATCAGTTGTTTGTCCGTCTCCATTCACATATGCCATGGACAGGCCGTGCTAATGCTGAATGAATGTTTTGATTAATGTTTTTTTAATTATTATTATTTGGACATTTGAGACAAACAAAAACAAAATAAAAAGCAATGTAATTATACATAGTTTATGCAAAATAAATAAGCAATAGATGTTCAAAATAGGAGTGGGTTGGAGTATTTCTTAGAACATTCAGGGGTTTGCTCAAGGAGGATATCACCTTTACATTTTATTTATCTCCCTAACAGGTATCCACTTCAAAAAGTTAACATAATTTTAATTGGGGGGTACATGATGGTCTTAAATGATTATTTTTACAATTTAAGCTAAACAATCTGCAAAAAAAACCGTCTTGGACCTTCATTTTTACCGTTTTTAGAGCAATCTGTCATAGAATGTGAAACATGCCAACAAATACAAAAAGACATAGCCGGTGATCGAACCCGGGGTTCCTGCATCGGTAGCGCACAGTTTAGACATAGAGTTAGTTGGTCCCAAAGTGTGGGTCCTGACCCCCGGGGGGGTCGCGGGGAACCACCTGGGGGGTCGCTAAGTGCTGATTTCCACACAAAAAGGGTACTATAATTATTTTAATCTCGTTAGTAATTTAGTCCCAGTATTGCGTGCGTCAATCAAAATCATCCGTACCACAGTCACTATGCGCAGCGACAGAAGGTGTGTGCCTGTGTTGTTGGCTAAAAACTAACGGTGTTTGAGGCTAACAAATAAATAATACCTGCTTTAAAATGAAACGTGGTTATATTACAACAGAAAAACCCGGAGGGGAGTAACGTCCACTTGTATCAGGGGCTGATGGTGCGAATGAGAGGGAGGAGGGCAGAGGAGGGAGAGAGGGCTGAGGAGGGAGAGAGGAGGCAGAGGAGGGAGGGCAGAGGAGGGAGAGAGGGGCAGAGGATGGAGGGAGGGAGGAGTGCAGAGGGGGAGAGAAGGGCCAGGGGACGGGGAGGGAGGACAGAGGAAGGAGGGAGGGAGAGAGGGCAGCGGAGGGAGGGCAGCGGGAGGGAGGGAGGGCAGCCAGAGGAGGGAGAAGAGAGGGCAGCGGCGCGGAGAGGGCCAGCGGAGGGAGAGGAGGGCAGAGGAGGGGCAGATGGTAGAGAGGGAGGACAGAGTGAGGGTGGAGGAGGCAGAGGAGGGAGAGAGAGGCAGCGGGGTAGAACAGCGGTTAAAAGAGGGCCCGGCTTTTCGGAGTCAAAGGGTAAAGAGGTCGCACTTTAAACAGCGGCGTGGCCGGTTTATTGCCTTTCTGTCTGTAACTTTGGAAAGGAAAGCCTGCGGGGATGGAACCGCCATAAAAGTATACAGCGAAAGCGGGCCACCCGCTTTTAATGATGCGGACCTCTTTACCGCTGACTCCCGGAAAGCGGGCCTCTTTAACGCGTGTTCTACCGCTGCCTCTCTCCCTCCTCTGCCCTCTCTCCCTTCTTGTCCTCCCTCTCCCTCCCTCTGCCCTCTCTCCCTCCCGCTGCCCTCTCTCCCTTCCGCTGCCTCTCTCCACGCCTTCTGCCCTCCCTCCCTCCGCTGCCCCTCCTCCGGCTGCCCTCTCTCCCTCCCTCCTTTCCTCTGTCATCCCTCCTCCTCTGCCCTCTCTCCATTCCTCTGCCTCCTCCTCGCCATCCCTCTCTGCCCCTCTCTCCCTCCTCTGCCCTCCCTCCTCTGCCTCTTCCCTCCTCTGCCCTCTCTCCCTCCCTTGCCCTCTCTCCCTCTCCCCCCTTCGCACCATCAGCCCCGATACAAGTGACTTTTCTCCACCCTCGGGTTTTTCTGTTGTAGATATTAAACCACGTTTCATTTTAAAGCAGGTATATTTATTTGTAGCCTCCCCAAAACACCTTGTTTTAGCAAAACAACAGCAGGACACGCTTGTCGATGCGCCATTGTGGCTGTGTTAGTGATGATTTTGATTGTACGCTGCAATGACTGGGGACAAAATTACTACCGTTATTAAAATTTATTATAGTCTTTTTTGTGTGGAAAATCATCTTGCGACCCCCCAGGTGGTTCCCGCGACCCCGGGGGGTCAGGACCCCCAATTGGGAAACCCACTAGCTCAGTGGTCTAAACTGTGCGCATACGATGCAGGAACCCGGGTTCGATCCGGGCTAATGTCTTTTTGTAATTTATTGCTTGGTTATCACCAATCTATGATCAGGATTGTCTAAAAACCGGTAAATGATGAAGGTCAAGACGTTTTTTTGCAGCATTATAGCTTAATGTAAAAATAATCATGTAAGACCACAGGTACCCAATTAAAATAATGTTAGTCTCCTTTTTGTTGTGGGACTTTTACATGTTAGGGATTAAATTAAATTGTAAAGGTGATATCCTCTTGAGCAAAACCCGGATGTTGATACCTGAAGAAAATACGTTCCAACATCATTCTTCCAACTACCTATTTTGTAACATCAATTGCTTATTTATTTTGCATAAACTATGTATAATCATTGCTTTTTATTTTGTTTTTGTTTTTTATCTCCAATGTCCAATATATAATATTAAAAAAAAAACATTAATCAAACATTTATTCAGCATTAGCACGGCTGTCATGGCAATGTGAATGGAGCCGGACAAAAACTGATAAAAATAATTCCACTGTGTTTGCTGTGGAGTTGGTGTGAATCTGGAACTGGAGTCCATGGCTGAGTGGAGGAGAGGACTACAAAATATTGACTGTGACAGCGAGTACCACCTTTGGCCAGATTCTTTACATATTGCTCCTTTAAGGGTCGCGCAAAGGAGCTCCGCGGTGATGGTCCGTGTGTGTGTGATTGGAAGGAAGCACGGAGCGCGCTGCAGCAGGAGCATGGACGAGGCACTATGGAGCAGAGAGCTTTGTGCTTCGAAGGAAAAGCAGTTGGGGATCAGAGCCTGATATACAGGAGGATGTGGATATCTAACATCTATCTAACTTATATCTCACATATATATAACTTTATCTAACACTATATACATGCGTATTGTATTTCCAACTATTATTTGTTTTGCTGTTTGTGCTTGAAAACTGTTTTCATAATACTATGTTTCCAACAGAAACTGTGTCTTTATTCACCGCATCCCAGTTGAATATGACTTTAAAATAATGAATCCATAAAACTGTTGTAGGATGTTGCAGGGAACAGTAGTAATACTAACACTATCTAAATAAACCTACAGTAGGAAAACACTTGGCTTAAGGCCTGCACACTTAACATTCCGTCTTCCCATCACTGTAAACTACCGACTATAAATCATGGATTTCAAAAGGCTCTGACGTGTACATTTGAATTTGTAACAACATAATAACATTTTAATTCTGGATATTCAAAGTTTTCTATTTTATTTAAACCGAAAATCATGTAGAGTGTAAAATCGTGACCCACTCCTCAGACGCTAGACCCCAGATGAGCGACGGCGCAATGCGCAGACTGATGGAGGATGCTTCTGTTTCTTTAATGGCGGGCTAAAATCAATATTGCCGTATACTTGCCCACCTACTGGAATCGGAGTGTTATATCCATGCCTTTGGACCAAATGTTACAGTCTATTTATCAATTTTGGTGAAGTTAGAAAATAAAATTAATGCCCTTCTTGATTAAACCCCTCTCCCAAAATCAGGCCCGTCCTAAGGGCTGTGCGACCTGTGCCGTCGCACAGGGGCCTCGCACCACACAGGGGCCTCGCAATCTTCCTTCCTTTTATTTTATTTTAGAAATAACTAGGTTCTGGGTCCCCAAAGGGCAGACTGCACTCCAATTGGAACCCTAACACCCTTCTCTGGACCTCTTTGATTTCGTTTGATCAAAAGAACATTTTTTACAAGTTAAAGTCAAATTTTCACCAAAAGCGATTTGTTAACAGGAGGCGCTGACGGGCCAGCTTGTATGCCACGGGGTCCTCTCGACAAAAAAACTGTCAGATAACTTTAGCAGTGTCTGAGTGAGATACAAGAAAGTAAACGGGTTATGATCGCAGTGTGAGGAGAGATGGATTTTACTCGCGGAGGTAGGTAGCAGTGGCCGAAGTAGTGTGAGCAGAGGAGCAGACCTTTTGTGTGTGCAGAGGAGGGGAGGAGGAGGCGAGGAGGAGGAGCAGTGTTACAGGAGGTGTGAGCAGAGAGCAGACCCCTTTGTGTTTGAATAAAAAAAACAAAAAAACAAAAAAAACAATTTAGTCTGGTTCAGTCTGCAGTACTGCGAGAATCCCCCGAGCACGTGAGTTATTCAGCTACAAGCTAGTAATACCCTATCCAGTTATTATGATAGATCCATGGGTAAAAGTAACAAAACCACGACACCAGGACAGACGCTTTCCTGTCTTTTTGCTTGTAACTGAACTTGAATCCTTCTTTCAGGTTTGTGGTTGTGGCTCCAAACCTGATCCGGACTGACACTGAGGAGAACGTGTTCATTCAGGCCGACGCCGAAGTCCAAGTTAAGATCCATTTCAAAGACTACGTCTCGGAGAATATTCTGACAACTTCCTACGTCACTCTCAACAGTGAAAACAAGTTCCATGCCCTGGCGCCCGTCCAGGTCAGAGAACACGGGTTTTAAAAGGAAAATATATAGATTTAGAGATTCTTTGGTTGTAGGGTTAACAATGCAAAGGAATAAATAGTTAAGGTTTCATATCAAGTATCACAACACAGCAGTCTGATGCAGTCACTGTGCTGTGGGGAAGAGGGAGCAGGGTCTGCAGTCAGAGCTCTCGATTCGCAACGACCCACATGAGCTTCATCTGCACATTGGCAGCTGGACGCTCCCTTAGAGATAGGGTGAGGAGCTCAGTCACATGATGGGAGGAGCATGGAGTAGAGCCGCTGCTTCTCCAAGTCGAGAGGAATCAGATGAGGAGACCAGGGGACGACCCAGGACACACCGGAGTGGCTGTGTCTCTCGGCTGGTCTGGGAACGCCTCAGGGTTCCCCCCGATGAGACGGCTGCCCCTGTGACCCGGCTCCAGATCAAGCAGAAGAACATGGATGGATGGATTATGTAGGTCTGGGCCTTGCTCATCTTGAGTCGTGAGGGAAGGATGGATCTGTGCAGCCTCGTCACGGCGGCAAGATCACGAATACATCGGTCAATCATGTTTAATTTAGCTTCGTTTTATTTGAGTTTTTAATTTATTTCAAGCTTATGAACAGATATCATTCATACATACATTTCAGAGATTCCTTTTTCACTCCTGTCAAAGCTCAAAAAGGAGTGGGAAGAAGTCAGACTTATAAGCTTCCATCCCATACCTAAAATCACATTACAGTTGCGTTCAATTACCGGTAATATAACACACGCACGCACGCACACACACACACACACACACACACACACACACACACACACACACACACACACACACACACACACACACACACACACACACACACACACACACACACACACACACACACACACACACACACACACACACACACACACACACACACATCAATAAATTGCAAACCATATAAATGTTTTTATTTGTAGAAAAGAAAACAAAAATCTGCCAGAAGTTTTCCAGTGGTTCCAGACAAACTCTGTTCCACTCAAATATACCAGTTTTTTTTTCCTTTTTAGTTTCAACAAATAAATACACATACAGCTCCTAACATGATCCTCTTGAATTCCAGCTGCCATCGAACTATTTTGAACGAGAGAAGAAAGTAAAGCAGTTTGTCTACCTGGAGGTTCAGTTCGGAAATGAGCACACTGAGAAGAGAGCTATCCTGGTGTCCTTTCAATCAGGATACATCTTCATCCAGACCGACAAGCCCATCTACAAACCAGAACAATTCGGTGAGTCAGACAATAGTTAGGTCAAGACATGCTCATTGACCTTGTTCTCAAATCTTATCTTATCTTGACCTTTTTCTTGCTAACTCCCAGCTCCTCCGGGAAATAGGGGTCCCTGTCACCGCCTGACTAATGCACAAAAGTCTCAAAATACTTTCTTGTGGTTACAGACTTAAGAGTGGGTTTGTATCTGTACTTTATGTGAATATGTCCCAAAAAGAGAACACTCCTTTTATCTGTTTTGTACCGATGCTAACGGCTATACTCAAACGACGGTAAGCAAATAAGCAAACGGCTATAGGCTAACGGCTATAGGCTAACGGCTATAGGCTAACGGCTGTAAGCAAATTATAATAAGCTAACGGCTATAGGCTAACGGCTATAGGCTAACGGCTGTAAGCAAATTATAATAAGCTAACGGCTATAGGCTATAGGCTAACGGCTATAGGCTAACGGCTGTAAGCAAATTATAATAAGCTAACGGCTATAGGCTAACGGCTATAGGCTAACGGCTGTAAGCAAATTATAATAAGCTAACGGCTATAGGCTAACGGCTATAGGCTAACGGCTGTAAGCAAATTATAATAAGCTAACGGCTATAGGCTATAGGCTAACGGCTATAGGCTAACGGCTGTAAGCAAATTATAATAAGCTAACGGCTATAGGCTAACGGCTGTAAGCAAATTATAATAAGCTAACGGCTATAGGCTAACGGCTGTAAGCAAATTATAATAAGCTAACGGCTATAGGCTAACGGCTGTAAGCAAATTATAATAAGCTAACGGCTATAGGCTAACGGCTGTAAGCAAATTATAATAAGCTAACGGCTATAGGCTAACGGCTGTAAGCAAATTACAACAAGCCAACGGCTACAGGCTAACGGCTACAGGCTAACGGCTTTAAGCAACGGCTACAAGCTAATCACTATAATCTAACGGTTAACGCTTTAAGCTAATGGCTTTAAGAACAATATCTGAACATTGTAAAGCGCTTTGGGTGACCTTGGTATGTAAAATGTGCTTTATAAATATACATTGCTTAACTTACTTACTTACTAATGGCTTTGTGGTAACGGTTATGTTCGCGCAGCGGAGGGGTCCGCTTCCGCCCTGAAGGTACTTATTTTCCGATAATGACCTGCGTACTATACGTTATCCCGCTTATTACACGGCTTTATACCAACAGAACACACAACATAAACTTCAGTCCATTTTTATGAATGCCGAAAGGTTTATTTAAAATAAGAAAGAAAATAAAATAGTTCCCAAAGGCTTTCCCGTGGCTATGCTAGCAACAGTTAGGCTATCAACTTCCAAACTAGAACATCAGCGGTGAGTGACCCAAACTTAAACTTAACCTAAATCCATAATTCCATCCTCTGCAAATGTTCCTAAAATGTGCCGGTATCTACTTTGGGTTTTTCGGGATCGCCTTTTCTCACATTACATCAGTGTTTTTGTCATGAAAACGGAAACAGAAAATTCTGAGAACTTCTGTGCACTTGTATTAAGAATGTACATGTATAATGTACGCTCCGATTAACATTTCATTGCGTTGATTGATTGGCATTTTCGTTTATTGAGCGTGGTTAGCTCCGGAATTCTGAAAATTTCCGTGCACGTGTGTGAAGAATGTATAAGTATTCTCAAATTAACATTTAAGTGCGTTTATTGAGCGTGGCTAGCTCTGGAGTTGCCGGAACTACTTGCGCAGTTATCCACGCATCTGAAAGACAAGCAGAGAGAGCGTTGCCAAAGGGCAGCGGTCATTATTGTTTTGAGAGGTCCGTTATAGAAAATAATGACCGGTAGAACGTTTTGAAATTACATTCAAATCAATGGAGCGTTCTCCTGCTGCTGTGAGGAGCGTGGAATAAAAGATAAGAGTGTCTTAAAATGTCTGAATATGTCCTGAATTTGTTTTATTAGTCTGTAATAACACCTAACCTGCATCCAATATTAGCCTGTTAGCTGTACCAAAACAATACTTAATTATAAACTCTATCACTTTACCAGTCACTATTCCATTCATTAGATATACCTGATCACAGTAATCAGTTTGTGATCATGCACTGATTTTGAAGGCTTTGATGAGTCTGTGAAAATGTTCAATCCAGTCACAGGCGAATCTGGGGACAAGTATTCAATATTCCTACTGTACAATACAAGTCCTTCCTTCTTCAGACTTTACAATAATCAACGAGGACTAACGAACACTGCCAATCTGACCTCACATGTCGTGTATCTGTGCAATCATTTGAAGTAATGTCAGGATGTTCAATATGGAACCACATGTGTCCACTATCACCTTACTTATCTTTGCAATGTGTCTAGGAAAATACGTTTTCTCCTGTTTTATTTGAGGACTAGTGAATTATCAGAACAGGAGAGTGACGTACAGACTGGTTGTACAGTCTGACTCTGACAGCAGCAAGTAGGAAGTACCTGCGGAACATCTCCTTCACACAGCGCAGATAATGGTCGTCCATGTGTTTTCTAAATGTGTTTCACCAGTGTTTTTTCTCGTTTCAGTCAAAATACGTGTGTATGCCACCTCTCCATCCTTCAAAGCCAGTAATTCAATGCCAGTCTCCATCGACATTAAGGTTGGTGTTAATAAAACCGTGTTACACCTAACATATACCACTGATTAGAAAATGAAAGCTGGGGTACCTAACGTTTATCTTTTAGGGACGAATAAAGGAATTCTTATCTTATCTTATCTTATAATGCATGTAGTTTATTCAAATGTAGAAAGAGTCTTGTTAAAGCTAAATGTTGTGAACATTTCAGGCCAATCAGATGCTGTTTTCTTCAAATTAGCCAATATGTATAATCTTTTGCTTCTTGTACAGAAGAGCCCTGGGAGTCACAGTTTGACGCTTTGGTCTGAGTAAGGGTGGTCCTGTCTATTTCACTTTAGAGTTTTAGTTTATTTATTCTGGATGACAGAAACAGTGCACAATAAACATTAACCTCAAAGGGAAAGATGCATTGTACCAGGTTTTAGCTCAAGAGCTAATTTCCACTCATAGTCCCTGGGCAGGTTGATGTTATGATAATTATTAAAATAACAAACATCCATAGATATACAGTTTACATTGGATCAAGTCTTCATGTGTACTATTTGTTAAAACCTCACATTAATATTGCTCATTTAAACAGGTCAAACACACACATATACACATAAATCACATGTTCCCGCTCCCGTCTCACACACACACACACACACACACACACACACACATGCTACATATGAGTGCAAGTTTGGTCACCGCAGCTCCCAGTATGTCAAAAATCTAAATATTTTCTAATGGTTTTCGAGCAAAGCACTCGACCAAAAGAGCGTGCTGCCTTCTCATTGAAATGATAAAACAAAAGATTGATAATGGAGGAGTAGTAGGAGCAATGGGCCTCATTCACGAACGGTTCTTAGGAACAGATTTGTACGTAAATCCTACTTACGAGGTTTTTTTCGTAACCAGAATTTCTCTTGGGCAAGTACAAATCCTACAAGTCCTCAGGAGCACTCGTACGCATTCAGTGCCGACATGTTCACATGCCGGGGTTGTCCTCTTTGGTGAAGTTTATTAAAAATACAACATTCCAGTGATATGTCCGTCATATTGATGTATGTATTTAATCTATTATTTCATTTTTGTGGTTACATATTATTTTTCATATTCATTTTCAAATTAAATGTGCCAACGCTTTTCAAAATACATTGGAGATCTTGCCGTGTATTAGTGACCCCTTCCTATTTATAGGGGGCATTTCTTTATCCACGGGCCACAGAACAACGGCATATATACTGCTGCTGCAGGAGGTTACGGGGTCCGCGCTGAGTCTCTGCGCTGGTCTCTCCCATGGATCTATACGGGTCTGCACTGGTCTCTCCCATGGACTGCACTGGTCTCTCCCATGGATCTAGACGGGTCTGCACTGGTCTCTCTCCATACGGGTCCGTGCTGCATGCTCCTGGATCCATACGGGTCCGCGCTGGTCTCTCAAGTCTGGTCTATGCGGTCTCTGTGCACCGGTCTCTCCAGTCAGGTCACTCCAGTCTATGCGGTCTCTCCTATAGGTCCGCGCTGGTTTCTGTGTGCTGGTCACTCCAGTCTCTCCTCGGGTCTGCATTGGTCTCAGCGCTGGTCTGCGCTGGATCTCCTCCCAGGGTCCAAAATATTTTGAGATTAATCTCAAAACATTTTAAGATTCATCTTTAAAATAATATATAATATATTTTTAAATTAAGATCATAACATTTTGAGATTAATCTCATCATATTCTTAGATTCATCTCATAATTTTGCTAGTTCGACTTTATTTGCATAATATTTTGACTTTTGTCAACATTTTATAACTTTATTCTCAGTCTGGCAAAAGAAGAAAAAAGGGTGACTCTTTTGCTCCGTGTAACTCTTTGCTTTAGGCCTGTTGCCGTTTCCTCTGGCGTCTGCACACGGCCCTGCAGTCCCTTATATGGGCATTAGTGGGCGGTTACCTATGCTAAGTACCTATGCTAATGAAGCACCTGGCACGCGCGCTCTACTTACGAGGAGTTGGCATTCATCAATCTGAGAGAACAGCTGCGAACAATTCAGCGGCTTACGAGTGCGTTGATGAATCCCACGTAGGCTCTTCTTAGAAATCTACTTAAGAATGACTTGAGAAGAAATTTAAGAAGTTTCTTACGAAGTTATTCGTGAATGAGGCCCAATATTCTTAGACCGTCGCAAAGCATTTGACACCGTTAGTCACCCCACATTACTTACAAAATTAATCACATTTAATCTGTCTGTATATACTCTGGCTTGGATAAAGTCCTACCTATCTAGCCGGAGTCAATGTGTGCGAATCAGTAACACCACATCCAACATCAGTGCTACTGATACTGGGGTACCACAAGGCTCCAACATGGGCCCTCTGCTCTTCTCACTGTATATAAATGACATCTGTATGTGAGGATGTCAAAATCCAGATGTATGCAGATGATACGGTCATCTATACATGGGGAAGGGACGCTCAAACAGTAGCCAATAAACTGACTGTAGCAATGGAGAAGGTTGCAACATGGCTCCACGAATCCTGTCTCACATTAAACATCAGTAAAACGGCAACAATGTACTTTGTAAATAAAAACAAAACTACCGTGTTTCCAAACATAACCGTAAAAGGGGAGGTGGTAAAAAATGTGAATGAATATCGTTACTTGGGTGTGATTTTAGATCCCACCCTCAGCCTCAAAAAACATATCAAACAGATGAGCCTTAGCCTCAAACATAATATAAAGACGTTCAAATGTATCAGGAACTCACTAACACTGGAGGGAGCCCAAACTTATTTTAATGCAATGATCATGTCTTGTTTTTATTATTGTATAACGTCTTGGTCCCAGGCAAATAAAACCACTCTGAGGTCATTGGAAACTCTGCACAAACAGTCACTTAAGATCCTCGACCGGAAACCACGACATCACCATCACTGTTTAGTTCTCCAAAAATACAGACTTTTAAATTTTGACAATATTCAAAGATATGCATCCATACGATTGGCTCACAGAATATTAAACAACACCGCACCAGCTCCACTCAAACACTTTGATCAGTTCACATCTTCTGCAACAACTAGAACCACACGAGCCTCCACCAGAGTGTGTGTGTCTGTATCAGAGAGTGTGTGTGTCTGTATCAGAGAGTGTGTGTGTCTGTATCAGAGAGTGTGTGTGTCTGTATCTGAGAGTGTGTGTGTCTGTATCAGAGAGTGTGTGTGTCTGTATCAGAGAGTGTGTGTGTCTGTATCAGAGAGTGTGTGTGTCTGTATCTGAGAGTGTGTGTGTCTGTATCGAGAGTGTGTGTCTGTATCAGAGAGTGTGTGTGTCTGTATCAGAGAGAGTGTGTGTGCTGCTGTATCGAGAGGTGTGTGTGTCTGTATCAGAGAGTGTGTGTGTCTGTATCAGAGAAGGAGTGTGTGTGTCTGTATCAGAGAGTGTGTGTGTCTGTATCAGAGGGTGTGTGTGTGTCTGTAGGGGTCTGATCAGAGAGGTGTGTGCTGTATCAGTGTGTGTGTCTGTGGTCTCAGAGAGTGTGTGTGTCTGTATCAGAGAGTGTGTGTGTCTCTGTATCAGAGAGTGTGTGTGTCTGTATCAGAGAGAGTGTGTGTGTCTGTATCAGAGAGTGTGTGTGTCTGTATCAGAGAGTGTGTGTGTCTGTATCAGAGAGTGTGTGTGTCTGTATCAGAGAGTGTGTGTGTCTGTATCAGAGAGTGTGTGTGTCTGTATCAGAGAGAGTGTGTGTGTCTGTATCAGAGAGTGTGTGTGTCTGTATCTGAGAGTGTGTGTGTCTGTATCTGAGAGTGTGTGTGTCTGTATCAGAGAGTGTGTGTGTCTGTATCAGAGAGAGTGTGTGTGTCTGTATCAGAGAGTGTGTGTGTCTGTATCAGAGAGTGTGTGTGTCTGTATCTGAGAGTGTGTGTGTCTGTATCAGAGAGTGTGTGTGTCTGTATCAGAGAGTGTGTGTGTCTGTATCAGAGAGAGAGTGTGTGTCTGTATCAGAGAGAGTGTGTGTGTCTGTATCAGAGAGTGTGTGTGTCTGTATCTGAGAGTGTGTGTGTCTGTATCAGAGAGTGTGTGTGTCTGTATCAGAGAGAGTGTGTGTGTCTGTATCAGAGAGAGTGTGTGTCTGTATCAGAGAATGTGTGTGTCTGTATCAGAGAGTGTGTGTGTCTGTATCAGAGAGTGTGTGTCTGTATCAGAGAGTGTGTGTGTCTGTATCTGAGAGTGTGTGTGTCTGTATCAGAGAGTGTGTGTGTCTGTATCAGAGAGTGTGTGTGTCTGTATCAGAGAGAGAGTGTGTGTCTGTATCAGAGAGAGTGTGTGTGTCTGTATCAGAGAGTGTGTGTGTCTGTATCTGAGAGTGTGTGTGTCTGTATCTGAGAGTGTGTGTGTCTGTATCAGAGAGTGTGTGTGTCTGTATCAGAGAGAGTGTGTGTGTCTGTATCAGAGAGTGTGTGTGTCTGTATCTGAGAGTGTGTGTGTCTGTATCAGAGAGTGTGTGTGTCTGTATCAGAGAGCGTGTGTGTGTCTCTATCAGAGAGAGTGTGTGTCTGTATCAGAGAATGTGTGTGTCTGTATCAGAGAGTGTGTGTGTCTGTATCAGAGAGTGTGTGTCTGTATCAGAGAGTGTGTGTGTCTGTATCTGAGAGTGTGTGTGTCTGTATCAGAGAGTGTGTGTGTCTGTATCAGAAAGAGTGTGTGTGTCTGTATCAGAAAGAGTGTGTGTCTGTATCAGAGAATGTGTGTGTCTGTATCAGAGAGTGTGTGTGTCTGTATCAGAGAGTGTGTGTCTGTATCAGAGAGTGTGTGTGTCTGTATCAGAGAGTGTGTGTGTCTGTATCAGAGAGAGTGTGTGTCTGTATCAGAGAGTGTGTGTGTCTGTATCAGAGAGTGTGTGTCTGTATCAGAGAGTGTGTGTCTGTATCAGAGAGAGTGTGTGTCTGTATCAGAGAGAGTGTGTGTCTGTATCAGAGAGAGTGTGTGTCTGTATCAGAGAGTGTGTTGTTATTTTTATTGGATTGTACATTGTGTTCATGTATCATTCTTATTGTGTAACCAGGGACTGCAGATGGAAAGTAGGTGTTTAGCTTTAATCTGGTGCAGAACATATCTGTCTTTGAGCTTCTCTACCTCTGTACATTGTCCCTTCCAAATAAAGACTAAACTAAACTAACAAGATTAAGAGAACCTTTTATTCAATCCGTTATTTACAGAAAAGTAGGAATGAGGAGCACACAACACATGATAAATGAACAATACAAAATTAAATTCTCCAACTTTAGCATAATAAAGAAGTAGGCATGGGATGAAGACAGCGTGTTGTGGTACACCAGCTTTAATAGCAGATTGTAAATTGTTCTGTGTTTTGAAGAGTCCAGATAATGTCGTGGTCGACCAGAAACCAAACAGGAAACCAACTCCATACGGCATCGTTCCTGTATCCTACACTATTCCTAAGATTGGGTCGTAAGTCATTGCTGTATTATGGTGATAGTATTAGCTGTTGGTTACTAGTACTTAGTAAATGCAACTTTTTTGTCCCATAACAGTGAAGGAAAATGGACCATACATGCAAAATTCGATGGCTGGCCTGAGAACAACTTCAATACCACTTTTGATGTTAAGAATTATGGTACGTCAAACAGGAAAGCTGCCAGATTTTGACTTGGTTATTGTTGTTTTCTTTTGGCATTTACACACTAGGGACAAGGAAAGTTTATTTGTGTAGAAGAGGGCAACTTAAAGTGATTTTTCAAAACAAGAGGGGAAAGATTGAAATCATCAATTAAAGCTGCACTAACTGACTTTATTTTTGTATTCATTACGAAAATGCTATCCATGTCCATGTAGTGCATTGGGATATACATCATTTTGAAGAAAAAGTAGCGCAGATTTGTGCTGGCGTGACATTATATTTTAGATCGAGTTTTGATGAAACAAGGAAGAGAATGTGTTTCGGGTCGCGGATTGTGACCAATCACAGTGGACCACTAGCCCCCACTTTCGTGAGAAATCTACAGGTCCGTTAGCATAGACAGCTGAGTTAGCACAACAAGCCGAGGAGCTAACCTGAAGCTTCATGTCTTCGGCACCGGTTACTGCTTACACAGCGAGACAGCCATCCAAAAGAAAGCCCCGTTCCTCCGCTCTTCCCGGTTCTATCGTTCTATGGTCACGCCATCCACGTACAAATCCATATTCGTGTATTATCCATATTGGGAGACGCTAACTCCGTCCCAACAGTGGGTGTGTGTGGGGGGCGATAGCTTCGTGGGTGCGGGGAGGGGAGCAGAAAGAGAGAGGCCAGAGAGTCTGCTGCTTCAAAATCCCAAAGTCAGTTAGTGCAGCTTTAAGTACAAGCATGAATAATCTTCTTACATTCATTAATTTAAAGTAATACATTGAAAAATATTTGAACATGGCAGAGAAGAAGCCTGTCTCACATTTTCAGGAAGGAAGACTGTTCCAGATTTTAGCTGCATACATCTGGAATGCTGCCTCCTCATGTTTAGTCCTGACTCTGGGACCAGCAGGAGGTCAGTCCCTGTGCTCCTCATAGTTCCAGCAGGAGGCCAGTCCCTGTGCTCCTCAGAGTCCCAGCAGGAGGCCAGTCCCTGTGCTCCTCAGAGTCCCAGCAGGAGGCCAGTCCCTGTGCTCCTCAGAGTCCCAGCAGGAGGCCAGTCCCTGTGCTCCTCAGAGTCCCAGCAGGAGGCCAGTCCTTGTGCTCCCTAGAGTCCCCGCAGGAAGTCAGTCCCTGTGCTCCCTAGAGTCCCAGCAGGAGGCTAGTCCCTGTGCTCCTCAGAGTCCCAGCAGGTGGCCAGTTCCTGTGCTCCTCAGAGTCCCAGCAGGAGGCCAGTTCCTGTGCTCCTCAGAGTCCCAGCAGGAGGCCAGTCCCTGTGCTCCCTAGAGTCCCAGCAGGAGGCCAGTCCCTGTGCTCCCTAGAGTCCCAGCAGGAGGCCAGTCCCTGTGCTCCCTAGAGTCCCAGCAGGAGGCCAGTCCCTGTGCTCCCTAGAGTCCCAGCAGGAGGCCAGTCCCTGTGCTCCCTAGAGTCCCAGCAGGAAGCCAGTCCTTGTGCTCCTCAGAGTCCCAGCAGGAGGCCAGTCCCTGTGCTCCCTAGAGTCCCCGCAGGAGGACAGTCCCTGTGCTCCCTAGAGTCCCAGCAGGAGGCCACTCCCTGGGCTCCTCAGAGTCCCAGCAGGAGGCCAGTCCCAGTGCTCCCTAGAGTCCACGCAGGAAGCCAGTCCCTGTGCTCCTCAGAGTCCCAGCAGGAGGCCAGTCCCTGTGCTCCCTAGAGTCCCAGCAGGAGGCCACTCCCTGGGCTCCCTAGAGTCCCAGCAGGAGGCTAATCCCTGTGCTCCTCAGAGTCCCAGCAGGTGGCCAGTCCCTGTGCTCCTCAGAGTCCCAGCAGGAGGCCAGTCCCTGTGCTCCCTAGAGTCCCAGCAGGAGGCCAGTCCCTGTGCTCCCTAGAGTCCCAGCAGGAGGCCAGTCCCTGTGCTCCCTAGAGTCCCAGCAGGAGGCCAGTCCCTGTGCTCCCTAGAGTCCCAGCAGGAGGCCAGTCCCTGTGCTCCCTAGAGTCCCAGCAGGAGGCCAGTCCCTGTGCTCCCTAGAGTCCCAGCAGGAGGCCAGTCCCTGTGCTCCCTAGAGTCCCCGCAGGAAGCTAGTCCCTGTGCTACCTAGAGTCCCAGCAGGAGGCTAGTCCCTGTGCTCCCTAGAGTCCCAGCAGGAGGCCAGTCCCTGTGCTCCTCAGAGTCCCCGCAGGAAGCCAGTCCCTGTGCTCCTCAGAGTCCCAGCAGGAGGCCAGTCCCTGTGCTCCTCAGATTCCCAGCAGGAGGCCAGTCCCTGTGCTCCTCAGAGTCCCAGCAGGAGGCCAGTCCCTGTGCTCCTCAGATTCCCAGCAGGAGGCCAGTCCCTGTGCTCCTCAGATTCCCAGCAGGAGGCCAGTCCCTGTGCTCCTCAGAGTCCCAGCAGGAGGCCAAGATTGAGTAATCTATGTTTTGACTCTATGCTGTGGCTCCAGGTGTATTCTGAATCCGGAACATCCTGCTGATTTGGCACTATCACTAAAGGGGGAAAAAGATTTCTGATGTCGGAGCGGAGCCTTTTTTCAAAAGTGAAATCTGAGTGAAGTAGATTTGTAGGATTTAGCATGAAGACCGCTTAAACCACAAGTGTCAAAGTCAAGGCCCGGGGGCCAGATACGGCCCGCAAGACCGTTTCCAGTGGCCCCTGAAATGATTTACATTATTTTATTAAATAGGAGCATTAATGGTCATAGGCGACAATGACATGTTATCCATTACTGAGAAAACAACCATAACATTTAACTCCATAAGAAATGTCAAGCCAACATGAAATTAGAAGTTATTATTATGTTTTTACGTATGTTTTTTACGAGTCTACAATTACATTTCTTCTTAAAGATTTGGAGGATGTCCATATTTGTGTGGACTCACCACCTGCAGAGGATCAGTGAGGGGCTGGTGCTATGAGACTTGGGTGGCATCTCTGACTGCCACCCCCCTGACCCAGAAATGGATTAAAGAGTAGAAAATGGATTGATGGATGTCCATATTTTCTAAGGAAAAAACCGCCCTCTCCACTTTTTGAACAAACCTCTCTGGTCTTATTTGAAGAGCACAAATCAGGAGAATGATTGACAGTTGGGAGGACCAATAGTCTTGATGATCCACACAGAAGTAGAAAATCCTCCAATACACCTTCAATATTTGGTCCAGTTTTGGTTCAGTCCACAGGAACTGAACTAATTCTAATTCTAGTCCAATCTAACTAATGTGAAGTCATTTATATAGAAACCTTCATCCATCCATCCATTTTCTTCCGCTTTATCCGTTGCCGGGTCGCGGGGGCAGCAGTCTAAGCAGAGACGCCCAGACTTCCCTATCCACACACACTTCCTCCAGCTCGTCCGGGGGGATCCCAAGGCGTTCCCAGGCCAGCTGAGAGACATAGTCCCTCCAGCGTGTCCTAGGTCTTCCGCGGGGCCTCCTCCCGGTGGGACGTGCCCGGAACACCTCCCCAGGGAGGCGTCCAGGAGGCATCCGGAACAGATTCCCGAGCCACCTCAACTGGTTCCTCTCAACGTGGAGAAGCAGCGGCTCTACTCCGAGCTCCTCCCGTGTGACTGAGCTCCTCACCCTATCTCTAAGGGAGCAGCCACTCTGCAGAGGAAGCTCATTTCGACCGCTTGTATCCGCGATCTCGTTCTTTCGGTCATTACCCAAAGCTCATGACCATAGGTGAGCTATGGTCCCTATGCTCCCTCTTCACCACAACGGTCCGATACAGAGACCGCATCACTGCGCACGCTGCACCGATCCGCCTGTCAATCTCACGCTCCATTCTTCCCTCACTCGTGAACAAGACCCCGAGATACTTGAACTCCTCCACTTGAGGAAGGACCTCTCCACCCACCTGCAGAGGGCAAGGCACCTTTTTCCGGTCGAGCACCATGGCCTCGGATTTGGAGGTGCTGATTCTCATCCCAGCTGCTTCACACTCGGCTGCAAACCGCCCCAGTGCATGCTGCAGGTCCTGGTTCGTTGGAGCCAACAGGACAACATCGTCCGCAAACAGCAGAGATGAAATCCTGTGGTCTCCGAACCGGACCCCCTCCGACCCCTGGCTGCGCCTAGATATTCTGTCCATAAATACAGTGAACAGAACCGGTGACAAAGGGCAGCCCTGTCGGAGGCCAACATGCACCGGGAACAGGTCTGACTTACTGCCGGCAATGCGAACACAGCTCCGGCTCCGGTCATACAGGGATCGGATGGCCCTCAGCAGAGGACCTCCGACCCCGTACTCCCGGAGAACCCCCCAAAGGACACCCCGGGGAACACAGCTGAACGCCTTCTCCAAATCCACAAAGCACATGTGGACAGGTTGGGCGAACTCCCATGAACCCTCGAGTATCCGATGGAGAGTATAAAGCTGGTCCAGTGTTCCGCGACCGGGACGAAAACCACACTGCCCCTCCTGGATCCGAGATTCGACCATCGGCCGTAGCCTCCTCTCCAGTACCTTGGAGTAGACCTTACCGGGGAGGCTGAGGAGTGTGATCCCACGATAATTGGAACACACCCTCCGGTCCCCCTTCTTGTAGAGAGGGACCACCACCCCGGTCTGCCACTCCATTGGTACTGCCCCCCAATAGAAACCTTCATATTATAAAAAAAAGTATAATAAATTAAACCCACTTTTTCTTTTGGCCCCTGAACAGCCCTTTCATTTTTTTATACGGCCCTCAACCAAAATGAGTTTGACGCCTCTGGTTTAAACCTTCTCATAAACTGCTCATACATTTTGTTTTAGTCCTCCCTGATTTCAATGTCACTGCAAAACCCAGAAAACTGTACATGGACGTGGAAGATACTGAGTTGTTCGTGGACATCACTGCTAGGTTCGTCAGCCATAACAGTTTCTTAAATCTGTTTAAAGTCTAATATAATCATGTCTGCGTTTGTGCTTAAGTTATTTTTTTGGCGAGTCGGTCATTGGGAATGCGTATGTGGTCTTCGGGGTGAAGAAGGACAAGCAGATCAAGATGTCTCCGAAAGTGAAGAAAGTCACTATGGTTTGTCAAAATACTCCCTGCGATGTATCTGTCCCATATTTCAATTATATTCTTGTTCATATGTCATGTCTCTGGATCTGTTCCTATGGTTTGTTTTAATTGTTTTGAGTTCTTTGCTGATGCAGGAGGGTGTAAGGACAATGGTGATGATCCAGGACATTTGTCAACATTTATGGGGATTGGTCAAAGGCTCTATGTGTTTTTTTATCATTGCATTTCCTGTGTTTGAACTGTTTGATTCTCTGATTGGCATTGACGAATCGACAACTTTGTAAAGTCCTCCGAGACGACTGCTGTTGTGATTTAGGGCTATACACGATACATGTAATTGAATGTCAAGTATATCCATCTTAGCTATGTTTTGGCGAAATGAGCCTAGCCTGTCATCTAGTTGTGATAACTATTTAATTGCTTGATTTTATTTAATGCAATGGGAGGTCTTGGTTTAGATCTACTTCCCTATAAATCCTGTTTCGCATGGCGCCGTAACGATGGCGGCGTGGCAAGAGCTCTGGTGTGTGTCGTCTGGTGCACACTGGGGTAGTCTTGCACAGTTTTTCCTATGTGGTTTCACTGCAAATGGCAAATATCTGAATCTGAATCAGAAATTTACACCATTTTTCATCACTTTTTGCTGTGTGAGTATGAACAATGTCCATAAATCTTGATAAATGTCACTGAATGTGGAGTGTCCTGGATCATCAGCACTGTCCATAGAGTCTAAGGGACATTGTCAAAGTCATGTCAAAGTCAAATACATCAGAGGGCCAAAAAAACAAATTTGCTGCGAGCCGAGGGCCGGACTGGTTCAATGTTTATTAACTCATTGCCTGCCAGCCTATTTCAGAACAGGTGCTCCCATATTGCCAGCAGTTTCTGATGATTTTTATTGATTTTTCAAGAACCACAGAATATTGTGTACTATGACTATCTGAAATCCAAAACCAGATTCTGAAAGAATAGACTGTCTACTTTCATCAGCAAAAATAATTTTGTTTCTAGCTTGTAATCCCCAGTTGAGTAGAGGGAGGGTAGAGTTTTACTGAAATCACCAAAAAGTTGAGAAAAAAGAGGCACAACAAGTGCATCTAGCTGTTTTCAAACCATTCAGAGAGCGCTGCTGCCACCTGCTGGCTTGATTCAATATGCTCTCAAGCTTATCCCCAAACATATTAGATATAATAGACATCTGGGAACATGAAAATAGCGGAAAACGACGCATTATTGACGCATTATTACGTCAATGGCAGGAAACGGCCATGTAAAATTCATTCGCGGGCCGGACTTGGCCCGCGGGCCTTGACTTTGACACATGTGCCATAGACCCTCCTGCATCACCTGTGTCTATTCCCCCCTGGTCCAGTTTCAAGACGGGGGAACTCTCAATATCACAATGAAGGAAATACAAGAGGTGTGTGCAGTGCAGACTGACCGTCGGACAACGCAGGACTGCAGCGTCCACTCTCTGGTGGACAGCTATGTGTACATCAAAGTGTCAGTGCTCACCCAATCAGGTAAATACTCACAAGAGAAAGAGACTGGAGTCCAATGCAAGATGTTCCTCTCAAAAGATAGATAGATAGATACTTTAATGATCCCCTGTAGGAGAAATTCAGGTGTCCAGCAGCAGAAACACATCTATACACATTAATGGTACATTCATGTTTTAATCAGTTACAACCTGCAGAAAGCACACAAACAGAAAGAAGTTTAGTTTTCACTGTCATGCTCCAAACACACCTCTGACCCTAATCTAGCACGGCACGGCTTTATGAAGGAGAAAACACTCCGGGAGTCCCACATGCACAGATGCATGTAACAGAAGGCAATGGTACAAAGCTTTAAAGAGCATCCTTATTTACATGTAAACAAGTAACTACATGACATTTTGTTTGTACCTTTTAAGGTATTTCCTAACAATCAACACTTGTTAGAGAAATAAATTATAGGAAAATAGAGACTCCATAAGTTCTCCACTTGATACGCACAGTTGCCACAAGTGCACAGCCACAGAAAAAGAGCATTTTGATTCAGAATCAGTGAAGATTTACATTGTTCTTAATTGGGAGATAAACTTCCTGTTTTCCTGAGGAATTTTTCTGAGCGTCTGCAGACTCTCAGCTTCAGACTCTCAGCTGCAGACTCTCTTCAGACTCTCAGCTGCAGACTCTCTTCAGACTCTCAGCTGCAGACTCTCTTCAGACTCTCAGCTGCAGACTCTCAACTGCAGACTCTCTTCAGACTCAGCTGCAGACTCTCAACTGCAGACTCTCTTCAGACTCTCAGCTTCAGACTCTCTTCAGACTCTCAGCTTCAGACTCTCTTCAGACTCTCAGCTGCAGACTCTCTTCAGACTCTCAGCTGCAGACTCTCAACTGCAGACTCTCAACTGCAGACTCTCTTCAGACTCTCAGCTGCAGACTCTCAACTGCAGACTCTTCAGACTCTCAGCTGCAGACTCTCTTCAGACTCTCAGCTTCAGACTCTCTTCAGACTCTCAGCTGCAGACTCTCTTCAGACTCTCAGCTTCAGACTCTCTTCAGACTCTCAGCTGCAGACTCTCTTCAGACTCTCAGCTGCAGACTCTCAGCTGCAGACTCTCAACTGCAGACTCTCTTCAGACTCTCAGCTGCAGACTTTCAACTGCAGACTCTCTTCAGACTCAGCTGCAGACTCTCTTCAGACTCTCAGCTGCAGACTCTCAGCTTCAGACTCTCTTCAGACTCTCAGCTGCAGACTCTCTTCAGACTCTCAGCTTCAGACTCTCTTCAGACTCTCAGCTGCAGACTCTCTTCAGACTCTCTTCAGACTCTCAGCTGCAGACTCTCTTCAGACTCTCAGCTGCAGACTCTCTTCATACTCTCTTCAGACTCTCAGCTGCAGACTCTCTTCATACTCTCTTCAGACTCTCAGCTGCAGACTCTCTTCAGACTCTCAGCTGCAGACTCTCTTCATACTCTCTTCAGACTCTCAGCTGCAGACTCTCTTCATACTCTCTTCAGACTCTCAGCTGCAGACTCTCTTCAGACTCTCAGCTGCAGACTCTCTTCAGACTCTCAGCTGCAGACTCTCTTCAGACTCTCAGCTGCAGACTCTCTTCAGACTCTCAGCTTCAGACTCTCTTCAGACTCTCATCAGACTCTCTTCAGACTCTCATCAGACTCTCTTCAGACTCTCATCAGACTCTCATCAGACTCTCATCAGACTCTCTTCAGACTCTCTTCATACTCTCTTCAGACTCTCTTCATACTCTCTTCAGACTCTCATCAGACTCTCAGCTGCAGACTCTCTTCATACTCTCTTCAGACTCTCAGCTTTAGACTCTCTTCAGACTCTCAGCTGCAGACTCTCTTCATACTCTCTGCAGACTCTCTTCAGACTCTCAGCTGCAGACTCTCTTCATACTCTCTTCAGACTCTCAGCTGCAGACTCTCTTCAGACTCTCAGCTGCAGACTCTCTTCAGACTCTCAGCTGCAGACTCTCTTCATACTCTCAGCTGCAGACTCTCTTCAGACTCTCAGCTGCAGACTCTCAGCTGCAGACTCTCTTCAGACTCTCAGCTGCAGACTCTCTTCAGACTCTCAGCTGCAGACTCTCTTCAGACTCTCAGCTGCAGACTCTCAGCTGCAGACTCTCATCAGACTCTCTTCAGACTCTCAGCTGCAGACTCTCTTCAGACTCTCAGCTGCAGACTCTCTTCAGACTCTCAGCTGCAGACTCTCAGCTTCAGACTCTCTTCAGACTCTCAGCTTCAGACTCTCTTCAGACTCTCTTCAGACTCTCTTCATACTCTCTTCAGACTCTCTTCAGACTCTCTTCATACTCTCAGCTTCAGACTCTCATCAGACTCTCTTCAGACTCTCAGCTGCAGACTCTCTTCATACTCTCTTCAGACTCTCAGCTGCAGACTCTCTTCAGACTCTCAGCTGCAGACTCTCTTCATACTCTCTTCAGACTCTCAGCTGCAGACTCTTCATACTCTCTTCAGACTCTCAGCTGCAGACTCTTTATACTCTCTTCAGACTCTCAGCTGCAGACTCTCTTCATACTCTCTTCAGACTCTCAGCTGCAGACTCTCTTCATACTCTCTTCAGACTCTCAGCTGCAGACTCTCTTCAGACTCTCAGCTGCAGACTCTCTTCAGACTCTCAGCTGCAGACTCTCTTCAGACTCTCAGCTTCAGACTCTCTTCAGACTCTCAGCTGCAGACTCTCTTCAGACTCTCAGTTTCAGACTCTCATCAGACTCTCAGCTGCAGACTCTCTTCAGACTCTCTTCAGACTCTCTTCAGACTCTCTTCAGACTCTCAGCTGCAGACTCTCTTCAGACTCTCAGCTGCAGACTCTCTTCAGACTCTCAGCTGCAGACTCTCTTCAGACTCTCAGCTGCAGACTCTCTTCAGACTCTCAGCTTCAGACTCTCTTCAGACTCTCATCAGACTCTCTTCAGACTCTCATCAGACTCTCTTCAGACTCTCATCAGACTCTCATCAGACTCTCATCAGACTCTCTTCAGACTCTCTTCATACTCTCTTCAGACTCTCTTCATACTCTCTTCAGACTCTCATCAGACTCTCAGCTGCAGACTCTCTTCATACTCTCTTCAGACTCTCAGCTTTAGACTCTCTTCAGACTCTCAGCTGCAGACTCTCTTCATACTCTCTGCAGACTCTCTTCAGACTCTCAGCTGCAGACTCTCTTCATACTCTCTTCAGACTCTCAGCTGCAGACTCTCTTCAGACTCTCAGCTGCAGACTCTCTTCAGACTCTCAGCTGCAGACTCTCTTCATACTCTCAGCTGCAGACTCTCTTCAGACTCTCAGCTGCAGACTCTCAGCTGCAGACTCTCTTCAGACTCTCAGCTGCAGACTCTCTTCAGACTCTCAGCTGCAGACTCTCTTCAGACTCTCAGCTGCAGACTCTCATCAGACTCTCTTCAGACTCTCAGCTGCAGACTCTCTTCAGACTCTCAGCTGCAGACTCTCTTCAGACTCTCAGCTGCAGACTCTCAGCTTCAGACTCTCTTCAGACTCTCAGCTTCAGACTCTCTTCAGACTCTCTTCAGACTCTCTTCATACTCTCTTCAGACTCTCTTCATACTCTCTTCAGACTCTCTTCATACTCTCAGCTTCAGACTCTCATCAGACTCTCTTCAGACTCTCAGCTGCAGACTCTCTTCATACTCTCTTCAGACTCTCAGCTGCAGACTCTCTTCAGACTCTCAGCTGCAGACTCTCTTCATACTCTCTTCAGACTCTCAGCTGCAGACTCTTCATACTCTCTTCAGACTCTCAGCTGCAGACTCTTTATACTCTCTTCAGACTCTCAGCTGCAGACTCTCTTCATACTCTCTTCAGACTCTCAGCTGCAGACTCTCTTCATACTCTCTTCAGACTCTCAGCTGCAGACTCTCTTCAGACTCTCAGCTGCAGACTCTCTTCAGACTCTCAGCTGCAGACTCTCTTCAGACTCTCAGCTTCAGACTCTCTTCAGACTCTCAGCTGCAGACTCTCTTCAGACTCTCAGTTTCAGACTCTCATCAGACTCTCAGCTGCAGACTCTCTTCAGACTCTCTTCAGACTCTCTTCAGACTCTCTTCAGACTCTCAGCTGCAGACTCTCTTCAGACTCTCTTCATACTCTCTTCAGACTCTCAGCTTCAGACTCTCATCAGACTCTCTTCAGACCCTCAGCTGCAGACTCTCTTCATACTCTCTTCAGACCCTCAGCTGCAGACTCTCAGCTGCAGACTCTCTTCATACTCTCTTCAGACTCTCAGCTGCAGACTCTCTTCAGATTCTCATCAGACTCTCTTCAGACTCTCATCAGACTCTCTTCAGACTCTCATCAGACTCTCTTCATACTCTCTTCAGACTCTCAGCTGCAGACTCTCTTCAGACTCTCATCAGACACTCAGCTGCAGACTCTCATCAGACTCTCAGCTGCAGACTCTCTTCAGACTCTCTTCAGACTCTCAGCTGCAGACTCTCAGCTTCAGACTCTCAGCTTCAGACTCTCTTCAGATTCTCAGCTGCAGACTCTCTTCAGACTCTCATCAGACTCTCTTCAGACTCTCATCAGACTCTCTTCAGACTCTCAGCTGCAGACTCTCTTCAGACTCTCAGTTTCAGACTCTCTTCAGATTCTCATCAGACTCTCTTCAGACTCTCAGCTTCAGACTCTCTTCAGACTCTCAGCTGCAGACTCTCTTCAGACTCTTGTTACACCTCTTGTTCCAGGTCAAAGGTTTTCCTGTGTGATCCGAGTGTGATATTTATACATGTGTTTGTGTGCATCTAATTCTGTTTTCCTTTGTACAAGTGACTCATCTGGTGTTGTTGTAGATGTGCAATACTACTATTAAGTAGTACGGTGGCTGAGGGCGGCACGGTGGCTGAGTGGATAGCACTCTCGCCTCTCAGCAAGAAGGTCCTGGGTTCGAATCCCGGTCGGACCAGGGCCTTTCTGAGCGGAGTTTGCATGTTCTCCCCGTGTCTGCGTAGGTTTCCTCCGGGTACTCCGGTTTCCCCTACCGCTAAAAATATGTAAAATAGTTCTGGCATGCGCCTCCTGTACTGGCGACCCCGCTCCCATCTCTGTGTGGACAAGTGCCCAAAAAAATAACAATTGTAAACCGCTTTGAGACTCAGCTCTGCAGTGAAAAGGCGGTATATAAATAATTACTTACTTACTTACTTACTTACTTAAGTTGGCATTCCCGGCCCCTGCGCTCCTCCGGCAGCAGACTCCTAACCATCCCCAAAGTCAGGACACACACTCACGGCGAGGCATCTTTCCAGCACTACGGCCCCCGTCTCTGGAACAGTCTGCCGGAGGAGCTCAGGGCCGCAGAGAACGTTCATATTTTTAAAAGTAGGCTCAAGACGCACCTTTTTAGAGTAGCTTTTGATTAGTTTTTATTATTCCATTCTATTTATCTTTTATTATTTATTATTTATTATATTGCTATTGCTATTATTCATGTATTGTGTGTTCCTTTTAGTCTCACATTTTTGTGTTTTACATATTGTATTGTTTTTAGTGTACCCAGTGTTTCCTCTGGAGGAGCCCTCTGCACCGGGAGCAGTGGTCGGTGTGGCTGCGGGGGTCGGACTCTTGGGCCTGGTGGGGGCCTGGGGCCTCGGTTTCATGTCTCCTCTGGGTCCTGTGTCGTCCCCTGTGGCTACGGGCGGCTCTCTGCTCCTGGTGCAGACGGCTCCTTGGATGACGCTTTTTCAGCTGGTTGCATCTGAACCCTGCCAAGTCTCTCATCATGTTTTTATTGTTTTACTGGTGTGTGTGTGTGTGTGTGTGTGTGTGTGTGTGTGTGTGTGTGTGTGTGTGTGTGTGTGTATGAGTGTTCATGAGCGCGTGTGTGTGTGTTTGTCTGTGGTTTGGGGGGGGTCTGTTGGGTGGTCTGGCGGAGGGGTCTTGGGTCGGCGGGATTGTTTTTAACCAATCTGTAAAGCACTTTGTGTTGCATCTTATGTATGAAAAGCGCTTTATAAATAAAATTTGATTGATTGATTGATTGACATGTATTGTAATATTAGGTACCCCATAAAGTTCTGTTTTGAAATGGTTCCATACATTCCCACAGGTGGAGATCTGGTTGAGATCGAGAGGAGCGACATCAAAATAGTGAATTCACCTTTTGTTTTAGAAGTAAAAAACATGCAAAAGTACTTCAAACCAAGCTTGCCCCTCCATTTTACAGTAAGTATAGGATTATCACATGAATAATCATCTTTAACAGTGTTGCAATACTGTCCCCTCGTCAAAAACAAAGCTGAGGGTTTTGTTTGTCTTCTTACGTCCTTTGGAGCAGCTAGAACCACATGATTTTATAATAGTTTCATGACCACAATAAATAGAACAGCACACTTAGCAGATTTAAGAAGAAAGTAGTGGTGAGACGAGCAAGAGTCAAATGTATTTATAAGGCACCATTTTCATGCAGACAGCAACCGTCATCAGACACAGTAGTTTTAAGTAATCTTTATTTATACAACAGCTTTTACAGACCATGGTCACCCAGAGTGCTTTACACAGAGAGAATGAATAATAAAACAATCCTAGAATGCAATAAATCTAGAAAATAAAGTTTATAAGTGGAAACATAGGATTAGCTTATATTTCCATTTCAATTCATTCTTTATGAAGAACACAGATAAATAAAAAATAAAAAGACAGATCTATATTAATGCCATTCAACTCAAGTTTCACTAGAGGAATACAATATTTTGAGAGCATTTCAATACATAGATATTCATACACACATCTATTTATCTATTTGTGTAAACCATTTCTTCCTTAAAAGGTGGTGGACTACAGAAGAGGTTTGGACCCACAAACTGTGTGTGTGGGGGGGGGTGTTTTCTACCAGCCGCGTCACCAAACACACCTGTTCTCCCATTCTATCCCTTCAAGTCACACCTATCATACACAAATACAAACACCTTTTATAAAAAAAATAATCATCACAATGATAAAACATTGGTCAAAGGTGAAAAATAGATTTTTCATGTTATACCCCATTCAGTTCAATTTTTTCCGGTTTGATAATTGGGCGCTTACACTGTTGGTAGATGACTGAATTTGTACGTATCTCTTTGTTTCACATTACTGTATATTTACCATTGCACGTCAAAGCTACAAGTTCCAGCCTGTTGTAATCCCCTGACTTCTCTTTCAGATCCTTGTAAATTATCACGAAGGAACTCCTGCACAGAATGTCCCACTGACTGTCGAGATGAAATCCATGCCAACGCTCAAAGTCATGGGAAATACTGATGTGTCCATCAACATGCCGCCCGAGATCGAGGCTCAGACTTTCATTGTGCGTTTATAACAATTTGGGGATTTCACTGACTCAGGAATGAAGACAGGGCGGGTCGCTGTTTTGAATTGGTGTAGCTATAGAAAGGGGTGCAAATAACTTTTTCAGTGAGGTTCTCAGGCGAGTACCACGAGATGGTGTTTGGTACTCACTCCATTTGTTGCGTGACTCATAATCAAGATTTTATACTTGCTTCTTTTTAATGCTAAAGTTTAGATCAGCTCGGATAATCCACTCAATCCAAGTCAAATTTTGACTCACAGGGCTCTTTCTTAAAAAAGCGAAACAAAAGATTTGTTCACAACATTTTACTTTTGGGCACAACCAACATTATTATACATTATTAATGCAAAGGAAAATGTAGGTACCACAGATTTATTTTAGAGACACAGGGAGGACATGGACACTCCCTTTAGGCTCCATGGTCCAGCAGCGAAGACTAGTGCTAGCTACTAGCTTTGTGCAGAACCAAACAGGTTGACTCAGCAGTTCCTCTGTATGATCATGCACACAGTGTGACAACCGCGTCAAATGAAGTGTAGGAGGCGCCTGTAGCGAAAGCACATCAGTTACCCACTGTATAATGTGAATTAAAAACCTGCAGCTTGCTCGGTTCCAACGTTCCCCACGACAACACACCCACAGGTGGATAGAGCGCACTTATTTCAGGAAGTGTTGCCACGGAGACCGTGGAAACTCTCGCAGGCGTAAGACAACGGTCAGCACTAGATCATATACGGAATCGGGACGGAAGCAGAAGTAAATATAACAAACTACCTATTCATGCCTAAACTTAACCAGCCATTCCCATAAAATAACCCCAACCCACCTTAACCCTAACCTTAACCATCTTACCCAGTCACCATTTAAGGACTTTTTAGTCTAAAACTAATTCAAAAGTAGAATTGTTACTTCCGGTTTCGTCCCTATTCCGTATATGATCTAGTGCCGACCATTTTGGCGCCCCCTAGCGTTTCTATGCGGAAGTGAAAAAATGCGACTTCAAAGCCGTTTTTTAAATATAATTCATCTTAAAGCTGCACTAATTGACTTTATTTTCGTATTCATTACGAAAATGCTATCCATGTCCATGTCCATATCCATGTAATGCATTTGGATATACGTCCTTTTGAAGAAAAATTAGCGCAGATTTGTGCTGGCGTGACTTTATATTTTAGATTGAGTTTTGATGAAACAAGGAAGAGAATGTGTTTCGGGTCGCGGATTGTGATCAATCACAGCGGACCACTAGCCCCCACTTTCGTGAGAAATCTACAGGTCCCTGTTAGCACAGACAGCTGAGTTAGCACAACAAGCGGCGGAGCTAACCTGAAACTTCGTGTCTTCGTCACCGGTTACTGCGTAGGCCTGGACTCCACCGGGCGCGTCTCCGTTGACGCGCGTCGGCTGCTGTCCGTCGGACGTCCGTAAAACGGACTTGTGGTCAAACCGGCTGCTGCAGCGCTCAGCTCTGGCTGTGCGTTTATCAGCCTGCTTTGTTTTTGTAGGAGACACGTTTGGGCATTGTGTGAATAAATGAATGTTTGGCTGATGGAGGAGTCATGTATTGTCGGCGTGCATGTGTGCGTGTGCGTGAGAGCTCCTGTGTGTGTGTGTGGTGAGAGGCGTGTGCGTGCATATGTGTTTGGGCTTGTGACCGCAGTGTTTATTATGATCCAGCCTCTTTGTTTGTTTTCTATACTTACTTAAGGCCTTTTCTTTCAACTGCATCTATCTTTCTTCAAGGTCAAAACTGAAATGCCGGGTCTAAGTGCTAAAAAACAAGTCAAAATGGAAGTGACTGTGCAGCCCTACATCCCGGTGAACAGAGTAACACCCAACTACCTGTACACTCGTGTCGTTGGCAGCGTTCAATTGGGAGGAATGACCCTGGACCTGAGTGTTACGTCTGGGAGAGCAAGCAGCATTCGAGAAATCACCTACTTGGTGAGTGTGAAGGCTGATTCTACCTACAGTTAAACCTGGACAAAAACACACACAAACAGACAGAATCTGGAAATGTCCCAAAATCACATCAAGTTTGGATTTGAGTCTGATCTCTGGATGAACCTTTGCATCGTTGCTTCCTTGTTGCTGCGTTTGGCCTGCTGGTCTGACCTGCTGGTCTGGGGTTTGGTGTCTCCCTAACAGGAATGGATTTTTTTTTTTGTGCTGTGTTTTTTCTCAAACAAAACAAAAAGCAAATTAGTTAATACATTTCAAACCCCAAACGTTAATAATAATCCTAAACCAAGAAAAGTGAATCAGAATCAGAATCAGAATCATTTTTATTGCCAACGTAAGTAACGGGAGGTCACAGACTTGGAAATTGCTTTGGCTCAGTGCAACAGTCGAAAAGAGATAATAAAAATAAGAATAAAAAACACTTCTAAAGAATAAATTTAAATTTAAAATAGAGTTACAGTTACTATTTACAATATACAAGTGCACATGGTGCACACAATGTAAGGTGACAGCAGTACAGTGAAGTAAAGTGACGTATGATGGGCAGTAAAGTGACTTTATAAAGGGCGGGGGGACAGGTTAAGAAGTGTTCAAGAGTCCAACAGCAGAGGGGAAGAAACTGTTCTTGTGGCGGGAGGTTCTAGTCCTGATGGACCGCAGCCTCCTGCCTGAGGGGAGTGGTTGGAATAGTCCATGTGCAGGGTGAGAGGGGTCGGCTGTGATACGACCAGCCCGGCCTCGAGCTCGGGCGACGTACAGGTCCTGCAGCGATGGAAGGCTGCGGCCGATCACTTCCTCTGCAGAGCGCACAATGCGCTGTAGTCTCTGTTTGTCCCTGACTGTGGCTCCAGCGAACCACACGGTGATGGAGGAGGTGAGGATGGACTCGATGATGGCCGTGTAGAACTGCACCAACATCTGTGCAGGCAGCTTGGCTTTCCTGAGCTGCCGCAGGAAGTACATCCTCTGCTGGGCCTTCTTGATGAGGGAGCTGATGGTCGGCTCCCACTTGAGGTCCTGGGTGATGGTGGTGCCCAGGAAACGGAAGGACTCCACAGAGGTGATGGGGGAGTCCATCACGGAGGGTGGGGGCGGGGGGACAGTGCTCTTCCTGAAGTCCACAATCATCTCCACTGTCTTCTGGGCGTTCAGCTCCAGGTTGTTACCACTGCACCAGGACACCAGCCGGTCCACCTCCCTCCTGTAGGCGGACTCATCGTTGTTGGAGATGAGTCCAATGAGGGTGGTGTCGTCCGCGAACTTGATCAGCTTCACGGAGTCGTGGCTGGAGGTGCAGTGGTTGGTGTACAGGGAGAAGAGCAGGGGAGAAAGAACACAGCCCTGTGGGGCTCCTGTATTTATAATCCGAGAGTCCGAGACATTCTTCCCCAGACGCACTCGCTGCTTCCTGTCCGTCAGGAAGTCAGTGATCCACCTGCAGGTGGAATCGGGCACGTTGAGCTGGGAGAGCTTGTCCTGGAGCAGGGATGGCAGGATTGTGTTGAAGGCAGAGCTGAAGTCCACGAACAGGACCCTGGCGTAGGTCCCCGGGGAGTCCAGGTGCTGTAGGATGTGGTGGAGGGCCAGGTTAATGGCGTCGTCTACAGATCTGTTGGCTCTGTAGGCGAACTGCAGGGGGTCCAGGAGGGGGGAGGTGAGGGACTTGAGATGGGAGAGAACCAGGCGTTCAAATGACTTCATGACGACAGACGTAAGTGCTACAGGTCTGTAGTCATTGAGTCCTGTGATCCTGGGCTTCTTCGGGACGGGGACAATGATGGAGGATTTGAAGCAGGCCGGGACATGGCAGGACTGCAGAGAGGAGTTGAAAATGTCCGTGAACACAGGAGTAAGCTCACTGGCGCAGTGTCTCAGAGTGGCCGGAGACACGTGGTCCGGGCCAGGAGCTTTGCGGGGGTGCAGCCTCAGGAAGAGTTGTTTAATCTCTTTAGCGGCTATTGTTAGGCTGGGGGCAGGGCTGATGGGTGGGTCGTTAGAGTAGTGGGGGGGGGGGAGGGAGAGGTGTCAGGGGCAGCATCAAAGCGACTGAAAAATAAGTTCAGATCGTCAGCTAGCTTGTGGTCATCAGCACAGGGGGGGGCTTTGGGTTTGTAGTTGGTGATCTCCCGTAGGCCCCTCCAGACAGAAGCAGTATCGTTGTTACCAAACTGCTCCTGTAGTCGTTCTCTGTGCCGGGACTTGGCTGCTTTCAGTTCTTTCCTGAACTGATATTTAGCTGCTTTGTAGCCGCTGCGGTCACCCTCCCTGAAAGCAGACTCCTTTGCTTTCCTGAGCTGCCGGAGTTTAGCAGTGAACCAGGGTTTGTCGTTGTTATAGATGACCCTGGTCCTTGTTGGAATGATGCTATCCTCACAGAAGTGGATGTATGACGTCACAGTGTCCGTATATTCATCCAAGCTGTCTGTGGCAGCTCTGAAAAGGTCTCAGTCTGTAGATTCCATGCATGCGCGCAGCTCTTCCACAGCTTCATCAGACCACACTTTGGAGCTCCTCACTGCAGGTTTCGAGAGCTTTAGTCTCTGTCTGTAAGCAGGAACCAGATGTATCATGGAGTGATCTGAGAAGCCGAGGGCTGGCTTGGGAACAGCGCGAAAAGCTCCGCGCACGGTGGTGTAACAGTGATCCAGAGTGTTCTCCTCTCTGGTCGGGCATTTGATAAACTGTCTGTATTTGGGTAATTCCTGGCTCAAGTTTCCCTTATTAAAATCCCCCAGGATAATAATCAGAGAGTCCGGGTATAAGCGTTCCATACACAGTACTTGCTCTGCGAGTGCGCGCTGAGCCTCGCGCGCGTCCGCGCATGGCGGTATGTAAACAGAGGCAAGAATGAATGAAACAATTTCCCGCGGGGAGTAATATGGTTTACAATGGATGAAAAGATATTCCAGAGCAGGAGAGCAGTGCTTGGAGATCACTGTCACATCGTTACACCAGTTTGTATTGACGTAGAAACAGAGCCCTCCGCCTCTGCTCTTCCCTGAGAGCGCACAATGGCGATCCGCGCGAAACAGCCCAAAGCCCTGCAGCTCCAGAGCGCAGTCCGGGATCCGCTCATTTAGCCAGGTCTCAGTGAAGCAGAGGACACAGGATGTGGCGAAGTCCTTGTTTCTTCTCATGAGCAGGCTGAGTTCGTCCATCTTATTGCCCAGTGAGCGTACGTTGGAGAGAAAAATGCCGGGGAGAGCCGTGCGCGCTCCTCTCCTCCTAAGACGCACGAGCAGGCCTCCTCGCTTTCCCCTTTTACGGGCCCACACTTTTTTGGCTAGAACATGAACTAAATCAGCCGCAGATGCCAAGAAAACAGGCAGTAGGTCCATGGGAACGGTGGGTCGGATGTTCATAAGTTCCTCACGGGTGTAGGAACAGCCAGATGCACAGTTAAAAAGTAAAAACAAAAGAAAAAGAGAGCAGCAAAGAGCCATGTCGACCGTACGAGGCGCCATCTTGAAGAATGAAGACAGTTAAAGTACACAGTCCCGTCTAATTTTATTTCTTGTAAGTCTCAAAGTGTTATCCCATATTAGACCCATAGACTGTAAATATGGAGAGCAACAGTGGCTCAGTTCGTAGAGCATCGACTTTTGGGTTTGGGTTTAATGTCTCCAGAAGACCTACTCCAACTGCTCCCACTCTTGTCTGCTGTTGTTGTGGCAAGACCCCACATTGCCCGATGCCACCTCTGAAAGAACAAGGCCTTGTCACCGCTGACAGAGCATCTTCTGTGCACCCACCACCTCTCGGAGGATCAGCAAGGGACAGGTGCTATAAGCCTTGGGTGCAGCTCTGATTGCCATCCGCTGACTAATAAAGGGGTAGAAAATAAATGAAATACTGTAAATATTATGTAGTTACTCCTATGTCTGCCGTTGCAACTAATGTGCCACCACTTGTGCCTTCTGGGTTTTCAAAATAGCCACGGGGCAGGAAAATATTGACTAAACACATTAGCGCATGAGTTAGCTGCAAGAGCCCCATTCATTTGACGAGTGCTTTCAAAAGTCCACAGCGGCTAAACTAGACTGGAAAGACGTTATTGAGAGGTAAGAAGACGCCACACAAAAGCATTGGGTAATTCTCTTTCCAGGTACATCCCCATCAGCTAAGAGCGAGATTGCAAGTATATCAGTGCATGTGCTCATGGACCCGTCCCCAGTGTATTACATTTTAAAGAATTGTTCCCCTTTTTAGTATTTTTGGTACTAAAGGTTCTAAGTTCTAGTTTTCTAGTCTCCCCAAAGATCGGAAAAGCTCATTAAACATTACATTTTATAGTTAGTAAGTTTGTTAGGTAGCCCTTTGTCAGATGCAGCGGTATCTAAACCAGTCCAGAAAGGGCTAGCCTGGTCGTACCACACCATAGTACAAAATTACATTTTGTACTAAGGTCTGGATTTGACTCCACCCATTTCCTCAAGTGAATCCAGTCTTAACCTGAAGTGTCCTTCTGTGCAGGTCCTCAGCAAAGGGAAACTATTGGCTGCCAAACGTGTATCAGTGGATCAACAACAGGTCACCAGTGTGAGAATCGACGTCACTTCAGACATGATTCCCACATTCCGCTTTGTGGCATTTTACATTTTAGACGGGGAGGTGGTGTCAGACTCAATCAAGCTGGAGGTGCCCAACACATGTGTCAAACCAGTAAGTATTGAGCAGAAGTCATATTTGCATGGAGCAATACAGAACACGTGACACTCTTTAATGATGTATTTCTCATCTGTCCTTGTGTTGAACCGCTCCTGCAGTGGTCCGTTAACTTTTAAATAAAAAAACAATAATGCATTGGATTAACATTATAGCTCTGTTTTTGGACAGTAAAGAGGTGTCATTATTCATTTACTCCATAGACAGAGGTAGTGTAGCCACAGCTGCCCTGGGGCACACTGTCAGAATTGAGGTAACTAGTATGTGCCAGACACACACCAGATTCATTCCAATGTGGGTGAAGTGTCTTGCTTAAGGACACAACCACAGTTTGCACTTTTAAGATTAAGAGATTCTTTATTGGTCCCACAGTGAGGAAATGTCAGTGTTGCATCATCAGTTACAGAACAGGAGGAAAGAAGAGCACACAGCACAAGATAAATGAACAATAACTCTATACCAAGTAAAATAAAATCTCTAACTCTAGCATCAAAGAAACAACTATAAAATCTCTACATTTGGCAAAAAAGAAGCAACTATAAAGTGCTGTGTATTCAGCTGCAGCCACCCCACTGTGGCGCTTTGTATTCCCAGAGGTGTCCCATCACAGTACTGACCCTGCCCTGCCCTGCTTAGCTTCAGAAAAGCAATGGCCCACTTTTAGCTGGAGACCTGAAATGCACTAATGAAGGCATAGCAAACCATAACCCACAGTGCCTTGCGGAAGTATTCGGCCCCCTTGAACCTTTCAATATTTCGGCACATTTCAGGCTTCAAACATAAAGATATAAAAATGTAATTTTATGTCATGAATCAACAACAAGTGGGACACAATCGTGAATTGGAACGAAATTTATTGGATAATTTAAACTTTTTTAACAAATAAAAAACTGAAAAGTGGGGTGTGCAATATTATTCGGCCCCTTGCGCTAATACTTTGTAGCGCCACCTTTTGCTGCAATTACAGCTGCAAGTCGCTTGGGGTATGTCTCTATCAGTTTTGCACATCGAGAGACTGGAATTCTTTCCCATTCTTCCTTGCAAAACAGCTCGAGCTCAGTGAGGTTTGATGGAAAGCGTTTGTGAACAGCAGTCTTCAGCTCTTTCCACAGATTCTCGATTGGATTCAGGTCTGGACTTTGACTTGGCCATTCTAACACCTGGATACGTCTATTTGTGAACCATTCCATTGTAGATTTGGCTTTATGTTTTGGATCATTTTCCTGTTGGAAGATAAATTTCCGTCCCAGCCTCAGGTCTTTTGCAGACTCCAACAGGTTTTCTTCCAGAATGGTCCTGTATTTGGCTCCATCCATCTTCCCATCAATTTTAGCCATCTTCCCTGTCCCTACTGAAGAAAAGCAGGCCCAAAGCATGATGCTGCCACCACCATGTTTGACAGTGGGGATGGTGTGTTCAAGGTGATGAGCTGTGTTGCTTTTATGCCAAACATATCATTTTGCATTGTGGCCAAAAAGTTCGATTTTGGTTTCATCTGACCAGAGCACCTTCTTCCACATGTTTGGTGTGTCTCCCAGGTGGCTTGTGGCAAACTTTAAACGAGACTTTTTATGGATATCTTTGAGAAATGGCTTTCTTCTTGCCACTCTTCCATAAAGGCCAGATTTGTGCAGTGCACAACTGATTGTTGTCCTATGGACAGACTCTCCCACCTCAGCTGTAGTTATCTGCAGTTCATCCAGAGTGATCATGGGCCTCTTGGCTGCATCTCTGATCAGTCTTCTCCTTGTTTGAGATGAAAGTTTGGAGGGACGGCCGGGTCTTGGTAGATTTGCAGTGGTCTGATACTCCTTCCATTTCAATATCATTGCTTGCACAGTGCTCCTTGAGATGTTTAAAGCTTGGCAAATCTTTTTATTTCCAAATCCGGCTTTAAACTTCTCCACAACAGTATCTCGGACCTGCCTGGTGTGTTCCTTTGTCTTCATGGTTCTCTCTGCGCTTTAAACAGAACCCTGAGACTATCAAAGAGCAGGTGCATTTATACGGAGACTTGATTACACACAGGTGCATTCTATTTATCATCATCAGTCATTTAGGACAACATTGGATCATTCAAAGATCCTCACTGAACTTCTGGACTGAGTTTGCTGCACTGAAAGTAAAGGGGCCGAATAATATTGCACGCCCCCCTTTTCAGTTTTTTATTTGTAAAAAAAGTTTAAATTATCCAATAAATTTTGTTCCACTTCACGATTGTGTCCCACTTGTTGTTGATTCATGACAAAAAAATCTTTATGTTTGAAGCCTGAAATGTGGCGAAATGTTGAAAGGTGCAAGGGTGCCGAATACTTTTGCAAGGCACTGTACTATTACTGTTATAACCAGATACTTCTTATAGTAATGCCCACCTCAAAGTCCAGCTGATTCTTCAGTTAAAGTTAACATACATGTATTTTCTTACACATTACCTTTGGTCAAATTCTAACCTTTTTCTTGCACCAAACCAACATTTCAGCCGAGTGTGAGCACAGCGCAACGCACTGACTTCAGACCTGGCAAAATACTCAAGCTGAAGGTCCAAGGGGAGCCGTCGGCACACGTCAGTCTGGTGGCTGTGGACCAAGCCGTGTACAAGCTCAGCAAGAGGCGCTTCAACCAAAGACACGTCAGTCTTTTATCAACTTTGACAAAACAATCATTTGGTTCTTTCCTTTCGTTGAGGACAGTTAGATATAAAGCTACAAACATTAGTCGATTTAATAAATTATGTCTCATTGCCTAATTCCTTCAGGAGTGATACATCATAAAACTAACAATGATCACACTTAGATTTAGGACATATTTATTCATCTTTGTCGAATGTAACAGCTCAAAAATATATCACTCGCGCCAGACAACCTTTGCCCGTGCTCTTTCGTCTGTATTTTGGTATTGAAACTGTTCCATCCTCCTAAAATGGCTCACGGCTGTTGCTAGGACGATTAAAAAATGTATATGAAATCTTTGCATCCATGCAAAATTCCATAATTCAGAGGCTGTGTGTTCCACAGCTGACCACTAGGGGTGCATGAAATCCCCCTTATTAGGTTTTTTGGGCACAATTCAATCAAGTTATCAATACATTGTAAATTAATCAGCAGCAAGATTACTCAAAAAAAAGCTCATGTATTTGTTATTTTAAAAGATCTTGGACGAGGTGAATAGCAGAGACATGGGCTGCACTCATGGAAGCGGAGCGAACGCAATGGGAGTTTTCAGTGACGCTGGACTGCTCTTTGCAACAAATGGCGGACCCTCGACAGACGCCCGGCAATGTAACTGACATTTTATGTATTTTTTATTTATTTATTTGAATGGAACAGTGCATGTCAAAGAACAGACACATTAGAAACATGAATGTAAACACAATTTATAGACAAAGGCTAATTTCCATCTCTGTCCCATCAGGTAAACAGTGTAGGGAAAGAGTGAAAGACAAAGAAAAGATGAAAGATAAGAAAACCAGTTTTTGTCCCACAGTCTCTTTTGCTGCTCTTCCGTTTTCCCAAAAAGGACAAAGAACTGGGATTCGATTGAAATTGCCTCACTCTGGGATGAATTAAGGTTGATCTTATCTTTGATCGGGGGGCCAAATTATCATTTTCTACTATCCCCTCTGACCATTCAGCAATGATTGGGTGAACTCAGATCCAATGGTTTCAATCTGCAAAAGGAGTTAAGCCCTCCCACCTGTTAACGGAGTCAATGGAGCAAATCCAGACCTTTGTACGAAATGAAATGTTTGGCAAGTATTTGGCATACTTACATTTTGACATAAACATATCTTTAGTCGTTGGAAGAGGAAGCTACGATGGTAAATGGTGAGGTGAAAGATGGTTGACCTGTGTCCTGGTGGCTTTCTATAGAAGTGTAGAGTTATAATTCTGATTCTGATCTCAAATCAAGTTCCTCATGTCGTATACTATTTCTAGTGAGGGGGTTTTGTGTTCTGGTGCCACTGTCCTCTGCATGGCTGGTCTACAGTTGTCAGGTGCTTATCTCTGAGGCAAAGACAGAGGTTGAGCGCAGAATGAGTGCCTGGTGTAAATCAAATGCTATCAAATATGTTTCTATCCCTAAGTTATCCTTACATTATATTACAGGTATTGGCGAGGTGTAGGTTGGGGTTTGATGTATTTTGTCCAATAATGTTGTGTTTTTTTCTCAACAGACTTTATTTGTCCAAACAGTGTTCGGAGGAGGCGCTCTCCCGAAATATGTAAGACCATCAACACCACATTTAAGAACAACAATATTGTAAAATTGAGCTAAAGTCATTTGAGAAGTATACGCTATTATCAGTGATGCTGGTAGACATCTACAACTACCAAAAAAGACACTAATCCAAGAAGTTGACGGGCAACACATGTCATCGAGAACTGGGGGAAGGAGCCTTCCAAAGTCAGGACAGAGGGAGTTATTCCTGTAGGAAACGCTTATCTTTGGCCCTGGGGCGACACACCCCCCTGCGCCCCTCGACCACGGTCCGGGGCTTATATGAAAGGTTGAACACAAGCAGAGAATACGAAAGTGCAGAAGAGAAGTTTGTGAAAATGCACGTCACAACGGAAGACGTAATGTGACGCACAATATCAAGTCCCCACCACACCTCATCCCCCACCACCCGCCAAACTGACCCCCCTCATCTGGGCTTTGGAAGCGTGCTCTGGCCCACCTCTCCCAACCGTGCTCAGGCCCACAATCACGAAGTGGGCTCAGGCACACTTTAACTGGGGTTTAGGTTGTGCATGTGACCGCAGCCTTAAAGTGTCCTGGATCATCACATTCCTTTTTGTTAGACACTAACTGTCTCCTGCATCAGAGGAAAAACTCTAAAACCCAGTGGGAGAAAAGTGAGAAACCTCGGGGAGACCCACATTGAGAGAGGGATCCGCTCCCCTGCACGGACGGGCTATATATCCAGGACTCAGACTGTAGAACGAGGACTGAGGCTGTAGATCCAGGACTGAGGCTGTAGATCCAGGACTGAGGCTGTAGACCCAGGACTGAGGCTGTAGATCCAGGACTGAGGCTGTAGACCCAGGACTGAGGCTGTAGACCCATGACTGAGGCTGTAGACCCAGGACTGAGGCTGTAGATCCAGTTTATTTGCCATTTGAAGTAAACCCCATTGGTTGTGCAAAAAGACAAAGACATAAATTAAACAAGATGAAATTATTGCTTTTCACGTGAAACAGAAACCAGATATCAAAAACAAAGGAGAAAGCATTGTTCCATTTTGACAAGACTTTTGCCCATAATCAAAGTACGTCAGAACTGATTATTGTCAATACTTCCAGTGAGGCAGTTTGAGGCAAAGCACCTCTCGCACTGCTGCAGAGACGGCCTGAAGCGGGTGCGGATGCCGTACTCCTGTGAGCAGCGGGCGAGCTACATCACGGAGGGAATTCAGTGCGTCAAAGCTTTCCTCCAATGTTGCGTCTTCCGAAAAAACCAAATCCTCATCCTGGGAGTTGGTCTGGAACGAAACAGCGGTATGGGAGCCTCCCAAGACGTGTCAAGTAAGAACTTTGCAACAACAGAAATATTCTTAAAAATAATGGCCGATGTGTGTTTTACCAAAAAAATCTTCAAAATGTTCCACTTTTTAGTTGAATTTTGTTTAAAGTTTCAATTATTACTTCATTTGTCATCTCTGAGGACTTTACAAAGCTGATGATTGCCAACAACAGGTCAGAGAATCAAACCGTTTGAGCACAGGAAATGCAAAAACAACAAACTAGGGCTGTTAATTACAGAAAATTAATTATTCGTTATTAATTGCATCTCAAACTATCGGCAATGTGAATCCATATTTTGATTTGAATGGAAAGATAACCGACAACATAGTGTACATATGTACTGTATTTGTTTATTATAACAATAAATCCATAAAATGGCATTAACATTATCAACATTCTGTCTTTCTCTCATAGACATTGTTTGTTACAGATGAGGGACATTTCAAAACAGTCTGAAATGCAGAATGTTATTAAATCTCTTTGATTTGCTCACAACATTACTTTTGGGCACAATCAACATGAGCTGTGAATGCAAGAGAAAATGTATGTACCCCAGCTTTAATTTAGTGAGATTAGTTTATAGCATGCAAAGGTTGAGCAAAGACACGCACACAACAAGCAGAGAATAGTCCTGTGGTCTTCAATATGACCACGTCACGACGCCGCTGTTAAATACGTTCATTTTATTTTAGGCCACAGTGCCTCAATGTTAATAAATGCGCAGCTGTACTCACTTCTGATTGTGCGTTCAGTAAATATTGACTTGTTTCTCAGATCAAAGATGGACAAGAGCGACTACAATATTTCACTGAATAGTTCGACAACAACTGGGGCGACAGTAGCTCAGTTGGTAGAGCATTGGCCTTAAGGCCTGAAGGTCGTGGGTTCAATTACCACCTCTACACCTTCTCCACCGACTCCCGCTGATGACTGCTGTCGTTGTGTCCTTGGGCAAGACACTTAACCCCACTTTGCCCAAAGCCCCCACTGAAAGATCAAGGCTATGCTCACACTCAGAGCCCGTCCTCCTGTGGACTCACCACCTGCAGAGGGTCAGTGAGGGGCTGGTGCTATGAGACTTGGGTGGCATCTCTGACTGCCACCCCCCTGACCCAGAAATGGATTAAAGGGAAGAAAATGGATGGATGGATAGTTTGACAACATATGTGACTCGATGTAAGAGACTTTAATTAAAACTAAAATTTTGGCAAAACGGAAAGTTCTTTTAACTTGATGTTCACAGATTCAAAAAATAACTCTCTAAACAAAGAAAGAAAATGGAGTCTTTATGTCTTCATCATCTACAATGTGTGTTATTACGCCTTTGTGGGTGGGGCTACACTCTTTTACTTTTATTATTTTAGGTTTCTGAGTTTAAAATCCACCCTTTGTCTTTTGTAAAAACTCCACAGGTACTTGAAAGTCATAAAATGTTCACTATTGACAGATCGTGAGGACAACGATGCTCTTCATGGCGGGGACGGCGGCGATTATGATGATGATGAGGAAGAGGTAGACGTAAATGAGATCCAACTGCGTCACAAATTCAAAGAAACGTGGCTTTGGGGGGATGTGGAGTTGCCTGCGACACCCGACCATGATGGGTACGTGAGGCACAAAACTACACTTCATTATTATGTGTGCTGGAAATTAAATTAAGTGCTTAAATTGAACTTTTGTTTGTAGTTTTGCTGAGGAGAAAATTGTGCTCCTCATACACTTGGCAAAATCCTCTTTATGAGACCGAACAATATTTTTCAGGAACAGTTGTTTCTGTCCACCATGACAAATCTTCAGGCTCTTCTCTGGTTTGTTGTGCAGTAGTTATGGCACCCTGGACATTGCAACTCAGATCTATCGCTAACTGCTGAGGGCCGTCCGGTCCCTGTATGACCTGAGTCAGAGCTGCGTTCGCTGGCAAAAGTCAGACCTGTTCCCGGTGTCTTCCCTTTGTCACTGCTTCTGTTCACTGTCTTCATGGACAGAATTTCTAGGCGCAGCCAGGGGCCGGAGGGGGTCCGGTTTGGAAACGACAGGATTTCATCTCTGCTGTTTGCAGACGATGTCGTCCTGTTGGCTCCAACGAACCAGGACCTTCAGCACTGGGACAGTTATCCACCGAGGCCCTGGTCCTCGACCATGTCCTGGTCCTCTCAGGTCCTGGTCCTCTCCAGGTCCTAGTCCTCTCCAGGTCCTAGTCCTCTCCAGGTCCTGGTCTATTCCAGGTCCTGGTCCTCTCCAGATCCTGGTCCTCTCCAGGTCCTGGTCCTCTGCAGGTCCTGGTCCTCTGCAGGTCCTGGTCTTCTCCAGGTCCTGGTCCTCTGCAGGTCCTGGTCCTCTCCAGATCCTGGTCCTCTCCAGGTCCTGGTCCTCTCCAGATCCTGGTCCTCTCCAGGTCCTGGTCCTCTCCAGGTCCTAGTCCTCTCCAGGTCCTGGTCTATTCCAGGTCCTGGTCCTCTCCAGATCCTGGTCCTCTCCAGATCCTGGTCCTCTCCAGGTCCTGGTCCTCTCCAGGTCCTGGTCCTCTGCAGGTCCTGGTCCTGGTTCAAGTATCTCAGGTCTTGTTCACAGTGAGGGAAGGATGGAGCGATGGATTGGTGCAGCGTGTGCAGTAATGCGGTCGCTCTATCAGACAGTTGTTGTGAAGAGGGAGCAGCGTCTGCTGTCAGAGCTGTATCTGACCGTTGTGAAGAGGGAACAATGGCTTCATTCAGAGCTGTGTCAGACTGTTGTGGAGAAGAGGGAGCTGAGTCGAAAGGCAAAGCTCTGAATTTACCGTCCAGGCTCCGATCCCACCTGTGACTTATGGTCATGAGCTTTAGGCCAGTGTTCCCCAATCTTTCTCATTGCAAAGAATCATATGGCACACCACAAACCTGAATTTGGTGAAACTCTACAGCATTTATTAACAAAGCAAAGTCATTCTCATCAATGTGTATTATATAACAAATCAAACAAGCACAACCTCATTCTAATCACTTCACATTATTTATTATTATAACAGGTGATATTGGACTATTGCCTTTCCAAGGCACACCAAAGTGGCTGGCTCATAGAAAAAAGGTGAGAGCTCAGAGTAGAGCCTCTGCTCCTTCACACTGATTGCCGACTTAATACTCCTGTTTGTGCCTATTAAACATGAGGGAACATAGCTTCATGTTTGCTGCTGTCATGTTGGATCTGTAAACAAGCTACAAGCTTCTACCTGTCCGATTGTACAGTGGTTCTCAAAGTGGGGGTCGCGAGATGATTGCCATTAAAAAAAAAAAATGTATATATAAATATTGTCCTCAGATATTCTTGCTGCAACTGATTTGCTTCAATAGGACTACTTGTTAAATTGTGTTAGCAGAAGAGTCTGATAAAAACATCCAGCAGCGCATTTATCGTGGGGGTCGCGGGTCAAAAACTTTGGGAACCCCTGCTTTGGTGTGTGCCGGCTTCTCTGTCTGGTGCACACTAGGGTAGTCTTGCACAATTTTTCCAATGTGGTTTTACTGCAAATGGCAAATAAATGTATCTGAATCTGAAACTAGTACCTCATCGCTTGACGATCCTCCACGTTCTGAGATTGGTCCCCAAATCCATGTCAACATTTCAGCTCAGCTCAGTTCGAGATGTTTCGAGCACACAGCATGGGTATTCCATGTCTGGAAAAGAAACCGTGGCCTTGAAAACATTATGCTTAAATTAGACAATGGTATGTACTTAGTTATATTTAAAAATGTCTCTATCGTCCTAAGATCCTATCATGTGTTTGGTTTACAGAGCAGCTACTGCAGTGTTAAATCCAGAGGCACTACCAGACACCATTACCCAGTGGTCTGTCCTCGCTGTGAGCTCCTCAAAGAAAACTGGTAAGAAATTCAAGGTGGGGCTATTAAATGACTTTTAGGATTAAAGTGGGTTATTCATTATGTACAATTATATATGTTAAAATTAGGGCTGTTAAAATTATTGCTTAAAAAATTAAATAACGTGTTTAACGCATGTCCGAATGCCCCGCTCATGTATCCCATAATATCACTCAGAATTACCCATTCATCCCACATTATTATATGACTTGGACCGTACGCGGTTGGTTGATTTGCAGTTTGATATTTTCCCATCTCGGACCGTTACCATGACAATTGGTCGGAACAGCGCGTATCACATTTGATATCTTTCCACGGGCCGTTACCATGACAATCGGTCCACAGCCCGTATCACACAAAACCAAGTCGGACATGAACATACTTCACAAATATCTCAAAAGCTTTGGTAAAGACACAGACGAGACTCATATAATAAAACATTTATTAACCTTGCTTGCTCGGTTAATAAGCCGTTAATATCACTCAGAATGTTTGCTATGAACTGAAGTCCGCCTCCTCCGTGGCTGCAGTGTTCTGACCCGGGGCAGCTGCGGCTACTCTGGACAGCGGTTCCCACCTCCAGCGGCTGTGAGCCACTAACAACAACACGGCGAATAGCGCCGCCGTAACGTGATCCAAGACCATACACACACAGAACTATTCTCTGCATGTTGTGTGTGTGTCTTTGCGTAAAATGTGCACGCATTAAATACACTGCTGAAGCTGAACTCTGGAGCCCCAGGAAGTGTCCGTGTCTCCTCCTGAAACGCAACTAAACTCGCTAAATTAAAGCAGGGAAAGGTAAATGTTCCCTTTCATTAACAGTTCATGTTGGTTGTGCCCAAAAGTAAAAGGTTGTGAATCAAACAGATTTAAGTACATTTGGTATGAATGACAATGTGGCATTACATTTGATAATCTCATTTAACTTCAATTGGAGTGGATTTGAAATAGAATGTAAAAAATGCGATTAATCGTGAGTTAACTCACCATTACTATGTGATTAATCAACTATAAGATTTTAATCGTTTGACAGCCCTAGTTAAAATATATTAACTTTGCTGTTTCCATTTGAGTCATCAAAAGTATTATTCTTGTAATGTTAGCACTAGCCGAGATTAGCCTGCATGCTGTGTGTATGTGCAGAAGGCGGGACAAGTGATAGTACTATTTCTGATATTTGTCCCGCATGCGTACCTGTGCACCACTTATGTGCACCCCTGATTATAATAGATCCATGGTTCACGCAGAAGACACTGCCCCTCCTCCTCACACAGAGTCCATGCTCCACACATAGCGCTCATTCCCATCTCTAACTCACTGGGATTTCACTAAAGTCGGTCCTTGCTAGTAATAATGTACTTTTGAACAAAAAAAGTCACGGAGCCTTGCACAGAGCTCGAGTTGGTGCATCAGTATAATCGGTCCTTCTGAAACTCATCCAGTGACGAATATTCCGCGGTGTGTTGTGGAAATTCTGCACATACCGAGAGTAAAATAATGTAAACAACTCAGAGCTGTAATTACAATCAAAGTGTGAGTTTATTCATTAGTAAATGTGCACAATTACAATGAATAACAGAACCGATACAATACCACCTGCAGCCGTCTGAAACCGACTGCCACGAATGAGGAAATGACTGTACATTAAATAGACCAGAGTAAACAAACACATATCTACTCTAGATATTACATAAATGAAGTCAACATTGATACGTGTTGCTCAAGGCTTCCTATTTACGCGTCCTAACGCTGATACAACTCTGATACAACTCTGATACAACTCTGATATATGTAACAATCTGCTTTTGAACTGAACATATTGTTCTATGACCCAGGTCAAAGACACGATGCAGCACGTCTCCATCTATCACTGACCTGAGCCAACAGAGCACTATGGCCTGTATCTGAATCCAGAGTTGACTATTAGTTAATAACTTACACTCATAACTATTTGGTGTTAATTCACATTGTTTAACTAAAAGATTTCTATAACAGGTGCAAAAACACATATACGATTAAAATGCGTTAAAAAAAATGTACGCGCTAATTTTGTGGGGTTAATTAATCTTAATTAATACGTTGAAGTCCCGGCCCTAATAAAAAAAATACAGTATATTTTGTTTTATTAACAAAAATCCAGCTCAAAAAGGAGTGGGTTATAAGTTAAGACAAAAATACAATATACGACAATAATAATATTACACATAATATTAAAACTTACTATTAGCCCAAAGGTCTAGTCCACTGATACCAGCCTTCCCTGGAACCAAACAACACTGATCTGTGTGTGATGCAAAAGGCCGTCTTTGCAGGACTTTGTGTGGCTGAGCCGTGGACGTTTGATGTTAAGACTTCATTCTTCGTGGATCTGAAGTTGCCATTTTCTGTTGCAAGAAACGAGCAGGTGGAAATTAAAGCGGTGGTGTACAACTTTATGGATGAGGACTTGCAAGTAAGCAAACTCATATATAGTCTTTCCTTTTTCAAATGTCAACCCTTTAGATGAACTCTACACAGTGACCCCTTGACAACGTTAATTTTTCCATCGTATTTTAAAATGAAGTTTAGGATCTTATGGATGTGGGTGATCAAATCCAATCAGATGGAGCCTTGTATAGAAGTATGACTGCTCTGGGAATTGTGGTGTTAACACTGATTTTTTACCTGGTTCTCAGGTGACTGTGGTTTTGGATAAGACAATAAATATGTGCAGCAGGGCCTTCAATAAAAAGTACACACAGAGGGTGGATGTGATGGGCATGGGATCCACGGTCGTGCCCTTCACCATCGTGCCTCTGATAGCGGGAGAATTACCAATTGTTGTCTCAGCTTATGTTGAGAACATGGGCAGAGATCGTATCCAGAAGAATCTTAAAGTTGTGGTAAGTATTGTGCTTATGTCTCACAGTATACCCACAAGACATAGTTCATTAAAGTGTGTTTTTTCTATGTTAATATATATTTTTATGACAGACTAAGGAGCCCGTCTTAAAAAAGTACATTTTAACCGGTTTGCAGAAATCCACATCCTTGCTCTCTGTCACTGTTCTTACATCCTAATTAGTTAAGCTTAGCCAGCAAAGAGTTTTACTTGTAAATGTCCATGAGGCTGAGGACTCTCTGTGTCAATGCGCCATCTTGAACTACAGTGGTTGATAAGGGACAAAAAGGAGTTTGAGCGAGAGTTGGAGACCACTGTCAAAGACTTATATTGTCCTATGAATCTACCGTAGTACTGTATATTGCAATATATGATCTCAATGCTAGATAGGAGTAAAAACTACACAGTGTACCTTTTAACAAAACAAGAGCTAAACAATTACATATAAGGAAATAAAAACATACATAACCACAGTACATCAAAAAGAGTGAAGACACAATCCTTCAGTTGTGTGTACAGATAAACCGAACGGTTTGAAATCTGTTGCAGTAGAAGTAGAGTAGCCTGTCTCACAATTTCAGGGAGACTGTTCCAGAATGTAACTGCATAAATTAGCCTTAAATCACTACAGCAGTTATCTCTGAGGACTTTACAAAGCTGTGGATTAACCATCAACAGATCAGAGAATCAAACTGTTCAACACCGGAAATGCAATGATGAAAAACACATGGAGCTAGAGGATTTTACCTTTAAATGTGAGTCACTAGGAGCCAGCACAAAACTTCGTCCATGATCGTTTCCCTTTTGGGGTTCATTGAGCTAGCAAGTTAGCAATCCATAGCAGTTCATCTATATATGGTCTATGGGTTTGTGAATGATGAGGAGAACGACTACAACAGGGTCCAAAATCACTGCAGCTGTGCATTATTTTATTATTATTTATTTTCATTTTATTTAAAGCTAAATTGCATCATTGTCCTAAGGCAGGTCAGATACAAACACACAGATAGGTAAAAGTACAAACAATAAGTTGACAAGCACAACATAAAGAATTTAAATAAGAAGAGAAAGGGAAAGTCCAAGGAAGAGCAGATCTTCATCTATGGGAGCATGACTGGTTTGATTTTAACCAATGCTTCAGGACTCCTTTAAATGTTAGCTAGGTCCCACAGTTTTGTAAGTGTTCCGGCAAAGTGTTCCATAAATTTGTGCCTCTGATGGACGCTACCATTTGGCTGAATTTAGTCCTGCGCCTTAGCCTATTTAAAACATCTGTGAACAGGGCAAGGGCGTAGGTTTGCGTGGGGACCATGGGGACATGTCCCCACCAATATTTGGTGAGGACTAAAAAGTCCCCACCAAAATGACATGATGTCCCGTGACCCGGACGGTCCGGGACACATGTCTTCCGTTTGTGCATACGTCGCGCCTCCTCCTCGCCTCCAGAGCAACAACAGCAGCAGCAGCACGTGACCCGTTCCGTTCTCTGCAGTGATTGGCTGTCTTCTTCAGCGCCAAACTGAAGCACTGAGCGACTGTTTAATTTTTAAAAGTTAGCCAGCGTGAAGCAAGTGTTTTTTTTCGTTCCCTGAGCGTTGTAGCACGTGAGTAATCAGAGGAAAGTACTGTAGATCTATTACCATTCAAAGTACTTACGTTATTTCTAATCTGTCAGCGCACTGTTTAATGTTCCGAGGAGCTCACACGGCACAGAGACAGAACAGAACTGGCTCCAATAAAGAAACAGGTTGGTTGAAAGGCTGAAAAAATACTTATTGTGCTCTTACTATCCAAAATGTATAAGTGGGTGTGTTGTGTGAATCAGGATAAACTAGGGATGAAAATATTCCACGGATCCACGATTTACAACCTTTATCTGCTGATAATGTAATTTCTGTGAAATGTGTGACAGCGGGCACTTGCTGTTATTTGCTCTAAGCACATTCAAGAGATGCACTCGAATGTGCACGTCCTGGTGCAGCTGCTGCCGCTTTGTAATGACAGCCGCGGCGCTCAGTGAAAGCACAGCTCTAACATGGTACCGAGCTCGGACCATATGCAGACAGAACCATGTTGCAAGTGCGGGTCTCCCTCGTATCTCCCGCGTTTCTCCCCTGTGTCTCTGACATGTCTCTCCCCTGACTCTTCCCAAAGCGCAACCAGCGCTCCCGAAATTAAAGCTCGGATACCTACATTTTCCATTGCGTTAACGATGCATGCTGGTTGTGCGCAAAACACACCACAACAGGTCATTTAAGTTTTTATTTTGCATACTTGAGAGCCCTGTGAGTCATTACTTGCCTTTTTGGGTAGAGAGTGGAATAAAAAAAAGAAAATATAGAAAAATCCACACTGTTACTTATTGCCAAACTCTTGTTAACTCATTGTATTGAGAAATACTATGTAACTTTTGACATTGGCCAAGTTATATAAATGATTCTGCAGTTCATGTATATGAATGTCTGTTTTTGATTGTCTATATACCTTCTTATATAATTTAGAAAAAATGCCACCTCCACAAATAAGATAAAAGATATCAGGAGCTTTTTTAACAGTTGGAAAGTAAGTAAGAGAAAGCACAAGTAATAGCAAATTATGAATTGTGATGATTAATCTTCTGTTAACATACATAACTGCTTCTCATTCAGTCTACAGCTGAGTTTAGTATAGAAGGCAACACACTATTGCAAATATAGTGTGTGATTACACAACAAATTCTGGGGGAGAAACTCTGGACCCCGTGTCAATGGGTGTAGACTCAGGTCGTAGTGAATGTCCCCACCAAGATTGGAACCAAACCTACACCATTGGAACAGGGGTTAGGTACAATGTCTGAATACTAGTCATTGAGCTGCTAGTCTGTCTTGATTTTTGGTCTTGAACAGGTCGAGGGAGTGCAGAAGACTGAGAAAATATCCATCCACTTAAACCCTGCTGGACATGGAGGTGAAAGACACACAGTAACCATGAACAAGAACCTTAGAAAACCAAATTCTGACTAAGCCATTAACAGCTGCGTCGCGTCCACAGGTAAGCAGGTCATTCAGACGAGTAAACCGGAGCTGAAGGGAGTGGTGCTCAAGTCTCAGCCAGTAACAAAGATCAAGTTGACAGGTAAATGTTAAGACAGATCTCAATTCTGTTGTTCTTACCACATCTTCAAAAGCTACAATACATCCAGAATTCTGCCGCCCACACCGGGTCCAGAGACCACATCACCCCCGTCCTCAAACAACTCCACAGGCACCTTGTCCCATATCGTATCCAACACGATGTCCTTCTCCTCACCTACAAGTCCTCCTCCATTGAACCCTGAGGACCGAGTCTGAACCCTGAGGACCGAACCTTCTGAACCCTGAGGATCGAGCCTTCTGAACCCTGAGGACCGAGTCTCCTGAACCCTGAGGACCGAGCCTCCTGAACCCTGAGGACCGAGCCTCCTGAACCCTGAGGACCGAGCCTTCTGAACCCTGAGGACCGAGTCTGAACCCTGAGGACCGAGTCTGAACCCTGAGGACCGAGTCTTCTGAACCCTGAGGACCGAGTCTTCTGAACCCTGAGGACCGAGCCTTCTGAACCCTGAGAACCGAGTCTGAACCCTGAGGACCGAACCTTCTGAACCCTGAGGACCGAGCCTTCTGAACCCTGAGGACCGAGCCTCCTGAACCCTGAGGACCGAGCCTCCTGAACCCTGAGGACCGAGCCTCCTGAACCCTGAGGACCGAGCCTTCTGAACCCTGAGGACCGAGCCTTCTGAACCCTGAGGACCGAGTCTCCTGAACCCTGAGGACCGAGCCTCCTGAACCCTGAGGACCGAGCCTTCTGAACCCTGAGGACCGAGCCTTCTGAACCCTGAGGACCGAGTCTGAACCCTGAGGACCGAGTCTTCTGAACCCTGAGGACCGAGCCTTCTCCCTGAGGACCGAGCCTCTGAACCCTGAGGACCGAGCCTCCTGAACCCTGAGGACCGAGTCTGAACCCTGAGGACCGAGTCTGAACCCTGAGGACCGAGTCTGAACCCTGAGGACCGAGTCTGAACCCTGAGGACCGAGTCTGAACCCTGAGGACCGAGTTGAACCCTGAGGACCGAGTCTGAACCCTGAGGACCGAGCCTCCTGAACCCTGAGGACCGAGCCTCTGAACCCTGAGGACCGAGCTTCTGAACCCTGAGGACCGAGCCTCCTGAACCCTGAGGACCGAGCCTTCTGAACCCTGAGGACCGAGCCTCCTGAACCCTGAGGACCGAGCCTTCTGAACCCTGAGGACCGAGCCTCTGAACCCTGAGGACCGAGCCTTCTGAACCCTGAGGACCGAGCCTTCTGAACCCTGAGGACCGAGCCTTCTGAACCCTGAGGACCGAGCCTTCTGAACCCTGAGGACAGAGTCTGAACCCTGAGGACCGAGCCTTCTGAACCCTGAGGACCGAGCCTTCTGAACCCTGAGGACCGAGCCTTCTGAACCCTGAGGACCGAGCCTGAACCCTGAGGACCGAGCCTTCTGAACCCTGAGGACCGAGCCTCCTGAACCCTGAGGACCGAGCCTTCTAAACCCTGAGGACCGAGCCTTCTGAACCCTGAGGACCGAGCCTTCTGAACCCTGAGGACCGAGCCTTCTGAACCCTGAGGACCGAGCCTCCTGAACCCTGAGGACCGAGCCTTCTGAACCCTGAGGACCGAGCTCTGAACGAGGACGGCCTCCTGAACCCTGAGGACCGAGCCTTCTGAACCCTGAGGACCGAGCCTTCTGAACCCTGAGGGCCGAGCCTTCTGAACCCTGAGGACCGAGCCTTCTGAACCCTGAGGACCGAGCCTTCTGAACCCTGAGGACCGAGCCTTCTGAACCCTGAGGACAGAGTCTGAACCCTGAGGACCGAGCCTTCTGAACCCTGAGGACCGAGCCTTCTGAACCCTGAGGACCGAGCCTTCTGAACCCTGAGGACCGAGCCTTCTGAACCCTGAGGACCGAGCCTTCTGAACCCTGAGGACCGAGCCTCCTGAACCCTGAGGACCGAGCCTTCTAAACCCTGAGGACCGAGCCTTCTGAACCCTGAGGACCGAGCCTTCTGAACCCTGAGGACCGAGCCTTCTGAACCCTGAGGACCGAGCCTTCTGAACCCTGAGGACCGAGCCTGCACAGCAGCTGCCCCCACTCTCTGCAACTCACTCGCACAACCCATCAGAAACTCCGACTCACTACAGAACTTCTCATAACCATTGTTTTACATTTCCTTTGCTTAATTTTGTTCTTCAATGTTTATTCTTATATGTTTTGCAGAGTGTCTTCATCATAGAGAGCAGAATGGGGTTGTGTCCCCTGTTAGCGATGGAGACTAACATTTTGTGTCTTCTGCAGGAAACATATTGTCCGAAACCATTGAGAACGCCATCCATGACGACCCTCTGAATCGTTTGATAAAAATGCCAGGTGGTTGTGTAGAGCAGAACTTGGCAGGCGTCACTTTCCCTCTCATTTCCTCTCTCTATCTGGATCAAACCAACGGCTGGGAATCCGTAGGGGCGCAGCGCAAGGTGGATGCTGACCAATACATAATGACAGGTAAAAGAAATACCAAGGTCTATAACACACTACACTGCAAAAAAGTAAAACATACTGTATGAGGTAATACAGTTAATGCTTTAATCATTTAGTCTTATTTCAAGAACAGTTGCTTTATTGTCTTGTATAATTTTAAAACAAGATTGTCCCATTGGACGGTAGGTAGTCCAAATGTGCTATATTTCAGCAATATTTGACTCATTATTCATCAGAAGTGGACTGACTGAGTGTGATGTCACCATAGTGGTAATGCTGAATAAGCCGATTTGAATATGGATTTGAACATCAGCTGAAGCCATTTCCTTATATGGGCATTTGTTCCAACGGCGTTAGCTTCGTGCCGTAACAGGGACAGACTTTTTGCTAACATGCGTAAGATAATTGTACGCAACTGACATGAGGCTACATGTTTGTTATTAGTCAATAATATTATAGGTCAGCTCTGCCCTGGGTTTGATACCACCTCCAGGCATTTCTGTGTGGAGTTTGTATGTTCTCCCGTGTCCGTGTAAGTTTCCTCCAGTTGCTCCGGGGGAAACTTACCACTAAAACACAATAGTCTGAATGTATGAGTGGACGGTGATGGTCCGAGGCTTCAACGCAACAGTGAATGAAAAATATCTCTACTCCAAACACACAGAAGCGTTTTGTGTGACCTTGTGTGAAATGTTCTATAATGATTACTTACTTTCAGGATTTGGAAATCAAATGCGGTTCAGACATTCTGATGGTTCCTACCCCCCATACCGTGGAATCGGCCCAAGCACATGGTACTGTTCACTAAACACCAGATTTGTGCTGGGGGTAGAATAACATGTGTGTTGAGAGCATTCAATAACTGTAATAGTGAGGTCGCTTCTGCTGAAACTACACATTTCACTCTACAATAACTGATAGAACTGATTAATAAAATGTATATCCTTTACAATTAAATACTAATATTAGACTCTTAGAGCTCCTATTTCCCATCTCTCCCTGTTCAGACTGACTAACAATGTTGTTTGCTGAGAGGGACACAGACTGGTTGCCTCGCTTCTGTCAATGGGCAGCTGTGGCTTCAGTCAGTATTTTGTAGTAGTATTTTTTATTTTTTATTTATTTATTTATTTAAGCAGGGACAGTACATATTAATGAACATATAGAAATATGTAAATATGTCAGATTTTAGCCATAGGCTAATTTCCATCTGTCCCTAGACAGGTTGATGTGAAACTTCACATTCAACATCAAACTCACAAAACAATATCAAAGAAAAGACAACTACAGGACAAAGCATATAACAAGATACACATTCACAAACTGTACAAGGTACATTTGGGATTAGGGAGATACAAGGACAAAAGACTGGACAGGACAGAGGACAAGGAGGACAAAAAGTGAGTGAATGCGAACAAACCCAGTATAAGTCAATTTATTTTGCTAAATTGATAAAAATCTAAAAATAATGTTATAATTCATGCATACAAATATATTTAAAACTTAATTAAAGTGCTGTGGTGCATTGCACAGAGCCCTAAAGTGCATGTTGACAAGTTTGGGTGGATCTAAGCTACTCCTTTAAGTGACTTTTAAATGATTTGAAGCTTGTGAAGCATATTTGAGAGTCCTGAAAAGTACTATATCAAAGGGCTAATCTCGAATGTTTGTAAATGAATACATGACTAGGGAAGCTATTGCCATGTGCATTATATGGCCAAGGCGTGGGTTCTTTGTCATCCAGCGTGCTTTAATATATCCAGGGGTGCACATAAGTGGTACGCAGGTACGCATGCGCGCCAAATATCAGAAATGCGTACTATCACTTGAGTTAGCAAGCGCCTTTGCGTACTTCACATAGACCATTCATTCATTCATTCATTTTCAAGCCCTTTATTGTCCATTTCTGGGTCAGGGGGGTGGCAATGAGAGCTGCCACCCAACGCTCATAGCACCAGTCCCTCTGATCTTCTGCAGGGGGTGAGTCCACAGGAAGATGGCTGCTCTGTCAGCGGTGAAACAGCCTTGGTCTTTCAGCAGGGGCTTTAGGCAACATGGGGTTAAGTGTCTTGCCCAAGGACACAACGGCAGTAGACATCAGTGGGAGCAGTTGGAGTAGGTCCCATGGTGGGAATCGAACTCACGACCTCCAGGCTCAAAGGCCACTGCTCTACCAACTGAGCTACTGTCACATAGACCAGTCCTTCTCAAAAGGCGCTCCTCCCTCGGGTGACGTGGTGCAATGCCAGGGTGACGGAGCGGCCCGTCTCTAGCTACGTGCGCGAATATATTATTATACTAAAGGCTGACTTTCGCCACTCACACACCGGCACGCACACACAAACGCCATTCCACACTTGCGCAGTGCGCACCCTTTTCCCCCCGTTCCAGTCAAACGTAACATCCACACGCATCATCTATTCTCTAGTAGTTTGCCAAACATTTACCGGTCTGTGGCGCTCCTCTGGGCCTGTGCGCGAGGATCGCACCAGGACACTTTTTCCTGGTGGGTTAAAGACACACACTTGCTTGTTGCAAGTGTGTGTCTTTGTGTAACGCAAAATAAATAAATACATATTGCGTTACTGCAAGAAACAGAGCTGGACCATGGAGCCTAAAGGGAGTGTCCATGTCCTCCCTGTGTCTCTAAATTAAATCTGTGGTACCTAAATTTTCCCTTGCATTAATAATGCATAAAAATGTTGGTTGTGCCTAAAATTTAAATGTTGTGAACAAATCCAACAGAAAATTTTTTGATTTTGTTTTGCATTTTTGAAAAAGAGCCCTGTGAGTCATTATTTGACTTGGATTGAGTGGATTATCTGAGCTGAACTTAAGCATTAAAAAGAAGCAAGTATAAAATCTCGATTGAGAACCACGCGACAAATGGAGTGAGTACCAAACACCATCTCCTGGTACTCATCTGAGAACCTCACTGAAAAAGTTATGTGCACCCCTGAATATATACCTGTTGCTTCATGTACATAGTGTAAACAGAAACGCCTTGACTCTGCTCTTCCTGAACATAGGGTCACAGCGTACGTGTTGAAGATCTTCACCATGACGTTCTCCATGTTCTCGAAGAGAGGTCGACCAATGGACAAAACACACTCCGATGAAATCTGCCTATCACTGAAATACCTTGTCAAAGTTCAGTCTCCAGACGGCAGCTTCACTGAGACCTTCCCTGTAAGAGATACAGGCATGTCGGTAAGAGCACACCTGCCCAGAACAAGCAGGAAGTGGGGAAGGCTTAGATTCCAGTCCTCTCTTACAAATAATGAAGAGGTCATATTTTATCCTCATCGGTGATGTGTCTAATCCTGTCTTTTCACTCGCACTGAAGTACATCGTGAACGAATGTTACACCAACATTCTAAAGCGCTTCTGTGAAATGCGCTATATGAATAAAGATAATTAGATAACGTTGCATTTGTTTCTTCAGGGAGGCCTCCAAGGCGCTGATGATAAAGCTACACTGTCTGCGTTTGTCGCTATTGCGCTGGCGGAGGTCAAAGAAGCAAACCTCGACTGCGATTACATGGGAATCATCACAGAGGTAAAGATACATTCTGCCATTTCCTTCTGTGAATGTGAGACATGCAGACGACTCAGCGGTGTCACATAAACCAGGGCTGAATCATCCAATCTCTCTGGTCTCTCTGGTCTCTCTCTGGTCTCTCTCTGCTCTCTCTCTGGTCTCTCTCTGCTCTCTCTCTGGTCTCTCTCTGCTCTCTCTCTGGTCTCTCTGGTCTCTCTTGTCTCTCTCTGGTCTCTCTTGTCTCTGTCTGGTCTCTGTCTGGTCTCTCTCTGCTCTCTCATTTCAGCAGGTGGGTAGAAAGTGAGGGGGGTTTCACAGCCTTATAACAAGGTTATTTTACCACTGCAAGCATGAACCACTGTCACTGATTATTGCACTTTTTTGCAGCAAGCGTATGACAGAGTATTTGCATACTTGAAATGGGTGCCGAGCACCAGGCCATACACCACGGCCATCGTTTCTTACGCTCTGTCTTTGCTCCCGGGCTGGACATTCGACCCGACCAAAAGGTTGCTGGAAGCATCTTCAGGTAAGTCACTTGTGCTTCGACACCCGGCGTGACACTTTTTCAGGATTTCTTCAGTCACAAGAGACACACACACACAAACACAGAGACTCAGACGCACACACATATACACACACACAGACATGCACACACACACACCAACACAGACGTACCCAACACACACACACAGAGACACACGCAGACACTCACTGTGACGGAGCGGGTCCCCCGTTCATGCGTAACATCCACACGCATCATCCATACTCATGTCCTTCTCTTCCCACAGTTTCTAGTCCGCCAAGAGTGCACACTTGTGCGGGTTAGAAATACATCATAGCATACATTCATACACGTACTGGTCTGTCTCGCTCCTCTACATCTGTGCGCGAGGGTCAAACCGGGACCATACTTCCTGGTGGGTTAAATGCCCCCTGGGAGCGCGGGGAATTGTGCTCATGTGACGCGCATAATTAACATACATGTTTAACTGTTCAATCATGTAACGGTTTATGGTAAAGCGTACTTATTTGTGTTGGACCATTAGGGAAAGGGCCCCTATATTTGTTTTCTGTTTACAAGTCCCGTTTCTAATAATTTATTTTGCTCAATGCGAGGGGCAAGGGGGACTATAAAGAGGAGCCGTGTCGGGCCCACGTCAGTCTGCCGGCGGTTACAGAGGAAGTAACTACCTGGACTACTTGACCTATGTGTCAATCTGAAGCTGTTTTTTTCCTTCTTAATCCACTGTACATATGCTCTGCACTGCCTGCACTATTTATTTTGCACTGTGGGAGGATAAAAACACACCTAACCACGAAAATCTGAGCTTGCCTGTTTTATTTTTAAAGTAACCCACGACAGATGGTGTCAGAAGTGGGATGGCAAGCCAGAAGAAAAGTGTTAGTCTACCCAAGTGCACAGGTTTGCGGTCTCAGAGCCATGGGCAACCGCCAGGGGGCGCCGGAGCAGCATGGGAAACGGAGGATGAGGAAGAGAAGCCAGAAGTCAAACCCGGGCCATTCTCTGAGCCTGGGCAGGATATGGTGATGCTAATGAGGGAGTTTCTGGCTGACAGCAACGCCAGGAAGAAGGGTTGCTGGTAGAACTCCGGAGGCTGGGGAATGCTCAGCCCATCCCTCCGTCGTCTCCACCGCCACTGTCCAGAGATTGGCCGGTTCCACACTTCCCCCCGTTCACGCACAAACACACACACACACACACACTACACACAATCATGTGGAAACACTGAAGGGGGCGACAGTGGATCAGTTGTAAAGCATTGGTCTTAGAATCAAACGGTTGAGGGTTCGATCGCACCTCGACTCAGGTCACCTGCTCCCACTGATGTTGTTGTGTCCCTGGGCAGGACACTTTGCTTGAAACCCCAGAAGAAAGACCACGTTAAAGAAATACCCACCTCTTACAGGAGGATCAAGAACTAGAAAATATCTATTTACTGAAAAAAACAAATCAAAGAATAACATCCTCTTCGCGTTTCCCCTTTCCATGGATCCTTAACTCATTCACTGCCATTTAAAAAGCAGCATCCCTCATACTGCCAGAGATTTTAGACATTTTAATGTTTTTCCGAACCGCATAGAAATGTGAGCCCTTGGTTGAAACAAGTATGAAACATATCAAATGAAAGCTCTATCCCTTGGCTTTCATTTTTTTTTTAAAAGTAAGTTTCTAACCCTTTTAGTTTTTTAGCAATTGAGAGTGCAACATAGGTAACTTTCACACAAAATACTGTTTCCTGACCAAGATTTGGAGAAAACAGCCTTTTTGTGAAACGCGCATTTTCAAGCAGAAAAGTGGGTTTTTTTGGTCTTTACTGATATTTTCAATGTATGACAGTTTCTTATTATGACACAAAACAGAAACAATACATTGAATTGTATTTTTAATGTATAATTATTTTTCAACAAATTAAACGTGTACACTCAATACACTCAAAAGGATTGTCTTATGTACACATACAATATTCAACTTGTATACAATAAAAACACTTTGTACACAAATATACAGTAAAAATTACACTTTCTGAACACTTTGTGAAACAATTTTACTTTAGTTTATAAAGCATAGTAATTAGGTGACCCCACACTCTGCTGAAGTGTGGGGTGGAATCTACTTCCTCCGCACTCCCAATACATTTCTAGATTAGTTTTTTTTTACAAACCCAGTGAGAAATGTCAAACCAAAAAAGGTTTTTAGCTGCAGTCTGTCACTGTCCATGCATTTTCTTTGCTGAATGGGAGACGCTGTGTGTGTGCACTGAAATATTGTGCTGCATACAGCTTTGTCTGTTTGACAACAAGATCCAGGATCCAGAAGTTCATCAGTTATGAAGAGCTGCAGAAGTCAGCTGCTGATCCAAATCAAGCTCTGCTGCAGCATTTTGGGGTCCTGGGGTCAACAATCTACGACACACAGAAAAATATAAAATCACCATACATTTTCACATTATAACAAGTGTTTTGGCTTCAGCAGCTATGACATTGAGATAAAAAAAACTCTTCAATACTCGCTGTTTATTTTTACTATAGTATAAGCCAGTGATTGCTATCACTCCCTCAAGAATCTCTCAATGTTTGAACGCAAAACCACGCAGACTCTGTGATCAGAGGAACAGAGAGAGTCTCTCTCTCCCTGTTCCAAAGCAGCAGCGGGCGCGCTCCTGACGCACCCTCCACAGTGAGACGCACCACAGCAGAATGCACATGGTGCGGTAAATCTAACACTTGTTGCTCATCATGGGTCCTGCTCACCGGTCTGCCATGGATCACCTCCCCCTGTCCCTTCTATAAACCACACGGGAACATAATCCATAGCTCCCTGGCAGCTAATGCTGCATGCCAGACTCACACGCCTCCAAACTCAAGTAAGTAAGTAACCTTTATTTATATACCGCCTTTTCACTGCAGATCTGAGTCTCAAAGCGATTTACAATTGTTAATTATGGGCATTTATCTCTCACTCCACACAGAGATGGGAGCGGGGTCACCAGTACAGGAGGCGCATGCCAGACATGCCTATTGGACATATTTTTAGTGGTAGGGGAAACCGGAGTACCCGGAGGAAACCTACGCAGACACGGGGAGAACATGCAAACTCCACTCAGAAAGGCCCTGGGCCGACCGGGATTCGAACCCAGGACCTTCTTGCTGAGAGGCGAGAGTGCTATCCACTCAGCCACCGTGCCGCCCTAAGGGACTAACTCAAGAGGGAAACTTTTGGAAAAATGTCCCGCGTAATCAAGCATTTTACCCGCAATAATCATTCATCAATCAACAATTGTGCGCAAAATCCTGGAGGGGCTGAAGTACATTAGACAAAGAGGAGAAATAAACTCGTAAATGCAACATGTTGAAGAGAAAAAGCCACTTACCACATTACGACGGGGGGAGGAGCCGCTGCCGCTGCCGCTGGACGAGGAGGGAGGGGGAAGGCTCCGAGGATCCTGGAGTCTCATGTTAACTAAAGAACTGAAGAACTAGCATCGTGGCATCTAGCTGCTTCATATTTATCCGTTTGATGACTGAACAGGCTCTCAAACAGCGTTAGCTGCGTGAGCTTCTCAGATCCGCGATTCTCTGTGTAAGCATGGCTGCTCCTCTGGCTGTTTGCTGCTCACAGCACCACATGCCCCCTTCTCCCTCCCTGGATCTGGCCACAGTGTCACCTCTGCCCCCTACAGGATCGGTTCCATAGTGTTTACAGGTCTGAAATGTTGACACAGGATGCACAAGAGCCTTGACGAGCCATAGAAAGAAAAAAACGAAAAAAAGATTGACGCCTATGGCGGTGAATGAGTTAATGAGCACCAGACTCCTCACGTTGGTCCTACATGTTTTGATCCCTGTATCCCTGTCATTGTTCTTGTTTTTCTAATAAAAGTTGTGTTTTCTTTGTGGTCTCCTTTGGTGCAGATGGAACTTTCTGGCCTGATGCAACCGCAAAGATGGAGGCCACTGGGTACGCTCTTCTTGCTCTGGTGAAAATGGGACGTCTAGCAGAGGCAAAAAAACCGTTCGAATACCTGCGTGACCACAGATATATCAGCGGTTATTCTGGAAACACTCAGGTAACTGTTACAAAGACTGACATTCTGGACTACATATGAATCTACATTACTACATATAAATCTACATTACTACATATGAATCTACATTACTACATATGAATCTACATTACTACATATGAATCTACATTACTACATATGAATCTACATTACTACATATGAATCTACATTACTACATATGAATCTACATTACTACATATGAATCTACATTACTACATATGAATCTACATTACTACATATGAATCTACATTACTACATATAAATCTACATTACTACATATGAATCTACATTACTACATATGAATCTACATTACTACATATGAATCTACATTACTACATATGAATCTACATTACTACATATGAATCTACATTACTACATATGAATCTACATTACTACATATGAATCTACATTACTACATATGAATCTACATTACTACATATGAATCTACATTACTACATATGAATCTACATTACTACATATGAATCTACATTACTACTAATCATACTTTTATCATAGAATTCAGGGTAAATCGGTTTCTGAAGCGGCTCATCCAGGGGATTCTGAGAACCCTGTTCCCAAACTAACCTAAAGTTAGCGATTCTATACTTGCTTCTTTGTTATGCTAAAGCTAGAGCTTTTTTTTTTCAGCGGGTGTTTCAGGCAAGCGTGAGTGTGAGTGTGTGTGGATAGGGAAGTCTGGGCATCTCTGCTTAGACTGCTGCGGAAGAAAAAAATGATTGGTGGGTGTTTCAGGCAAAGTGTGGTTAAGTGTGTTGCCCAAGGACACAACAACAGCAAACATCAGTGGGTGTAGGTGGAGGAGGTCTCCTGGTGCACTGTAAACCCGGATAAGTTCAATACACTTAAATCGTTTGAGGAAACCGATTCCCTTCAAATGGTTTGAGTAACTGACCCAAAACTAAAAAATAATTGATTAAGTAGAGTAAACTTAAAAAGTAAAACAAAACACAAATTACTATATGGAGTCATAGCCAGGTAATGTTATTAAGTTTTCCAATTTAAGAACTAATATGTTTATGTTCAGTTAACTTAACTTGTTAGGGGAATTACTAAAAGAAAACATTTTTGTTTAAATAGTGTCAATATTAGAAAACTCAAATGTTTGCTTAGTACTACTTTAAACCTCATATATTTAATTAAAACTAACTTAAGATGTTAAGGCAAACACACTCAATACCTCGATTTCAAAGGACATGCTAATGACCAGAAAAGGCAGTTTTTTTTAAAAGCAATTTTATTCAAAATGGCTTTGTCCCAGAATTCGTTCAGGCACTTATGGTTCTCCAAGTGATGTGCGTAAGTCAGTCCAAACAGGAGACACTTTTCCCAAAGGAAGACTGCAGAATCCAGAAGGATGCCAACTTGCTCTGGACTTGGAATTTTCACCATTGATTATGATTTCTATGGGGATGTGGGTCACCATCAGCAGCATTCTGCAAAGGGGAAACGAGAAGAAACAGTGAGTAACCCGTTTGTGGAGAAGTACTGGTCCTTCCAATTGTCAATCATTCTTGTCATTTGTGCTCGTCAAATAAGACCAGAGTTTTGTTAAAAAAATGGAGAGGGCGGTTCTTTCCTATAATCTTTCCCAGGAAGCACATTCACATGTGTGAAAACATCCTAATATGTGTTTTGGGTTGTATCTGCTTTTTTTATGTTTTAGAATTTGTAAAACACATCAACCAGTAAAAGAAAAAGTATAATTTGAACATTCAAACATGACTTACTTTGTGACTTGTGTTGAACTTAAAAGCATTGTCCCCGAGAAGAACAGGAAGCCCTCTGTATGGTCCGAACATCAGCTGATAGTTACATGCTCTGCAAATAGTTAAAACAGATGTTTACCACTTCTAATCATGAGAAGAGACATGTTGTACCAAGATTAAATGATGAGGCCAACTCACCTTTTGCTTTTGAATGTTTGCCTTCATATTCTGTCCTTCTGGTGAAGACCTCTTCAAAGCCAAGGTAGAAACCATCCAGAGAAGTAAATAATTCTCCAATGGACGTTTTTCCAGTAATTATGTTGAATTCCGAGTTGACCTTTAAACAAGCCCCAATTATTACTTTCAAAAATATAACACAAGATTTACAATAAACAAACAAACCTGGCATTCAGTCACCCCTGAACAATCCGGCTTGACCACTTCAGCTCTGAAAGAAAGGAAAGAACATTTTAAAATAATTTGTGTTACTTTGAGCAACTATAACCCAAACCCCACAACAGGTCTGTGTAACCTTATCTTTACAGTAAATAAATCTTTACAGCCATGACACTAACAGTGAAAGTGCGCGCACTGAACTAACCGCCCTCTTTAGTTCAAAGTAAAGACTTGATTCTCTGGTTTGCAGCAGTAGCACCAGAGTTAGCTTAGCTTAGCTTAGCTTAGCTTACATTTCAAACCTCCAGCGGCTCAGCAACATGAGCGACCAGCTCTGTGCTTTTCCCATGGACGCTGGAGCAGACTCTCCACGTGGCTCCTGCTGGTCCCCTCTCTGCTCCTGCTGGTCCCCTCTCTGCTCCTGCTGGTCCCCTCTCTGCTCCTGCTGGTCCCCTCTCTGCTCCTGCTGGTCCCCTCTCTGCTCCTGCTGGTCCCCTCTCTGCTCCTGCTGGTCCCCTCTCTGCTCCTGCTGGTCCCCTCTCTGCTCCTGCTGGTCCCCTCTCTGCTCCTGCTGGTCCCCTCTCTGCTCCAGCTGGTCCCCTCTCTGCTCCTGCTGGTCCCCTCTCTGCTCCTGCTGGTCCCCTCTCTGCTCCTGCTGGTCCCCTCTCTGCTCCTGCTGGTCCCCTCTCTGCTCCTGCTGGTCCCCTCTCTGCTCCTGCTGGTCCCCTCTCTGCTCCTGCTGGTCCCCTCTCTGCTCCAGCGTCCATGGGAAAAGAACGGGAGCAGATCGCTAACGTCGCTATGTCACTGGAGTCCGGTGTAACACGTGTGCAAGCTTCAGTGACAGAGACTGGCTCCGTGTACCGTATATAATAAAAAGTGCAAAAAAATAACCTTGTCTAAAAATGGAGAAAAACAATAGACTCAAAACAATGTTCAGGAGATTACATTAGCTTGCGCAGCTGCATAATGTAAAATACATTTTTTTTAAAAACTTAATACAAAGATTTAACTCACCTTTGACTTGAGGAAGGGTGCGCTCCATTGACTACAGACTGGAAAAACATGTTCAAGTCCGAGGAAAACATGAATAAACTGCTTATTCTTGAAACATTCAAACAAACGACTCTGTCCAGATATGTCCCTGGTTCCAGTGCAGCCGGGACAAATATGGGAGGAGCTATGAAAACTTAAAGATAGTGAAAGTGCTTTCAACTTAAAGGTTGTAGTAGTGATCTCATTTACTTGTTTATTTGAGTGTTGACCTCAAAACTCATTCTCTTACACACATTTGTACTCAAACTATATTTTAGAATAAACTTAAAATAGATTGGACCAAGTTAAATGTATTCATTCTAGTGCATCACATGCAACACTATATATGTTAAGTCCTTTCAACTTCAACCAAAGAGTTCTCTCTGCCACACTTGTATGATTTGAGTTTTACAGAGAAATTTATTTACCATCAGTGGTTAGAGCTGAAACCATTCGAGTGCAATTAACTTTCGGGTTAACAGTGTGGGCTTGAACCCAAGTTCTTCAGGCCCAAAGGTCAATTCTCTACCATCTGAGCCCCTGTCTTTCCATCCCAGTCTACGATGGTGGTGCTGCAGGCTCTGGCCGCGTACCTCGTGGCCCAGCCTCCTCCAGTCGACCACTTCCTGAAGGTTTCTCTCCAAATCATCGATGCACAGAAGTCGAGGAGCGAGTCCCTGAGCTTCAACTCTCAGAGCAGCTACCAGTTGCGGTCATTCGATGTAAGTCTGACCTTTGTGTGTGGAGTTCGCATGTTCTTTCTGTGTTTTCATGTTCTTTCTCCCCCATCAACACTGTCTGTGTTTTCAGTTGTCAATAAATGGAGACTTTGAGGTGGGAGCTGAGGGAAACGGCGAAGGCACATTAGAGGTACAAGCTAAATATCATTTCAATCTGGAGAGACTTCATAAGACAAAATGCAGTTTGAAAGTTTTATTGATAGGTAGTGTGGCGCCCTAGGCCCCGGTGCAGCACTATAGTCAGCAAGGCTTCTGCCTGAGTGCGCGCACGATCCCCCCGGGCCCTAGGGTCTGATGGTGTCATTCGGGCAGCAGGAAGGAGCGCGAGCTTGAAGCAAGGAGAGAGAAGGAGGAGGAGGGGAGGTGGTGGTTGCGAGGCTTGATAAGGCTGTAAAGTGGAAGTCTCCGCTTTTAAGCTGCTGGCCTGACCGGCATAGGTTGGTTGGAAATGGGCGTTTCTGTGCGATAGGCCGAGGATGTGAGGCAGGCCTGGAAGGGATGGGCTGTAGCAGTTAGTCTCCCAGAATGAATTTCCGCAGGCTGCATTTAGTGATGGGCATATGGAGCCCTGTAACACACCAAGGCTTTCTTTGGCACCTTTTTTCAAACGTGCCTCTGAGGGTTAAAAAGATACAAGAAACAAACTTTTGTGATCTAATTCATTCTGTCTGTTAGGTTGTGACAGTTTACAACCAGATTCCAGAAGAAGACGGCAAAAGCTGCGAAGCGTTTGACTTCCAGGTCACTATTCAAAGGGCCGAAGGTACAATGTTATTATAATGTACTTACTTATTTTTCTGTCTTTGTGTGGTCTGAGTGATGGATTCCTCCGGGTGCCACTGAAACAATAGAAAGACGGGTCAATTTATGAAAAAAAAAAAGAGTTTCAAAAAGGTTTTTCTGATTGAATGTACTGTATAATGTTGTTGTGTAACTGCAGTGTAGGACTGGTTTAACAAGGCTCTGATAATTCTAAAGTATGTTGGAATTGCTTAAAAAAATAATATGGACCAGAGAGGTTAAAAGGCTTCTTGCTCATCTTGAATTAGACATATGATCTTTCTAGTTGTAAATAATTGCTAAATTTCAGTAAAAAAATAAATAAAACTACCTCCCCATGTTTAGTCCTCACTGTTGGAGGCCAGTCCCTGTGCTCCTTAGAGTCCCAGCAGGAGGCCAGTCCCTGTGCTCCTCAGAGTCCCAGCAGGAGGCCAGTCCCTGTGCTCCTCAGAGTCCCAGCAGGAGGCCAGTCCCTGTGCTCCTTAGAGTCCCAGCAGGAGGCCAGTCCCTGTGCTCCTTAGAGTCCCAGCAGGAGGCCAGTCCCTGTGCTCCTCAGAGTCCCAGCAGGATGCCAGTCCCTGTGCTCCTTAGAGTCCCAGCAGGAGGCCAGTCCCTGTGCTCCTTAGAGTCCCAGCAGGAGGCCAGTCCCTGTGCTCCTTAGAGTCCCAGCAGGAGGCCAGTCCCTGTGCTCCTTAGAGTCCCAGCAGGAGGCCAGTCCCTGTGCTCCTCAGAGTCCCAGCAGGATGCCAGTCCCTGTGCTCCTTAGAGTCCCAGCAGGAGGCCAGTCCCTGTGCTCCTTAGAGTCCCAGCAGGAGGCCAGTCCCTGTGCTCCTTAGAGTCCCAGCAGGAGGCCAGTCCCTGTGCTCCTCAGAGTCCCAGCAGGAGGCCAGTCCCTGTGCTCCTTAGAGTCCCAGCAGGAGGCCAGTCCCTGTGCTCCTCAGAGTCCCAGCAGGATGCCAGTCCCTGTGCTCCTTAGAGTCCCAGCAGGAGGCCAGTCCCTGTGCTCCTTAGAGTCCCAGCATGATCCTTCCTTCCGCCTCCGTCGAGCACAGACGTGTCCTCAGACCGCTCCTGTTTTGTCTTTTTCCTCTAACAACAATTATGGAAATCATTAACTGGTCCCGTGACTGGACAATGTAGAGTTGTGCTTGTGGAGCAATTGCTTGAAGATCTTGAAATGCGTTCACTCAAAGGACATAAGACTCTGGAGATGCGGCTGAATGACATTGTCTGTCAGGCTTGAACTCTCTGACCCCGCATGGATAAGCCCCTGTATACGGAGGTACTGAGGGCACCGCAATTCGGTTTAACTGGATTTATAGTATATCTGCCTTGCTTTTGCGGACAATATAAATTGTCCCTGTGTTTTCTCCCGTATGCGGCTCCTCCCTCCAATCTTTCCACATTCCTATTGGCCAAGGCCGAAGATAACATGGACTCTACAACAACAAACCTCTCACTCTTGTTACTTACGTGGCAATAAAAATGATTCTGATTCTGAGGAGGCCAGTCCCTGTGCTCCTCCCAGCAGGAGGCCAGTCCCTGTGCTCCTCAGAGTCCCTGCAGGAGGCCAGTCCCTGTGCTCTTTATGGTGCATTAAGACCGCAAACGCTGAAACGCTGAAGCCCCGCTCACCAGACGCGCATTCTCTAGTTTTCAGACGCAGGGGTCTTCACACCAGAACGTCCTGACCAGCGCCGGAAGTAGCCGGCCGGCTCTGATGCTAACAGAGCTATGCTAGCGGCTTCTTTTGTACAGATCATCTCCAATATGCAGCTTTGCAGCGTGTCTTTGCTCACAGACATTCCACCGGCTTTATATAACAGCAGTATGTGTTCACGGAGGTGCGCCATACGTGTTTTCATATTATGAAACGGTATTTCCGCATCGGCAAACACACTCTAAGCAGTTGCATAAGGTCATGGGAGCATGACAACGCATATTTTCACAAGCACAGAGTCCCCCATTGTCAACCCTGGTTTGAGTTCTGGTGAAGTCTGGTGTGGGTCCTGTTTTGGCTTTTTACGAGTATTTTCAGTCTGCTCGCTCAGTCCGCTAATGTCCCCGTGACCACTTTGCTGCTCTCTGATTGGTCGCTGCACGAACGTCCCAAGGAAAGGATGAGCAGAATCTATCTCCTGTGGGCGTCCATTTTTTGCTCCTGCTCCTCCCTTTGACTTTCCGGCCAAGTCCATGCGTCTCTACTGAACAGTCCGTGCGTCTCTACTGAACAGTCCGTGCATCTCTACTGAACAGTCCGTGCGTCTCTACTGAACAGTCCGTGCGTCTCTACTGAACAGTCCGTGCGTCTCTACTGAACAGTCCGTGCGTCTCTACTGAACAGTCCGTGCGTCTCTACTGAACAGTCCGTGCGTCTCTACTGAACAGTCCGTGCGTCTCTACTGAACAGTCCGTGCGTCTCTACTGAACAGTCCGTGCATCTCTACTGAACAGTCCGTGCGTCTCTACTGAACAGTCCGTGCGTCTCTACTGAACAGTCCGTGCGTGCGTGCCAAGAAGTCGGTGCGTTTTTCACGCTCGACCGCGTGTCACCATTGACTTTGCATTGAAAGGTCTGGCCGCGGCATTAGAGTACTAACATGTCACAGATGTACTTTGGCCATGGAGAGACTAACATTACAGTCTGTCATTTAACATAACGTTCCTAGACTTAGAACCCTGTTTTTTTAAAGTCTATGTTTGTGTCTGTTACAGACTTTGAAAGTAAACTTCAACCTGGAATCATCAGCGCCTTTGATTTCAGCGTCCAGCTCAAGTAGGAGTCATTTGGAACACTTCAATTTGATCTATGTTGAATCTACAGTATTAAGCAGTGCAACTCCTCTTTTTATGCAACTACACATTTTCTACACAATTTTTTAATTTATTTTTTGATACAGTGGTCCCTCATTTATCACAAGATGTACATACAAGTAGTAGCTTTATGTTTTAAGGCTGTAAAACTCCTCGCTCAAGGAATGAGTCGAGTTGTAAGTCTCTAAGGTCTCTCTGTGGTGACGTCATCATTTATAACCAGGAAGTAGAATATGTTCACTGTTTTCTCTGATAAGTTTTACCTGTCGTTACATAGACAGTGGTCCCTCACTGTAACACGGTCCACCTTTTGCGGCCTTGCTTCTTTTGCCTTTATTAGTTACATTTTTTGTGCTTTTTTACCGTGTGCTTCTCACGCGCGTACAAACCAAAAACGTCGTGTAACATTAGCAAACCGTTAGTTTTTTATTTTATTTAATCTCAGGAAAGCTTGTGTGGCGTGTGTAAAAACACTCCATGCTAAAGCATATAGAAAAGAACAAATCAAATAATGTACTAAATATTTCAGATTGTATCATTCATTATCATTTTATACTTTGTCAACAAATATGCAATAAATATATATCATATAATATATGATAAACAATGACTGTACCCAATATCAGGCTCTTTCACACCAATATATCCCCACATTTTTTCCAGGGTCGCTTAAAGGAGTAGCTCTCTGCCTTTATCGTCCCGGGAAAGTAGCTCTCTGGGTGAAAAAGGTTGGAGACACCTGCTTTAGAACATCCCCCTGCGATAAACCAGGGACCACTAAACCTAAAACACTACTTTTCTTTTCTTTTCCTCGGAAAGTCAACATAAGCAGTGATTGGTGTTTTTGCTGCAGGGCTCGGGGGGCGGAGCCTGCTTACTCCGTGGTTCTGGACATCACTCTGCCCACTGGCTTCACGGCTCAAATCAGCGATCTGGAAAATGTGTGATGCTGTACATTTGTGGAATCAGATGTTTTTACAAAGTGATAATAACATCTTTATCCGATGCAGCTGTTGAATTCTGTGGAGAATTACATCTCCCACTACTACTTCGACGACAAGCTGAGCGACAGGAGCTCCCTGATCATCCACATGCACCAGGTGAACGAGAGCTTCTTTACTTAGTTCAAGGCAAGGCAAGTTTATTTGTATGGCACAGTCCAAACAAGCCAACTCAAAAAGGCTGAAAACAAGATAGAAACAATCACACAAATAAATAATCACAGTAATTTCAAAAGAGTGAAGATAAAATCCTTCAGTTGTTGCAGCGAAACAGAACGGTTTTTATCCTGGATTTGAACATTGTCAGAGAAGAAGTCTGTCTCACATTTTCAGGAAGATTGTTCCAGATTTTTTGCATACATTTGAAACGCTGCCTCCTCATGTTTAGTCCTGCCTCTGGGACCAGCAGGAGTCCAGTCCCTGTGCTCCTCAGAGTCCCTGCGGGCGGCCAGTCCCTGTGCTGTCCCTGTTATAATTCAATGTGTGAAATGGTTTGTTTTGCAGGTTTCCAACACTAACTCTCAGATGGTGACCTTCAGACTGTTGCAGCAGTTTAACGTGGGTCTTTTCCAGCCCTCGTTCGTCACGGTCTATGAGTATTACAAAGAAGGAGGTCAGAATACACAATCTGCAACCAGCGTTCCAACAATTTATTCACCTTAACATTTACACAACACCATGAAGAAATATCGGAATCAGAATAAGGAAAATCAGTTGAGTTTCCCATTTTAAAACCAAAACAGAAAAGTACCTTCCATTAAAGGTACCGTGTCTCCAGATACAAGAGATTTGGTCTCACGACATCTTGACCTATTGGCTTACTCATAAGAGAGATAGATAGACACACAACTGTAGTCTGGATCAGTGTAAAACCGTGTGTGTGTGTTTTGTGTGTTTCCAGGTCAGCGCTGCACCAGGCGGTACGCTCCTCCAGAACAAGTGAAGCTCACAACCATCTGCAACGAAGGCGAATGCATCTGTACACAGGGTCAGTCCCACAGAATATACAGTGCTGTAGACTTGGGTTTTAGGCAGGCGGGGGTGTCTACATGTACCTGTGTCTCTCTGTTTCTGTATGTACCTGTTTCTCTATATGTACCTATGTCTTTAGCAAAGGTAAAGGTAAAGGTGCACTTTATTGATCCCTGTAGGGCAATTCATCCTCTGCATTTGACCCATCCTGATGCTGCTAAGGCTCACATCAGGAGCAGTGGTCGTCGTAGTAACAGCGCCCGGGAACCCATTCTCCGTCAGTCCATGTCAGTCTTGTTCCCTTTTGGATATTCGCGTTTGTTTTGTTGGATTTGATCATCATCATCATCATCATCAATTCTTGCCTCCTCCTTCTTTCCACCACGGGACTCTCAGATCTCCAGCTTAAGACTTATGGAAATTGGCTCCAGCTATTGTTTGTTCTAATCTTCAAAAAAGGAAAAGTCTGATATGAGAGGAGTTAGAGGAAGCCAGAGTGTCCATGTGCACTTCCCTATTGGGTTTCATTGAACCAGCGGATAGTATTGTCCATCTATAAACAGTTTATGGTTGTATTATAAAACCAGGATGTAGTTACCCACCTCTACCACTAGGTGACAGTGATGATCATACACATGTTGATCCAAATATGTGTTTTTGTGCACTGGTATGTGATGAAAAGATAAGATAAACTTTAAGGATCTCTGATGGAGAAATAGAGTCTGTGCAGGATATATGTACAATAATGTGGCTAATGTTTTTTGTTTTTTTATTGAACCTTTTTATATCCAAGAAAATGCCATGGAGATGAATAACTTCTTTTTCAAGGGAGTCCTGGACAAAAGTTGCCTACAGTTATATACAAATGCAGATTATAAAAACAGCTCTATGTCAATGAGGACGTCTCAATCTGGATTTCTAAGCATTCAATGAAATAAGTTCAGATCATTTCCAGTCTTTTCCAACACGTTCCATGTAGAAGGAGCATCAAATACAAAAGCTTTCATACGCTGAAAATATGTACAATTTCACGTAATATTTCTTGCTATGATCTCAGTTTGAACCTTTGGCACGTGCAGCATTAGACATTCCTTCATGTTTGCTTGTTTGGTTTTGTTTCAGGGGATTGCTTTTATATCAGGACAGACTCACACGTCACCGGAGACAAACCAAGAGAGACTTTTGCCTGCGTCACCCTACACCACGGTAACATGCAGCATCAAAGACACCGTTTTAAAACATGTGATAACCCTGACATTCTGCCTCAGTTTTTAAGGTGAAAGTGAGAAACATCACCAGAGAAGTGCAGTTCAGATACGAGATGGAGATCACAAACGTCTTCAAGTTGGGTGAGTCCGGAGGTGGTTCTCTGAGTTAGGGCTGAGGCCGTAAATCCAGTCTTTTATGACAATTTATCGTAATCTAAAATCTTGCATATCAGTAGTGTTTTGGTCTGTCCTTCCCGCTGCTGTCAGACTGTACAACAAGAACTTCTGAGGAATCTGGCTTCAAATACAGACGTTTATTCTACAAACCCTGGAGCAATTCACTTCAGTTCTTTTTTATCAACAAAACTTCATAGTGATACAAGTCGTAAACAGTGTAATTTCTACAGTTTGTAGGTGTTTGGAATAAGAGAAAACCAGGAAGCTGCATTAGTTTAGAGGCCGGGCCCCAGCTCTGCAATCTGAGTCAGAGGCTGCAGGCTTTAGAATGAGTCTGAGAGTCAAAATACGTTATGTTATTGAACGACAGTACATTCAAGGTCTTTGTCTTCTGTCTCAGGTACCGAAGCAGGAGTTATGGACCATGAAATCAGGTATTTTGTCACTGATCCGGCCTGTGGGGACAAGGTGGTGCTTCAGAAGGACTCAGACTACCTCATCATGGGCCCCGAGAGGGACAAATGGAACGCAGACCCGGCCACCAACAAGTAACAGTTTAAAGAGACTCAATCATTCTTGGGCTTTTAACATGAATCCACTGTTTGCAACTATATTAACTTTATTAACTGCTTCATATACAGCACCTTTATTTGGTCATGACAACCGTTGCTAAGGAGTTTTTGCTGGCTCTTGGCTCATAAAGTATTCTCTTTCCTGAAACATTTTTTTGAGAGCACAGAGGAAAACACATATATATTTTCTAGGGCCATGACATGAGTATCTTTATCATATGGATTTTAAGTTTACCGTTGATCAATGAGTCCAACACACCAGTGCATCTTTTACCATTAAATGTAGCAGTAGCATATTTAGAAGTATAATGTGTTTTTCCGGCCCTTATCTTAAGTGATCTACATCCAGAGTAATCCAGCGAGTGGCTGGTTCTTTCAGACGTGGCTCAGTTCCTCTGGTCTTCAAAGCAGTCACCTGGTGGACTGTGGTCTTTATACTGGGGCTAACGTCCATGCTAGCTGCTCTGTTAAGCACCAGCCATGGGGACCAAAAGATTAGCGGAACTCACCCTTATTTGGGCATGTCTCTGGTCCTCCCGGTTCTGCGCAGTGGACGATCTCCCATGATGCTTTGCCCCAAATACTATCGAGCACGAGTGTGTGAGGGCCGCGTTCTGACCAATCAGAGCTGCTGATCAGAACGGAAAGAAATTGAGCAGATTGTTTCTCTAAAGTGTGGATTTAAAGAAAAATTAAGGATTTAAGAAGAAAAAAGTTCAGGACGACAAGGGACATTAAAATCCCCACAAAATCTGACCTTTGTGAAAGCTGTAGGTTCTCTGTCAGGTTCTCTGTCAGTGCCAAGATAGATATTATAATAGATCCATGGCATAGACACAAGTGGTGCTTCAGTATAATCGGTTCAGAGAAAAAAATGGAAAATCCGGTCTTCATTATTTTCCTACATGTTGGGAGTGTGTGAGCGTTGTGACTGTGTATATGAAGGTTTTACCACAAGCTGTACGGTTTAAACACATTCTGAACATGATGAATTTTGAGTCTATTATAAGTCTTTTATTGCCATTGTAAGCAACAGGAAGTCACAAACCAAGAATTAGTACCGTAAACACCAAATAAAAAAGTGAGAAAGCTTGTGTAGGTCCACAGTAGGGCTGAAACAACTAATCGATTAATCGACGACTAATCGATTATTGAAATAGTCGACAACTATTTTAGTAATCGATTAATCGTTTTCTGGTTCACACGGACTCAAACAGAGCAAAAATGACATGAAAATGTAGTATTTTTGATTAAAACCGACTTTGTTTTTATAATTTCATGAAGATCTGTCTGTCTCATCCAATCAGAGCAGAATTAGCACAAAGAGCCTGTTACAAACATTTACTTTAAGTTTACGCCATCAATACGTCCTCGAGTGTTGCCACTTTAGCTTTTTGTGATGAAAAAATATTTTTTTTCTACACAATTCACAGCCAAGCGATTACTCGATTAATCGTAAAAATAATCGATAGATTAATCGATTACAAAATAATCGTTAGTTGCAGCTCTAGTCCACATTGAAAGAGGGATCCACTCCCACAGACGGACAAAATTTAGATCCAGGACTCAAAAAGATGATGCATTATCTGTGATTCTTAGTCTGGTCGTACCACGCCATAGTACTCATTTCATTTCATACTAAGGTCTGGATTTGCTCCATTGACTCCGTTAACAGGTGGGAGGGGTTAACTCCTTTTGCAGATTGAAACCATTGGATCTGAGCTTACAGTGACGTATGTAATGAGCCCGAGTGAGTCGTTAGCATTTAGCATTTAGCCTAGCTTTAGCCATCTCCGTTGTTGCTAACGGAGTCCGTGGGGAGTAGCGCCACAATCTTTGTAGCGATTACATTTGTTAAACATTCCTCTTTCTCCGGCTTCATTTTCTTGATAGAACCAGACCAGAATACTTTACTATCGCATTCTTCGCCAAACTACAACCTGCCCGTTCGACGCAAACTCTTGACGTCACCCACATCTAACTACAACACCCGCCTCCCGCGCTCTCTGATTGGTCCGATAGGATTCAACCGATTGTATTTGCTAACACAGGGACCAGACCCAGACGTTACATGCAGTGAAATGATAATTGAACGGAGTGTACGGATGGATAAGGCCGGGCTGTGTGATTGTGTCTGAACGCTTCTGTTTTGTGGTTTCCAGGATCATGTATGTTTTGACTAAAGACACGTGGGTGGAGCAATGGCCGACGGAGGCAGAATGCGCTCAGCCCGAGTTCCAAGCCACGTGCAGAAGTTTAGCTGACGCCACAGATTATCTCCACAACAACGTCTGCAGGTTGTAGAGACAGAGCAAGACTAACACAACACACCACACACATTTGAATAAAAACTTCTGGACCACTTTCTCTTTGTCTTGGTTCATTTTTAACTCAAGAACGGCCTGAATTTTGTCATCATCCAAAATCCTCATTGTGTGTGTGTGTGTGTGTGTGTGTGTGTGTGTGTGTGTGTGTGTGTGTGTGTGTGTGTGTGTGTGTGTGTGTGTGTGTGTGTGTGTGTGTGTGTGTGTGTGTGTGTGTGTGTGTGTGTGTGTGTGTGTGTGTGTGTGTGTGTGTGTGTGTGTGTGTGTGTGTGTGTGTGTGTTTAATAAGTGCTACAACTGATCATTATAACTGCAACTGAAACACAGCATAAAAACAGGCTAATGTTAATGCTAACGTCTGACAGTAAGCAGTGCGTTGCTACGGTAACTAGCACTTGATAATCTCTGGTGGTGAATGATTTAAAGGTAGAACTCCTCACATTTCAACAGTGAAAGATCATTTCAGAATTAATAATGATTTAGGAATAAACTACACAAAGATACTTCCAAAATTAAAATCCTAATACTATGTTTTTGTTGAAAAAGTTTACCTAAACATGTGACCGAAGCAAAACATATGCATCAATCATTTATTTGGAAAGCACAATTTGTCTAAAAGGAAATTCAAAGTGCTTCACAAGAGCATTTTAAAAGCACAAATCAAAATGGATAATTTACAATCATTTCATATTAAAACAGGAGCATAAAGGTGATAAACACATGATTAGTGATAGAAACAGAGAAAAAGACTTTTGGAGCCTGGAATTATTTGCATGGACTTCATTGCGTCATGATTTGGACAACAACAACAAAATTCTTGTGCAACTTGTTCCATGTAGACTTTTGCCATGTCCCATTAAGGTTCTTTTAATGGTTTTTAAATGTCTTAATGGTCTTGGGCCTTCTTATCTTTCAGATTTGCTTTTATCCCATGAGCCTTCCCGGCCCCTGCGCTCCTCCGGCAGCAGACTTCTAACCATCCCCAAAGTCAGGACACACACTCACGGCGAGGCATCTTTCCAGCACTACGGCCCCCGTCTCTGGAACAGTCTGCCGGAGGAGCTCAGGGCCGCAGAGAACGTTCATATTTTTAAAAGTAGGCTCAAGACGCACCTTTTTAGAGTAGCTTTTGATTAGTTTTTATTATTCCATTCTATTTATCTTTTATTATTTATTATTTATTATTTATTATATTGCTATTGCTATTATTCATGTATTGTGTGTTCCTTTTAGTCTCACATTTTAGTGTTTTACTTATTGTATTGTTTTTAGTGTACCCAGTGTTTCCTCTGGAGGAGCCCTCTGCACCGGGAGCAGTGGTCGGTGTGGCTGCGGGGGTCGGACTCTTGGGCCTGGTGGGGGCCTGGGGCCTCGGTTTCATGTCTCCTCTGGGTCCTGTGTCGTCCCCTGTGGCTACGGGCGGCTCTCTGCTCCTGGTGCAGACGGCTCCTTGGATGACGCTTTTTCAGCTGGTTGCATCTGAACCCTGCCAAGTCTCTCATCATGTTTTTATTGTTTTACTGGTGTGTGTGTGTGTGTGTGTATGAGTGTTCATGAGCGCGTGTGTGTGTGTTTGTCTGTGGTTTGGGGGGGGTCTGTTGGGTGGTCTGGGGGAGGGGTCTTGGGCCGGCGGGATTGTTTTTAACCAAACTGTAAAGCACTTTGTGTTGCATCTTATGTATGAAAAGCGCTTTATAAATAAAATTTGATTGATTGATTGATTGATACGTGTTCTACTATTTTTTATAGAATTTCTTCCCCCATGTTTATTGTTATAGCACAGTACCTACAAAATAGAACTCAAAGTGTGTAACTCGACAAGATCAGGATTTTTGTTAACACTGATGTCTATGGAGAAACTTCCTGGGCTGCCTTGGTGAATTTAGTCTGGAGCAGTGTGTGTGGTCCATCATCACACTGTAGACAGGCTTTAAGCTAGTAATACCCCATCCAGAAAATACAATACATCCCTGACCTTTAACGGTGTATGTCAGACCTGGGAAAAGTGCGGCCCGGACCCTAACCCAAGGGTCCAAGCCAAACCGGTCTGTTGCTGTTTTTAACTGAATCAGGAGTCAATACTTTATGAAGGTTTGAAACTTTTTATGTCACTATGGCATACTTAAAATTTACTCTGTCGTAAGTAATGAACCCAAAATTAGATTAGATTAGATTCAACTTTTGGTAGAGCATTGGCCTTTGAGCCTGAAGGTTGTGGGTTCAATCCCACCGTAAGACCTACTTCACGACTCCCACTGATGACTGCTGTCGTTGTGTCCTTGGGCAAGACACTTAACCCCACTTTGCCTGAAGCTCCCACTGAAAGATCTCAGCTCCTGTGGACTCACCACCTGCAGGAGGATCAGTGAGGGGCTGGTGCTCTGTGACTGGGTGGCATCTCTGGCCACCCCCCCCGACCCAGAAATGGATTAAGGGGAAGAAAATGGATGGATGGATAGATTCAACTTTATTGTCAGTACAAAGTCAAAACAATGCAATGAAATGCAGCTCAGCGTCCATCCAGAAGAGCAAAAACACTATTCATTATTATTTTCTCTGAACATAATGTGCACAAACAAACAGTGGATGTCTTATTATTTGTCAAATACATAAATATTAGTGATTAACCACATAAAATTGGGTCCTCCCCAATATGGCGTTATCCCAATGTGGCCCCTCGAAGACGAAAATAACCATAATAGATCCATGATAATAACCCACTCCTGGTTTATGATTTGATGCCACTCCTCCCTCTGGTGGTCATATAGGGGTAGCGCAGGCCACTAGCATTACCCTTCATACATAACCCAAACCCTAACCCATATGTTTTCTAAGTAAGACATTATTTCACTCTTTAAAAAGTGAAATGACACAGATGGTGATGGACTTGTTTCATCCACATGGTCTGAATACATGTTGTTACCCTCTGGACGTGGTACTGCCCAAGAAGTGAAGACAGATGGAAGAAGAGTTAAGGGTGTATTATAGATCCATGATTTAAAGGTACATAGGAGGATTGTCTTTTTCCGGGTGGACCATTAAGGCTACTGGTCCTCCTAATTGTCAATCATTCTGGTGATATGATCGTTAAACTAGTGAACAGATTTTTCATGGATGTATACATAGTTCCCACAGACCAATGAATGTCACATGACCTCCTCAGAGACGCCATCTTTGATGGCACGCTGCTGTGTTTGTGCATTCCATTAAACAGAAGAATGAGAATAAATGTAGATATTCAAACGCAAATTGGAAAAAAAGGGCAACTTTTGAGCAAATAATTGTATATTAATACAATGGCACCACAGTTTAACGTGCTACGGACATGTTTTACATATTTGATCAAATTATGCAGCAAAAATTAACAAGCAATGCAAACATTTCTCAAAAACTTTAGATTTAATACCAGTTGGAGCTCCATTTAATTATTTTAATTATATTAACAATTAATTTAATTAATGCTAATGCCACACGGACACTCTGGATTGCTGTTATTGTTTATTTCCGCGTTTTTGACCGTATGTTTTGGTGAATGGTGGGCAACTGATTTTTCCAGGCGTAAAGAGCAGTTTATTTTATGACACAGATCTTTTTACAGAAGCAATGCTGTTTGTGAACATTGTTTTAGCCCACCATAGAACTATTATTATCTATTTAATACATTTACGTTGCCCTCGAGAGCCTCGGACGCGACACCGATCCTCCTCATAATAAAGTAATCTAACGCTAAATAATGAAACTCTCAAGTTACCAGCTATCAGCATACACAAGTTAGTACTGAGTAAATTACGTCTGTCAACACATTATGAGATACGATACGCACCTGACACAAAGTGCTCCGAGCATATTCTTGCGTGTTTTGAGGGAGTTTCTTGCCTGTTTATCTTCGCAAGCCATAACCTCCGTCGTTGTTCTGACAAAAGCTTAGTCTTCTCACATTCATGAAGTCTAATGATGGGTATACTGTAAAATCCAAGTTTAACGGAACCTCCGGCACGATTTGAACATCCATTGACCCAGCAGGAGATGACCATTTTCAACTTTATCACGACATTAACACGTTTCAGCTTCTTTTTCTATTGTTTTGCCCACAGAATGCCAAGACAAATGGCGCTGGGTCGGCAAATCCCCGTATGTAGTGACGTCATGTGGGAACTATGTATACTTTCCTGTTCAGAACGATTCCTCAGCATCAGATTCATTAGCAGATGTAGGAGCCATATCTATTGGTTCATGGGTATGGTTGCTATGGCAACGTGTCAGGGGGCGTGGGTCACATGGGCATGGGTGTCGTGCCGGGAGTTTTGAAAGGCACTCGCTTCCTGCTCAGTGACAGGGAGAGGGGAGAAGCCGGGTAGCTGTATTTTTCGTTGACCGCACACTTTTGGTCCATATTCTTTTGTTTTCTGTTTTACTCATATGCACTGTAACAATCATAAACCGCAGATACAATTAAATCCACAAAACGCATTACGTGCCTCCAGCGTGTTCTTTACAATCGGCAGCGCGTCATCCATTATACTGGACCCGTACTCTTCTCTCCAGAAGCGACATAGGTTTGGGTCGCTACAGCAGATACACTTTAATTAATCATAAACGTATACACTTTTCCCCACTCTTAATATTACAAAACATAAACTTACTATTTTAATATTTTAAAGAAACAGAGTTAATCAGACCACTCTATGCTGTCTTCATCTTATTGGAAAACAGTGTATATTTTGCAAACTTGTACTAAAGAGCAAAGTGAGTCACAATTTCACGCTTTGGGCAAAGATGTTTGTCACTTTTACATCTGAAAAAACTGATCAAAAAATACATGCATGTGAAATCTTGTGATATGTTTGTGGTTTGAAAATGAGGTACTCCAGCTTTAAAATAAATTAATATATTGTAAGAGCATTGTGAATAAACATGACGCCTACATAGATCTGTTCTCATTTCAATAAAGCACTGGGGATCTCATACAGGACGTTAGAGAGAGAGGATCCAAGATGGCGGAATGAGCGCACGCTTTGCAGGCTCTGGTCTTAAAAAAGTTTTATTTTGTCCTTAAATGTGAGTTTTAGGCATTTCACTAGTCGGAACTAGTGATGGCAATATGAAGCCCCATGAAAAGCCTTGAGGGATCGCAGCCTATTACTCGGCCCATGAGTCGAAGGCTCAAGGTGAATCATGCTCCACTACGCCATCATGTGGACAAAAAAATACATAACACTCTTAAGTGCTTTTATTATACAGCTCCTCACAGCAGCAGGAGAACGCTCCATTGATTTGAATGTAATTTCAAAACGTTCTACCGGTCATTATTTTTGACCTCTCAAAACAATAATGACCGCTGCCCATGGCAACGCACTCTGTGCTTGTCTTTCAAATGCGTGGATAACTCCGCAAGTAGTTCCGGCCACTCCTGAGCTAGCCACTCTCAATCAACACACTTAAATGTTAATCGGAGAATACTTATACATATACATTCTTCACACACGTGCACGGAAATTTTCAGAATTTTCTGGTCTTGTCTTTATGACAAAAATACTATTTCTCTGCGTCAAAAAGCGATCGTGAAAAACCCGGAAGTAGTTCTGGCCGCTCAATAAACGCAAATGCCAATCAATCAACGCAATGAAATGTTAATCGGAGAGTAATTTATACATATCCAGTCTTAATACAAGTGCACGGAAGTTTTCAGAATTTTCCGTTTACGTTTTCATGACAAAAACACTGATGTAATGCGAGAAAAGGCGATCCCGAAAAACCCGGAAGTAGATACCGATAAGATACGGCACATTTTCGGACACATTTGCAGAGGATCGAATTATGGATTTAGGTTAGGTTTATGTATGGGTCACTCACCGCTGATGTTCAGAATTCTTTGTTCAGTTTTCATGCAGTTCCAGAGAGTTCTAGTTTGGAAGTTGCCAGCCTAACTGTTGCCCGCGGTTGCCGAGCAACGGGAAAACTTTTTGGGACTACTTTATTTTTTGTCATTAAATAAACTTTTGCCATTCATAAAAGTGATCTGAAGTTTATTTTGTGTGTTAAGTTGGTACAAAGCAGTATAATAAGCGGGATAATGTATAGCCTACAGGTCATTATCGGAAAATAAGTACCTTCAGGGCGGAAGCAGACCCCTCCGCTGCGCGTCGGGGTCCGCTTCGCCCTGAATTATGAAATCCATGACGTGTCCACGGTGTGTCACAGGTCCATGACGTGTCACAGGTCCATGACGTGTCACAGGTCCATGACGTGTCCACGGCGTGTCACTGGTCCATGGCGTGTCCGGGCGTGTCATTGGTCCATGACGTGTCCAGGCGTGTCACTGGTCCATGGCGTGTCCAGGCGTGTCACTGGTCCATGGCGTGTCCAGGCGTGTCACTGGTCCATGACGTGTCCAGGCGTGTCACGGGTCCATGGCGTGTCCAGGCGTGTCACTGGTCCATGGCGTGTCCAGGCGTGTCACTGGTCCATGACGTGTCCGGGCGTGTCACTGGTCCATGGCGTGTCCAGGCGTGTCACTGGTCCATGACGTGTCCGGGCGTGTCACTGGTCCATGACGTGTCCAGGCGTGTCACGGGTCCATGGCTTGTCCAGGCGTGTCACTGGTCCATGACGTGTCCACGGTGTGTCACAGGTCCATGACGTGTCCACGGCGTGTCACTGGTCCACGGCGTGTCACTGGTCCACGGTGTGTCACTGGTCCATGGCGTGTCCGGGCGTGTCACTGGTCCATGGCGTGTCACTGGCCCATGGCGTGTCCAGGCGTGTCACTGGTCCATGACGTGTCCACGGTGTGTCACAGGTCCATGACGTGTCCACGGCGTGTCACTGGCCCATGGCGTGTCCATGGCGTGTCACTGGTCCATGGCGTGTCCAGGCGTGTCACTGGTCCATGACGTGTCCACGGCGTGTCACTGGTCTAAGGTGTGTCCAGGTGTAAGCAGCCCGGACACGTCATGGACCAGTGAGACGCCTGGACACGCCATGGACCAGTGACACGGCGTGGCGTGTCCAGGCGTGTCACTGGTCCATGGCGTGTCACTGGTCCATGACGTGTCCATGGCGTGTCACTGGTCCATGGCGTGTCCAGGCGTGTCACTGGTCCATGGCGTGTCCAGGCGTGTCACTGGTCCATGACGTGTCCACGGCGTGTCACTGGTCTAAGGTGTGTCCAGGTGTGAGCAGCCCGGACACGTCATGGACCAGTGACACTTCTTACAATATTCGACAGTTTTGTGATTTGATTCTGTGATTGATTGAGATTCATGTCCTTCATATTATTCAAAGACTTTACAAACATGGAGGAAAATAAGACTCAACTCAAATGTGATTTATTATGATCTGTTCTTGAACTGAAGCAAACACTGAGGGAAGTGCAAAAACGTGATCCTTGAACAATCAGGACACAGGAACTTAGTTTTTCTCTATTGCTTAAACACATTTCACGATACTCAAAACTCTAAACACAAACCTCTTTTCTAAAGCTACGTACACACAACAACACAGTCTCTTTTCAAAACCAACCCATCACACCAAAACAGTGACTCATATTCTCTAAACCAACCCATCTCACCAAAACAGTGACTCATATTCTCTAAACCAACCCATCACACCAAAACAGTGACTCATATTCTCTAAACCAACCCATCTCACCAAAACAGTGACTCATATTCTCTAAACCAACCCATCTCACCAAAACACCTCTCATGGTCTGCAAAAATGTGAACACTATGAGCATCATTAACCACATCACCAAAACAATTTAAAACACAATTTTCAGAATGTGACACTGTTCTTTTTACAGTTTCACAACTGCCAGGATGCATTTGAGCAACACCTTTTTAATTCTCAAATGTTTTGGGCATTTACCATAGATTTGTGCGTTTCATGAGAATAGTTACAGTACATAAAGTAGAAAATGCAGTTATATCACAACTCAATGCAAACATGAGTAACTCTATGGAGGATCCATGACACACAATAGATACTACAGTACAGTAACAATTGAAAACACAATGTTTAGGGCAGTGCTTCTCAAATAGTGGGGGGGGGGCCTCCACATGCTCTGGTGCCACAGCGGACTCATTCCCATGTGACCGGCGCTGACAGGACAAGTGCGGATCTTTGGAAAACCTGTGGACGCGATAAATACAGCTGAAATAATGCATGTTGCTCCTCTCCCTCAGTGGCCTGCTCCTCTCCCTCTTTGACCTGCTCCTCTTCCTCAGTGGCCTGCTCCTCTCCCTGAGTGGCCTGATTCTCTCCCTCAGTGGCCTGATTCTCTCCCTCAGTGGCCTGATTCTCTCCCTCCTAGACCTGCTCCTCTTCCTCAGTGGCCTGCTCCTCTCCCTCAGTGGCCTGCTCCCCTCCCTCAGTGGTCTGCTCCTCTCCCTCTTTGACCTGCTCCTCTCCCTCTTTGACCTGCTCCTCTCCCTCTTTGACCTGCTCCTCTCCCTCCTCGACCTGCTCCTCTCCCTCCTTGACCTGCTCCTCTCCCTCCTTGACCTGCTCCTCTCCCTCCTTGGCCTGCTCCTCTCCCTCAGTGGCCTGCTCCTCTCCCTCTTTGGCCTGCTTCTCTCCCTCTTTGGCCTGCTCCTCTCCCTCTTTGGCCTGCTCCTCTCCCTCAGTGGCCTGCTCCTCTCCCTCTTTGACCTGCTCCTCTCCCTCAGTGGCCTGCTCCTCTCCCTCCTCTGACACAAACTCCTCTTCTTGTGCCTTGATCATTGTCGTTTGGAACCTGCAATGACCAAGCCCCGGCGATCCAAGATGGCGCCCTATTCAAATGAATGGTTGTGCTCAGTGGCGCTTTGTGACTGCATGGGGGCTGAAAGATTAGCGGAAGTTGCCTGAAACTCGCAAAGATCTATGGGAAACTCGCCTGTATTTGGGCATCGTCTGGTCCTCCCGGTTCTGCGCAGTGGATGATCTCCCATAATGCGTTGCGCCAAACACGCGTGTGTGGGTCTCACACCGGGTCTCACGCACGTGCACAGAGGGGCTCGGCCGCGCTCTGACCAATCAGAGCAGTTCATCAGAGCGGGAGTTAGAGCGAGAGCCAGAGGAGCAGAGTTTGTGGCACTAAAGTGTGGATTTAAACAAAACCGAAGGATTTAAGAAGAAAAAAAGTTCAGGATGACAAGGGACACTAAAATCCCCACAAAATCCGACCTTTATGAAAGCTGTAGGTTCTCTTTCAGCTGAGGTTGAGCTGTTTTAATATGCATTGAGTTCTATGGGGAAAATTTCTGGGTAGCCCACGTGAATTTAGTCTGGTTCAGTCTGCAGTACCGCGAGAATCCCCCGAGCACATGAGTTATTCAGCTACAAGCTGTAATACCCTATCCAGTTAATATAATACATCCATGGCACTGACTTATAAAGTTGTGGTCACATCATTTGCAGCAGGAGTGTTCAGTTCTGATGGTTGTGTTTCCTGAATGGCACCAGGTTTGTTCATGGACCAGAGATACATGCAAAAAGTGTTTTAGCAAAGGCAAAAAGTGTTTTAGCAAAAGCAAAATGTGTTTAGAGTTTTAATAAATGTGTTTAGACAATTGGTTATTTGGTTTAGAGTACTGGGTTTTGTGTTGTAGCAATAGAGAAAAACTGTATTACAGAAAAGTGTCATGGCCCCTCCCTGTCTGACAGGAGCGGTTCTATCTCAGGCAGGGCGGACCCAGTGATTGGGGCACCTGTGCATAAATGTGTATCTTACTAACACTCTCTGCTCCCTCCAGGTACTGGAACTTTTATTCTTTGTTTTGTCATTTGTTAAAATTAGCTTTAGTTTCACACTCAGACATATACACACATACACTGGTTTTCATTCACTGACCTGCACACACTGAACACATTCCACGGCTCACATACTCACACCTCATTCTTTATTATCTTTTGTTGTTGTCTTTATTATTTAAAATAAACATATTGAACAACCACACCTGTCTGTCCCTCAATTTGTCACAGGCCCAGAGCCAGCATGTGACAAAAGACACAACAAACCAACATCATAGAGTCACAACAAGGAACAGAAAAGTCAAACATGAAAATGAAACCAGGAGTTAAGACTGAAGTGAGATCCTGTAGAGTCTGACTCTGGGTTCACAGGATGCAGCCTCAGCTCTGTCTCCTTCACTTTGGTCCAGATACTTCAGACCTGCTTCAGACCTGCTTCAGACCTGCTTCTCTACAGGTTTTAATGTGTTTAGTAAGAGATGAACTTCGACTAAAAGACTTTTTGCACTTTTCACAGACAAATGGTTTCTCTCCAGTGTGGATCCTCTGATGCACTTTGAGATTACTACTCTGAGAAAAACTCTGACCACAGTCGTCGCAGCTGAAGGGTTTCTCTCCAGTGTGGATCCTTTTGTGCTGGTCAAGATGTCCTCTTCGGGAAAAACACGTTCCACACTGGTCACACTCGTACGGCTTCTCTCCAGTGTGGCTCCGATGGTGACGTGTGCGCTCTGCTGCAGTTTTAAAAGTTTTACTGCAGAAGTCACATGCAAATGGCTTTTCTCCAGTGTGGATTCTCTCATGTGCTTTGTAGTGTGAAGACTGAGTAAACTTCTTCCCACAGTCTCCACAGACGAATGGTTTATCTCCAGTGTGGATTCTGTAGTGCACAGTGAGGACAGATAAACATGTAAAAGTCTTTTCACACTGGTCACATTGGTGAGGTTTCTCTCCTGTGTGGACATGCTGATGTAGTGAGAGCTGCTGTTTGGTCCTAAATGTTTTTTCACACTGGTCACACTCAAATGGTTTCTCTCCTGTGTGGATCCTCTGATGAGCTTTGAGAGTACCCTCATGTCTAAAACTCTGACCACAATCGTCGCAGCTGAAGGGTTTTTCTCCAGTGTGGATTCTGTTGTGGCCCTTGAGATGTTCTTTTGTAGTAAAACATGTTCCACACAGATCACACTCGTATGGTTTTCCTCCAGTGTGAGTTCTGTGGTGTCTCTTTAGATCAGAAGCAGAGCTGCAGGTCTTTCCACACTGATCACAGGTGAACCCCATTCTGTAGATGGACTTTGTAGATCTGCAACAAACACAACAACGTCAGATAATTCTAATATGTTTGATGGTGGTAGAAGTAAGAAATGATATTGTTCTCTTTCAACATCAAACATCGGGTTCTGCAATTAAAGCTGGTTGCTCCCGACCCATGGGCTACACCCCCCACCCTGTATAGGAGCCACTTCTACAACCTCAGTCCTGGGTCTACAGCCTCAGTCCTGGGTCTACAGCCTCAGTCCTGGGTCTACAGCCTCAGTCCTGGGTCTACAGCCTCAGTCCTGGGTCTGCAACCTCAGTCCTGGGTCTGCAGCCTCAGTCCTGGGTCTGTTCATGTGGCTATGAACAGATATAAACTATGACGTCATACAATGAACTTTAGAAACAGAAATAGGGAAATGTACAGTCTGACATAGGGGTGCGCTGGCTGATTAAGGACCACGACGACACATGTAGGATCACTGGTTGACTTTATCTGCAGTTCTGTATAAAAAAAAATAAAACACAAATCCTCATGGTCTCTCCATATCACACGCTCGCAGTCCCCTGTTAGCAGCTAGCTCTCACATGTGACTACATAAACTACCAGTGATGGGCAAGCTACTTGATTTATGCAGTTAGCCAAGCTACTCTACAATAAATTCAGCTTCACTTTACAGAAGCTACCACCCATAAAAATGCAGAAAGCTAAGTTACAAAATTCTGTCAAAAGTAGTTTGCTATATAGAAGCTACTTTCAAGTAAACAAACTGCAGTCTATAAAATTTTAGTGATAAATACTAAACTGTCAGTCAGAAAAAGGTTAAAATTTAGATATTTATAGAATAGCCCAAAACACCAACAACAAAAGACAAGAAGACCCTTTGCAATTGTAAATAAAATAAATTGAGAAATTATAGCAATAAGCCATTACAAATTAACATGTACTTCATTAGAAATGTTTTTTAACTGTTGTTTATAACAATAGCCCAATAAACACGAAACAAATGTGAATCCGAGCAAATTAATGGGTCTATTTAAGCAAGAATACCCTCTGAAACTGAAAAGAAAACACATAAGTTTACAAATGAACTGTGCTAGAACTATGGCTGTGTCCAAAACGCTAGGCATCGGGCCGCGTAGGGTGGATATGTAGGCATCGTGACGTCACTTCCGCAAGCGACGGCTATTGCAGGGGTGTCCAAAACCACTTGGCGAGCTCGCCAAGCGTAGGCATCATGACTTCGTCTCTATGGAAACGGCCACTTTTGGAGCAGATATGAAGGATGCATCTGATGTATGCTTCACTGCCTTCTTTTTGCCAAGTCACGGCCGCGCATGCGCAGAACTCCGTTCGGCATTAACATGTAAACAACAGACTCAGCTCGGACCTGCTGGAGCTAACTTATGGTAAGCATTGCTATACTTTACTGTGAAGTTATGTCTGTAGTAAGTACTGCTATACTTTACTGTTGAGTTATGAACACGACTGTTATGATAAAACACAGACATAAGTTAGATCTGCCACAGATGTGTGTATTTAACCTTGTTATCTGCTGTAAATAAACTCAGTCCCGAAAAGCTAATGCTACGAGGCTAGTTCATTCAGATTCGGTTTTTGAACAAGAAAAATCATGTTGTGTTTTATCTTTTAGGGAGAAACAAACCCACTGATTAAATATTAAAGCTACACTGAGGAAATAGTCACGTTTTCATGGAAAATCACTCTGCAGCACAGCAGCTATAGTATGCTAACACATGTTTTCTGTATTCATATAAAATAGATTGTGCATATAGTTTTTAATCCCATACTGAGACTGGGAAAACTGTATATATTAGACATATGAAATGATAGAATAGGCCAAGAATAATTATAAAGCCCTTTTCATACAATAGTCTAATAAATAGTAAACACACATTATACAGAGGTTTCGTTTGTCATGAATAAGACATTTGCAGAGGACAAGGTCCCACTTCCACAAACACAGGTTTAAAGTGGTTAGCCATGCTTCTAACTTGATTATTTGTGTATATTTCTATCATATCATTCTTCTGTTTCCCCTGCTGTGAAACTTGTATCTCTAATATTAAATACTGTAAGGATTTCTGTATTTTATTTTTAACCAGTTTTTTGCAAAGCCCCAAATAAATAGTATTAATTGAATATGAAGTGTAAAAAGAATCCTAAATGTGGGCTGTGTTTTAATGCATGATGTTTGTGTTCTTCTTTTTCAGAGACTTGTGGTGAAATTAAGGTCATAATTTCTCCAGCTTCACCTCCATCACCTCCTGCTTCACCTCCATCACCTCCTGCTTCACCTCCATCACCTCCTCACCACATTATGAACTACAACAAACTTGTATATAATATTTTCCTTTAATCAGCAATCATGAATAGTTAGAACAGTGGGCTCTGCATCAAGACATGTAGCAGAAGGAGCAGCAGCAGAAGGAGCAACAGGAGGAGTAACAGCTGCAGCAGAAGGAGCAACAGGAGGAGTAACAGCTGCAGCAGAAGGAGCAACAGGAGGAGTAACAGCTGCAGCAGAGGGAGCAACAGGAGGAGTAACAGCTGCAGCAGAAGGAGCAACAGGAGGAGTAACAGCTGCAGCAGAAGGAGCAACAGGAGTAACAGCAGCAGCAGAAGGAGCAACAGGAGGAGTAACAGCTGCAGCAGAAGGAGCAACAGGAGGAGTAACAGCAGCAGCAGAAGGAGCAACAGGAGGAGT